AATTGCAAGCAAATAGGCCTGGAAAGCGAATGTCCTCTTCAACCACGCAGATGAAACGCATAAAAAAAAAGGCATTGCGGAGACCCTCGCGCTGTGCAATGTCGATCCACCTATCTCGGATTTGGACTCTCTCGACATACTCCACCGTACGCTGCAGAAGATGGATGACCATACCGAGCTTCGGAGCGCCATATGGGAGCGAGCTGCTAAGGCAAAACCACAAGACCATGCTCTTCAGATGAGGTGGTTCATGTTCGGATATGAGGCTGGTGACTGGAAGTCAGCGCAGAAAGTGAGTTGCACATACGACACCGGCACCGCATCGAGTCCTAAGTTGCTAACAAGTGGCTTCGCTCCTACTACAGGCTGCTATGAGTCTTCAAAAGAACTTTCCTCGTGAGCGAAAATACTTTTTTTGGGCTATTTTCCTTTGTTATCTCGTTTCAAATGATGCAGCTAGCTCGGACATGGATCGCAAGCTTTTCGGGACACTTGCCTATCGCTTTGTTCAAAAGGCAGTAGCCGATGTTCCCTCTGACCCGGTATGTGCATTTCCCCCATGTTTACATGATCGTTGGAACTGGAATTTGGACATGAATGACTGACTGAACATGATTGAAATGTTTTGCTACAGACCGAATTGCTAAGCCCAACGAGAGCCATACAAACCGCTGAGGAACTCCTCTTGGTCATTCGTATTTTCGAATCGCAGTATCGTTGGAAAGAGATTGTGCAGGTTCTTAATAGCGACAATGTTGGCCTTAGCTCTCGAATTGTTAACAACGATAGGACCTTCATGATAGCCAAAGTCATGGCCTTGGGGGTTGCCGGACTCTGGGAAGAAGGGTACTCCTACACCAAAAGCCTGCTTACCGTGCCCGATGACGAAGCAGAGCGCAACGCTCTGCATGAGCGCGATGATTGGAAATACTGGAACTTGCTCATCGCAGCCGCGCGTCATCTTGACAAAGATCCGGGGTATGTATTTCAATGTCCCACCTCTACGCCTTTGAACCTCGCAACTAACCTGCTTCATATATAGGCTGCTCTCCGACACGCAGCAGCATATCGAGAAATTCATCGAATTCAGCCCGAAGTCCCGCAATGCTCACATAGCTCTCATGGACGTAGCTCTAACCGGGTTTAAACGGGGTGTGCTGACAGAGGATGATCTGGTTGCTGCGTGCCAAAGATACTTTGACCAACACAAGCACAAACTCTATGCTTTTAAAGACCTACGAGGGGTCTTGGAGACCCGTGATGATAACTTGATTCAACGAGTATCTCAATATTGCATGGACAGTGTCGAAGGGAAGCCTGTGAGTTTGAATTCTGCTAAACTTAGTTAATATGAGCTAATCAACTTTCCAGGACGATGCCATTCCATTGATCAATGCGTACAAGATGCAGTACTGTGACCGGATTTCGGGCAACAACAACGCATCGAAATCCAGCATTGAAACTATTGTTCGTAATTGCCTTGACTTTTACGATTCCTTCACTCTTTTAGCGAAGACCCAGGACTCAAAAGACGGAAGCCAACCAGATACCGCCTCCGCAATGGAAAGTCGGCCCACAGATGACTTCTGCATTATTGCCGCAATGGCCCTTCTTCAGCCCAGTCCAGCTGGCCAGGTGTCGGAAAAAGTCGGCAACACTGCCCTGATTCGGGCCGCTGGGATTCTGGAACGCCTTTTAATCGATTCACCACATAACTACGAGGCGATTCTTATGTTGATTCGCATTTATCTTCTTCTCGGTGCTGGCTCCATTGCTTTGAGATGGTTTGGAAAGCTGTCTGTCAAGCAAATGCAGTATGAAAGTGTTGCTCATAATCTCTTCACCCGCTTTGCCACCATTCACCCTCATGCCGCGCCTCCTATCGAGGGCGGAGATTACAAAGACTTTGACGCGCAAGTTGCATTTATTGCTGCTCTTGACTTTTATCGCAATGCGAACTTCACTATCAAGAACTCTTTGGTAAAAGGACTCGAAGATGGGGTTTATGTCAACCTTGACGATACAATCGAGCTTCAACGGCGTGTCAGGGACAGTATCTGCCGGAGAATGTGGGCACTGGATCTACGTCGGATGCAAAGAATCCGCAAAGGAAACCACTTGGCCCTCCATGGAGATATCGGTCAGCAATTCTCAGTCTCTCATCTACTCCTGACATACTCGGATACTAATTATCTTATAGCCCAGGATACATCGCCGGTTCAAGACCAGCGGAAGTATGACGGTTTTATGAACCTGGAACGTTGTGAGCAATCTCCATTTGAGCACCGATTGCGCGCAGGCCCGCTTCCTGGGGTAAGTTTATTTGCTTGAATGATACCTTGGCACCAACTAATGTCATATAGGAAAACTGGCTGGCGTCCGCTCGGCTCACTGATCGGCTTTTCGGTGTTCTTGAGAGCATCGGGAGTCAGAAGCCAGTCGTCTTGACGCTAGAGCTGCCCAACCTCGCCGGATTGTCGCTCTCCCAGACTGATGACGATCATACTGACACTGAGAGGGATACAACCAAGATTCACGTAGAATTGTTGAAAGTGGCTTTGTTTATGGCTGGATCCAAGGCCCACACTTCCGCCGAAATTGAGACTGCTCTTGGTGCGGTAGAGGATTGGTTGAAGGCTAAGAGAGAGGATCTAGCCCTGCAGGACCCTAAGAAGTCCCCTCTTATCATGAGAACGACTATTGAGTTCACCCCAGGCACCCCAGGTGCACCAACATGGGAATATTTCCATGGCATCTGGACCCTCGTGGAGACCCTCAAGGCTCTATGGAATATGCTCGACTTGGATTCTCGAAAGGCCTTGAAGACCGCTAAACTCCCTGCCGAACAAATGAAGCGACTGGATACTCTTGTTCGCGAAGTTTTCGAGGATGTCCGTTCGAATACCCGAAGTTTGAAACAGAGTCTTGCCGAATCAGCCACTCTCAGTACACTCATCGATTTGGTCAAGCGTGGTGATACGACTGATGAATACGAGAAGCCTCTTCAAGACGTCATGGAAAAGGTAATGGACGAATCTGCACTCGAACTGTTCTGCGGAGAGCTGAGGGAGAGCTGGGAAGAGGCACTTGATGGAGTTCTGGCTGCTAGGCTTTGATGCTGAACACGAGAAATGGAAGGAATGAATTATGTGTCTATGAAAACACACCGTTGACAGTTAGAGTACATTTAACCAAACCAAACCGAATCCAAATAATTCACATCTCATGGCTGATGTAGACAAGTTAGATGCAAGTATGGGTAGTGAGAGGTCGATCTAAGTACTATAAAAAGAGGGCAAACTTCATCACGTGCACATGCCAAGATACATTGAGTTTACTGCCTGAGGTGTCAATAGTACACGCTAGTCCTGATTAATCCAGCCCTAGCCCTAGTCACTCGCCTACCGCACCAACGCCAAGACCCCATTTTGCGGTTCCAAGGCAAAAGACCAGGCGATTTTCACACGGCTCCCTCACCTCCTCTTCGACAACCTCCGCCAACCCCTTCAGTCAACAACCGTCGAGATGGCCGAACGCTCCGGAATTGTGGTCGGACTTAACGCGGGCCGGGTACGTTCTTACTGTCTCTTTGCACCATGTTTTTCGGTCGTTTGAAGGTCTCCCAAGGTCTCTTCTTTTCGTTCGGTCTGTTGGTCCACTCAAGACCAGTCGGGTCAAGGTTTATCGCGGAAACACTGGAAATTTTCACGGCAAGGAGGATTGCGATTGAATCGCCCATTGGAAAAATATCAGAGACTCGCTGGGGAAATTTTCGATGTCACGGGAACACTTTTGGATTCGACATTGGCACCGAAGCCAGCACTCGCCTTGCAAGCAACCCTGATCCAACCACGTCATAAACCCACCGACAGATGAACACGAAACGCGAATAGAAGAGAACACTGGGACCTGCGGCCGCTACGTGTGACTTGGCGAAACAGACATACTGACTGGGTTCCGATATAGAAAACCACCGCCCTCAACACCCCTAAGACTCGCATCTCGCGCACCAAGGGCAAGTCTTCCCGTCGCACCGCTTTCGTTCGCGAAATCGCCCAGGAGGTCGTTGGTCTCGCTCCCTACGAGCGCCGCATCATTGAGTTGCTGCGCAACGCCCAGGACAAGCGTGCCCGCAAGCTCGCTAAGAAGCGCGTACGTTTACTCTCAGTCCCTATCCCGCTTTCTTCTGGTTGGCTCCGTTACATGGATTATGTTGAATTGGGTCGATTGGTCAAAGTCTTGCTATATCAGAATCGTACTACATGGGCTAGACATGTCAATCTTGCAGAAGAGTATTGATTTTGTTCTCTGCTTGGACACGCCCATGCAATACGATTTGTTCACCAAGGACCGAGACTTATGACCAAGATCGGACGATTTCTACTAGCATCCATGGATCAGAGCCTGCCCAATCCATCCATCGAGTTAACACTTTACTAACTTATTTTCAGCTCGGTACTTTCGGCCGCGGTAAGGCCAAGGTTGAGTCCATGCAGAAGGTTATTGCTGAGTCTCGCCGCACCGCTGCTCACTAAATTTTTCGACCCGTTCCTGTTTTTCTTTCGTTTTAACGACTCGACGCAAAAAAAGCGTGATTCTCGGATCGGAAAGGGGGTTTCGTGGCCATTGGGCGTGCATGAAGGGGAAGGCAAATATGGGATTCCTTCTCTGTCGTATGGAGTGAAACCATAATGAAAACATTTAACCATTTCACGTGTGATATTTGCAATTGAGCCACTTTCTAAACGGAGGTTTACATCGTAGACGGAAGATGTATGATTGCCCAAGTATGTGCTGAGTGGGTGCAGAGTCGACAGTATCTCTCTATTGCTCTACACACAAACTATGCATTTGTTGTTAGGCTTGCATTGCTATTTTGTTTGAATGTAAATGATGTTTGAAGGACATGAGATTCATTCAAGTCTATCCACTTATCTAAGATGTTACCAGAGCAGCACATGTCGCTCATCTTAAACCAAGCCCATTCAATTATTTCGATTTCATTTCTTACCCGGTAGCTTCAGCCACTTAGGCATAGCACCGCTCTTCCGTGCTCCGCTAGGCTTATCGCCGCCTTGAGCGCTACTCGGACCCGGCTGTGACGGACCAGTGGATTCTTCTTCCTTAACCTCCGGCGGTTGCTCCACCTTGAGTTCTTGAGCTTGGCTCCGAAGCTCAGGGCGTAGTATCTCTGTCCGGCGTTCATGAACAAATGCAGGGGCGTGATCAGCCCAAGAGAAGTTGACGAGCACACGGCCAGACAAGCCTAGGTCTTTAATCAGACGCTTCTTATCTGATGGAGGGATGGCGGTTGTCTGTTTGGATCTGGATACACCGTGTACCGTGAGATTGAAGTTTTCACTGGCGAACGGGAGAGCAAGGCATTCACGCGCGAAGTCATACAACGACCGTCCTGTGTCCGAGGTCCCAAATTTAGCGATCACTTGGCTCTGATCTGGGAAACGGATCTTGACATCGACCTCCTGAATGGCTGCTCGTTTTGCCGCTTCTGCCTCTGTCTTGGCGGCGATCTCGGCATCCGTTGGCAACCGCTTTGGCCGAGAGGACTCGTTGAGTAATCGCTGATGCAGCTTTGCGTGCTCGATAGAGGGTATGTAATCACTCTCATCGTAGTCTAATTTTGCGGACGAAGGAGTATCTCCCGAGGGAGGGGAGAAGACAGTAACCGTTCGACCAGAGTCGGCTGTAGAAGTGGCCGGTTGGGGGATAGGCAGCGGAGCGGCAACTGCCTCCGATGCCGCGGTGACGTTAGAGGGCTCAGGCTGCAATGAGCTGGTGATATCTGAAGCAGGCCCCTTGCTTGTGGTGTCAGCAGTGGCTGCTGTGAGTGCTGCGCTCTTATCCTGTGCTGAAGGAGCCTCATCCTCCGAGGACTGGAAGAACTCGCCAATCTTGGCCATAGCTTCTTCAATAGGCTCCTCGGTCCGTCGGAAACTGAGTCGAATAAGGACATTGCCACTGTTGTAACCCAGCTGGGCTAGGGTCTTTTGTAGATCCGTGAAACTCGATACTTCACGTTCCATAATCTGAAGGACGGGGATCTCATAGTACAGTCGTCCGGCAACATCTCCACCCTCAGTGGAGGGCACTGCACGTGAAGTGAGATTCCTTATTGGGCCAGTCCCTGCAACTCCCGCCTCGAACTTCCGGAGTACCATCCAGAGTGTAGTCGTGCTAGGGAACTTATCAAGTATGCGGCCATTCGGGGCACCACGAGCCTCTGATTCGGGCAGTTGGAGGCCAACGGTTACAACTGATGGGGAGCGAGAGAGTTGTACAAGTTCAAGTTTTGCACCGGAGATGAGTCCAGACAGACGGTAGGAAAGAGAAAGGTCTAACTGCTTGCGATTGTGTCTGTCGCATATAAGAGACCGGGTTAGTGTTGTCGTCGGAGAAAGGGAAATCAACTCACTTTAATGAATATTGGCTAGCATTATAACCAAGCTTCGTACATGCCTCCTGCAGGATATCGGTTAAATGTTTGGCGGGAGTTGTCTTGATTGTTGCCCGCCTGGCTGTCGCGTCGATCACCACAACGTGGGCACTCATTGTGAATAGAGAACACTAGTTCTGATAATAAATGGAAAAGATTCAATATCTCAATAAAGAGACTGAAAACAGATAAATGAAATCAAATAGGCGAAAATCTCGATTGCGGGGAGAAAGAGGGCGCAGAAAGTTGTCGAAGCATACGAAACAGGCAGCGGTGCGGGCGTCATCTGAGCTCTCTCGCGTACCTCAGAGCTTCCCCGTCATCAACTCAACTCCATCTCCTCTCCCAACCCGCCCCCTTCTCAACCACATTTTCTCTTCTTTTTTCTTGTGCTTTAGCTCTGGAATATCTCTGTTATATTGAATTGTATTGAAACACTGCAATAATGGTAAGAGAATATGCCCTTCGTCCCTATCATCCACGAATCTCTGGAACTCAAAGCTGACCGACTTCTCCCATCACAGTCCAACCCCTTCGATATCAGTATGCCGGAGCCTTGTCCCTAGTGAATAATCAACCAAAATACTAATCGTCCTGCAGATGGCGGTGCTTGTGTCGCCATGGTGGGCAAGGACTGCGTCGCCATCGCCTGTGACCTTCGTCTCGGCATGCAGTCCCTGACCATCTCCAACAACTTCCCCAAGATCTTCAACTACGCTCCATCCACCTACCTCGGCCTGACTGGCCTCGCCACCGATGTCAACACCGTCTCCGATCTCTTCCGTTACAAGGTAAACATGTACCGGCTGCGCGAGGAGCGCGACATCGCACCGCAGACCCTCGCCAACCTAGTGAGCTCATCGCTGTATGAGAAGCGCTTCGGTCCTTACTTCGTCAGCCCTGTGCTGGCTGGTATCAACCCAACAACGGGGAAGCCATTCATCTGTGGCTTTGACAGCATTGGCTGTATCGATTTCGCCAAGGACTTCATTGTCAGCGGAACAGCAAGCGACCAGCTCTTCGGTACTTGCGAGGGTCTGTGGGAGCCTGATCTGGTATGTATTATTGTTGCTACTATATTCCTTACTGGATGCGGTGTCTGACAAACTTTATAATTACAGGCCCCCGAGGACCTCTTCGAGACAATCTCACAAGCACTGCTTAGCGCCGTGGACCGAGACGCTCTCTCCGGTTGGGGTGCCCAGGTTTACATTATAGAGAAGGACAAGGTTACCCAGCGGTTATTGAAGGGACGACAGGATTAGATTTGGGAAATTGGTTGTTTTGGGCTTTCCGTTGGTTTGAGGGCAGATCCCGGCGTCTACGGTCTTCACTGGATGATATGTGCCGTGTACGGTCGATCAATGACGGGATAGCACAAGATCAACGTGAGAGCGGTTGATACCTGAGCCGAAGGGCGATTTTGTTCTTTGACTCCATGTTTCTCTTACTCCTACTCATGATAATAAAAGGCCCCCGTTGTCACGTCACGGCAGTGTTCCAATTTGCATCAATTCAACGCATTAACTAGGGATGTGGACAAAGTCCAGTTTTCGAGAATCAGTAACCGCCCCAATATGTTAATCTTGCTTTAACTGACTTTGCTTTTGATCGGGCCTCGTGACATACTGGCTGCCCACACCTAGCAGGCCTCAAGGGAGGTGCTGAATGTCTTTCCCCCGTATGTCGGATAAGTATGGTCAAGAGTATGTACTTATACCCTGTTTTTCTGCCTACGAGTCCAACTACTAAAGATGTCACTAAGAAAACCTTGGAACGCAAGTCCGCTTTCAAGAGACAAGATTAGATACAAAATCGGGTATCCTGTTTTCAAATCAACGAACATGTTGCCACACACCAAGTTATCTCGAAAAAAGACCTCGATAAGGGTCAATGCGGTGGGACCTTCAATAACCATCTCTGTCTGCTATCACCCCATAAGCTGGCCCATTATTCCCTAGGAACTTTTTGATATCAGAAGCCAATAGATCAGGCACTTCCCAGGCCGCAAAATGACCACCACGATCATACTCTGTTTCCTGCACAATGTTCCCAATTGATCGATACCACGCCATAGGCCACATAACAATCTCCTCATGGAACTGTGCCACCGCAAAGCACACATTCTGCGGTGCCCGAGCCTCGAGAACTTGTTCAGCCGACATGTAATTCAGGTCTATCTTTTTCACCGGCTCCTCCTGAGCGTCATCCTCCGAGATCGTCGCACTTCCACTACCCTTTGGCGCTGAAGCCTCGTAGTAGATCCTCGTCGACGCCATTGGCCCAGCGGTGGAGAAGTAATATATACTAACCCAGGTCAAGATCTCCTCATCCGTCCAGGGGTACTTGTCAGACCAAGAATGCATTTTGTCATAGATCCAAGCTAATAACCCGACAGGACTATCGTGAAGTCCATACCCTAGAGTTTGTGGTCGAGTTGATTGCTGTTTCATGTATGCGTTGCCGCTGGTGACATATCCCAATGTCCGGGCAATGTAGCCACGATCTTTTGCTGAGAAAGGTACAGATAACAGTGATTTGAAAAACTGATAGGGGCTTCGCCATGGATAGGGTGGCATGACGGGAATGAAGTTCAGATGGATGGCTTGGGTGTGTTCAGGGTAGTACTGAGACATGGTACGGGCAATAATACTTCCCCAGTCACCTCCTTGAATAACTGCTCTGGAATTAGTTGATTTCTTTTGATGGGATAGATAGTGCCTACCGTATTTTTCGTAGCCTAGTGCGATCATCACTTTGTGTAGAGTTTCTGCATACTGTGCCAGCCCAAATCCTCTCTAATTTGGTTGTTAGGATGCTCTTGATGTGCTGATATATAGTACTCAACATACCTTCTTGACACCCTGCGAGAATCCAAAATTTGGCAATGAAGGTGCCACGACATCGAATATTGGGCCATCCCCGCTATTAGTGAGTAGTGGGATAAGCTTGGCGGCTTCGAGGAAGCTGCCGGGCCCTAATATAAGAATGATGGATTAGCAGGGGCATAAAGAGAGTGATGTAGAGATATCAGGGACTATATACACCCGTGTATAAAAAGCAATGGGATTGCTTTTGAATTTCCGCTCCGATGATGCACGGCGTGTATATCCAGTTCTCCGAAGCCTTCTACTCCTACTCGAACGTTGAATTGTTTGAGTTGCTCATTGAGCTTCCGCTCTTGGGTACGCCAGTCAAAATCATTATGCCACACGGCAATAAGTCTCTTGATTTCGTGGAGGGGAACGCCCATGTCCCACTCCGAACCCTCGAGCTCATCCGGGAAGGTAGTATATTCCAGCTTATGGCGGAGCTGTTGCAGTTTCTCATCCGGAACGGCGATGTTGTATGGGGTGACTGAGATCATGGTTGTGAATGTAATCAGACTTTGGTGAGAGTGATAATTTAAAGTTGGTTGTTAAATACATGTATAAAGGCGGGTTTAGGTATTCACATAATTGTTTCTCAAGCTGTAGGAGATGTAGTCTACTAATGTAGTCCCGCTCGGACCACGGAGGGTGGGATTACCTCGGTTTCACAATGACATGGGTATGATGGTATAATATATACATATGCAATGAAGATGAGAGGTTATTTGACTACCAAAAATAGATGTATCAGAGATAAAGACACCTTCCAAATACTCCACTTGGGCATATATATATCTCCTACATATATATTTCCCAAACACAGCCAATGGTCCAGTTGAGAAGTACATCCATAACGTTTGGGCCCATATGACCTAAATAGGAATCAGTCACAACTTGAAAGATTGCAACATATGTTTCTTTAGCACCACTATTTGCCATATTGTTCATTTTGGAATGAAGTCTAACTTCACAACATGCTCAGAGTTATGTTGTATATTTTCGGGCTTCACTATACTCCCGGAATTCCGAATAGAAGCCCCAATTCGAACGATTCTATAGGCGTGCTCTATTGACCCACTTGAATGAGACTGATAAAAACCTGTTTGGTGTGGAAATTACACGATTAACGTTCGCCCATGTGGGATATTGAATGGTGGATACCAAGTGTCTCTTTGCTTGAGATAGTCATAGATTAAATAGATCAAAGGATTCAACACTATATGTTAGACTATCAAGAAAGAATAAGGCATGAATATCCTGCCTAGGTAGGGTGTGTTCTGTAAAATGGGTACTTCGGTACCTGATATCCCCATAGTAAATACCCGCGTAGACGAGGTACCCAGTACCTGTTGGGTCTAGATCCCGCTGATCCTGCGCAACCTCCGTGCTCTGCAGGATTCGAGAGAAAAACACAACACACAAAGGAAATAAAAGAAACCTCAAACGTCTCCGTTAGAAATATTAGGTCTATATCAGAATCTATGAGCTGATATTCTCTTGTTTCAGGCCGTGTCTAGACCGCCCGGCCCCCGTCGAACGGAAAATCCCCTCTCCCCTCTTCTGGGCCTCTCTCCAATATTTCAGATTCTGGTGGATGTTCGAAGTCTCGATCTGTCCACCATACCCTAATTATACAATTGAACGGTCGTTTCTCTCAAACAACCAGAGAATCCATAATCCTCGAACCGATATCACCTTCACTTGCCACATGGACTATGCCCGACACACCCGAGCCGGATGTCTCTCATGCTGTTCACCCTTGTCCCACCATGCCATTCCCCTCTTGCAAATCCGAATGTATCACCGACAGATTAAATGTTCATGACGACGGAGATGTGCAACGCGACTTGGGAACATGGAATGATGGTGCCCAGACCACTGCCATTGAGCATTTGGTTACACTCAAACAGGGTCTGCGGGCATCTGATACAGAGCTGTTCTGGAAACGGCTTATGGAGGACATGACATCTATAACCAAAGCTCAATATGGGTTTGTTGCTCGGAGGGTGCACGGGAGGGAGCCCATGCCAGAACTAGGTGGGCGGCGCCCGTCGCTTTTTGGTGCGGCTTTCTACTATAACGATGGTTACGAGACCGTTGGTTTGCAGCGAAACAGGTTTTTCGCGGGCGGGAACCCCTTACTGCATATGGACCACGAACGGCCTTGTTTGATCCCCGACAATCTCAGTTCACTTGTATCGTTCGGCGATGACCACTTACCGTTCACCGCGGATGGTTATTTGGCTATACCCCTCTTCTCGGCCGGAAAGTGCCTGGCGCACCTCGGGTTGATGTGGTCGAAAGATGGCCTTCGGAATAGAAATCTGTCCTGGTCCTTCCTGGAGATGATTCTCCACTCGCTCGAAGACCTGATTGTACAACGCCTAGATCCAGGGGAGCAAATTCTAGATGAACTCTTAGATTCTCCAGCGCCAAATATCTCCGATTTCCACGATCCCCAAACTGCCGCCTTCCATGAAGCCTCTCATTTTAACGCGCACCCCCTCAAACCCTACGCCCGAAGCTTATCCCACGAGCTGAGGACGCCGATGCAGGGTGTAGTGGGCATGCTTGATGTCATGCACGCTACAGTGCGCGAGGCGATGGAGAGTAAATCCCCGGTTAAATCGGGCGGGGTTTTTCAGTCTCTCAAGGAGGGGATTGAGATGGTTCAGGATAGCGCGAGACGTGCTGTTGAAGCGGCTGACAATGTCGTTCATGCATACGAACTCAATATGCAAATCCCCAAAACACCACTCCGCGAGGAACCCGAGGTACTAGGCGGTCTTACAATCCCATCTACTATTCCCGAAATTCGCCCGAATATTTTTATCGAAGGAAAGAACATCGCTGTAAATCCGTACAAACGGCGGCGGAGCCTACCACCAGAAATTAATACCCGACCAGTACGCAAGCAAAGACTTCGTGCGGCTTCGTCGCGGCAAGAGCTTTCACCTCGCAGCGAAGAAGTCAAGAATGCTGTTCACGAAAGCGACCAAATCGTACATGCTATCCCAGCTCGCCAGTTCGAAGCTGTAATGGCTGACATGGTCGATCCACGCCCGTCTATCGCAGTTCGACGGTCCGCACCTCACTTACTCCTTGAGGGCATCAATGTGAACATGAGAGGTTCTGCTTTGCGTTTTACCAAACTGCGAGATCTTCTTCGCTTGGTGATTAATGAGTCTCTCCACGTTGGTGGTCGACCTGATTCTGCTGTTAGCAATGCAACCGAATTTGGTGAAAGGATTGAAATTCGATCGCGGTCTTCGAATGGTGAATTGTTCACCAAGGTTGTGGACTGGTCTGTAGACCCTTCATTACCGGACACCCTTCTTGCCGATGACCGTGATCTGGCCAAACTGATCTCGTGCGTCTTTCTTAATGCGATCAAATTTACCAACAACGGTACCATCACTGTTTGCGCAACCATTGACTCCAAGAAGAATGATGTTCTTATTCTTGTCCGCGATACCGGCCCGGGTATCCCCGCTGCATTCCTACCTAATCTCTTTAAGCCATTTGCTCGTGAGGATGCATCGACCACAAGGAGCAAAGATGGGTTGGGTCTCGGTCTTCTTGTGGCCAAGGGCCTTTCCCGGAAAATGGGCGGTGACTTGACCTGTGTGCGTTCGTCGACATCTGGTCCTGAGCGGGGTACTGAATTTCGAATTCGAATCCCTGTAAATCAACGTGAAGCTGAAATCCGCCCCGGCACCCCTAGTGAGAGTGTTTTGACGCCATCTACTACCGACCAAACACGACAGGGCAGTGTCAGCAGCTTTCTGTCTGATCCCTCTTCTTGCTTTAACTCCCCATTTATCCTCCCCCAGAACTGTCAGCCGCAACAGCCAACCCCGAGTACCAGCGATGAAAACATGTCTCAAAGTCCAACTCCCCTGCGACCGGCCCGTTTGCATCGAACACATATCTCCGGCGATGCATATGACAAGAAGCTTGGGGAGAAATTTCCGCTGCGTATTCTTGTTGCCGAAGATAATCGAATCAACCGGCGCGTACTAGTAAACATGCTACGCAAACTCGGCTACCGCGATGTACTCGAAGCAGCCGATGGCAAAGAAGCCGTCGAAATCGTTCAAGGCATCCTCTCCGCCTCAAAACCCAATTTGCCTGACACTGGTCTCGATCCAGTACATGCTATGCAAGACATCATCCATCCAACTCTGACGACAAAAATAAAACCGATCGATGTTGTTTTGATGGATCTTTGGATGCCTGAAATGGACGGATATGAGGCCACCTCACGAATTCTCCAGATGGTCGACAATCATCGGGGCCAACATGCTGCTTTTGAGCAACCGAACCCCAACAGCCCTGACTCCATGGAAATGGATCCAATCCCCAACACACTTTGTACGCCGCAACCTCCCACAGTTCTTGCCGTGAGTGCCGACGTCAGCGACGAGGCATTGAATCGTGCCTCAAAAGTGGGAATCAAAGGTTATATGACGAAACCCTACAAACTCTCTGATCTCGAACGACTGATTCTCGAATTCTGCGGTGATCCTGGCAACCCTGTTGTCTAAATCCTAGTATAACGACTAGACCCCTGAACATGATGTTGCTTTTTTTTGGATTTCCCCGTGAAGACCATTATATACCCATTGGATGCGGACTTATTTCTTCATGTACAGACCTCCCAATTGCTTTTTCCTTTGGTCCGATGATCTCTCTCTCGGTTAGGATATGTACTGATTTGGCGGATTATTCTTTTTCGACTGCCATATACCATAATCGACATTTTTGACTCATTTCATGTTTATTATCTCCTTTTCGGATACAATGATTGATGATACACCGCACGCGATTACTGCACACATACTACGTAGCGCTATTTGAACCTGTCGAAATTTGAGTTCTAGTCGTGAATTTTCTACTTTATGTAGCTTGGGAGGTTCAACGCTAGGAATATGCTCAATTTGATGATTTGTGTGGTGGGAATAGCTTTCAATTATACTATGATTTACAATACATTGTATAAAGTGGTCTACAACAAGCATAGTTAAATCAGGTATAATTACATAAATACATAAATACCTAACCTTGGAAAAGACTAGGCATTCGACCCGCTATGCCCCTTCGCACTAGACCAAATTGGGAGTAACGGCTCCACTTTGATCTATGACCTTGAAAGATACATCTACGGATATAAACAAGAACAATTGAGGAGGAGAGAAAAAAAAATGATCCGTTCCCAATTACTCCGCAGCGAGGATCGAAATCCTGACCGGTTTCATCATCACTGAGCTTCCCAATGCGGTATCACCCGGGGTCACTGTTTCACTCAGCAATCAGATGACCTCATGTCTCTCACCCACTCGGCCACCTGGGGAGGATTCTAGCATATTACATTAAACTTGGGTCAAGTAGACCATCTGAGCATTATTGAACCACGATATACATAGCTTACTCCTACACAGCCCGACTTCCTAGTTGGGTCTCCGATAACCGAATCTATACAGTAAATTTGAATTATTTTATAACCACATGTCATAATATTCTTCTCTTCTACATGAAACTGTGACCATCGTCCACCGATATTGATCCGCTCTATTTGCAGAGAGTGAAATCGGCCAATCCTCCATCAGGAACAGTCTCCTGCGGGAGGCAGAAGTTAACGTTTTCTCCTTTAAGATGCGTGAAGACCCGAGAGTACTCAGCCTATTTGAAGCAATTAGCAAGTCAATTTCCACGCCTTCCTTCAAATCCGGGAGAACAAACCTCAACAAGGTTCACAAACTCATCATATATGTTATCCGCCTTCATCTTCTGACGAACAAGATCGGTCACTCCCCCCAAAATTGCAACTACTGTAGTGACTTTACTGTCCCAAGTAAGGAGTGCAGAAACCCCAGTTCCATCAACACGAGTGGATTCAGTGCTGCCATAGATATCTGAAGAGCATTTCAATTAGCATCATACCAATCGCCCAAACTTGATATCTGAAAGGTGTCACTGACTCTGCATTTTCTTGCCAGCAACCATATTTCTCCACCAGGCGAGTCCGACAGACTTGTTGACCAAGATTGTCGGGAATACACTATACGGCGTGATGACGTCCAGTTCCTGGACAGTCTGGTTCGAGATGGAAGGAATACCGGCGTTTGAGATATAGCCAGTCACATCGCCGATGGATGGATCGGTGATGTTGTTAACGGAGGCGAACATGCCGGGTAATCTCGTGGCGACTGAGTTGCAGGTCCGGACTCGCTCAGCGTTTTCAAATACACGACTAAACGGAAAACTGTTAGCATACCAGAGCTGATATCTGTCTTCTGCTTGAAGACTCACCGCACAATGTCGATGTCATAGTATGGCATCTGCAATACTTTCCAGGTTTCGTGGCTAGAGAACCAAAATCCTATCTCAAAATTTAGTCACTATCTTCTCATCTTTTTTTTTGGAAATTCACAAACCCTTTTGGACAGTGATAGGCCCGAAACCACCCTTTTTGTAGTCAACGCTCACCAGCTGCGGTTGTTTAATTTCCCATAGAGCCTGTTTGTCGGCTTTCGAGAGACCGCCAAAGAATTGTAGCCAGAAAGTAAAAATCTCGCCTTCGAAAGGGTCGTCGAGTAGATTTTTGCCCTCACATAGATACGACTGATCCGGGTGGTTGACGGGGAGGGACTGATCTTGAATTTCAATGACGGCACAAACCCGGCCATTACCTTTGTAAAAGATCTAATTAACAGAAAATTAGCGAACTAGTCAAAATCGAGCAGGGGATCGTGATAGACCTTAGCGGCAGTGGTCTTAGTGTAATCCATCCAAGTCTGCCATTTCTGCGCGAGTTCTTGATACTCCTTATTGCCCGTATTCTCAAGTGCCTGAATAAAACCATACACAGCCCATACAAGTTCACTAGACGGATATTTATTATTAACCCGTAACCCAAAACGAGGATCAAGCATCCACATACCCGTTATCAAGAGGAGGCACGCGATTGACCCAGTCCGGTCTTGGAGTTATATCTTGAGTATCGGCCGTGATCCAGGGCAAGAAGCCTCCGAAGCCTGGGTAAGTCTCATTGAATCTGAGATAAGTCTGCAGCTTTTTCTGCATAATAGAAGCAGCGATTTTGGGGGCTTCGGCTGTGTTCTCAGGCGAGAGGAACCGAGCAGCCTCTGGAGATCCTGCAACGGCATGGGTATACAACATGATTTGAAGGGACTATTGGAATATCAGATAAGGACTTCCATACATTGGAGGGAAATGAATACTAACCTCTTTGCTAGCGGCACTGAACGTGTGCTTCGCTGTTGCCTCCCCAGTTACCCAGTCAATGTTAGTGCCATCGTACGAGATGCCATTGTTGCTGTTGTAGGAGATGTTGTTCTGGTGGAACTTGCCCTCCCAATACAGCATGTCATTGATGAAGGCAGTAGGATCTTGGAGAATCTGCTTTTGGGAATAGTGATGGGCAAAACGACATGATGGCTCATTGGTATGTCCGGATGTCGATGGTAGGGCATTGACTAGTGTTGTCCATGTTATGACATGACCTATTTTCTTGTGGACACGCATATTGGGAGTGCTCAAAGAAAATAACCGAATAACGAGCTGGAGTAGACATTGGAACGGAACTTTCGATGGTATAAATACCATGTGTCTCTGGCTTGAGGCGCCAACTGCATATTCCCCCGGTCTTCCATGCCCACGAATTAGATCGCACCAGGAATCTCTGGGGTCCCCGCATTTCGAAAAGCTTTCTGAAGATGCCGGCGAAATCTGATAATGGGCTGATGGTGGGCTTTTGCCCGTTTAGCTCGTGTGCAAATCTATTTCCACTATAGGATGAGATCTTCAACGGGGATGGTCAATTAACCGAAACGGAGAATCGGGGAATTATAGATCGGGGAATCTAATGTACCCCAGACGTTGATCCCTTGCTTGATTCGGACAGTTCCCAAAGCATATTGCTTGGGATCATTTCATTTGTAATTATACTATTTTATTTATCTTATCTGGACCCGCATGACACGTAGTACTGTGAAGATTTATTCATAACAGCCGTCGCAAAGTATCTGATGCTTTAGAGTCTAAGCGTGTCAGTATATCAAGGAGCACAGACAGATCGTTGCGCGCTCGCGCCGATAGAGGGGATGCTTCATGTTGATCGATAATCTCGAGCAGACAAGCTCCTATGAGTCTGATCTTTTCTACCTAGATGGTCATCAGAACTTGCTCATTTGGAATCAGAGAGCAGGAGAAAGGGCTTAACTCACACATGGTTCACCGTTAATCTGCAATGCCCAAAAAGGGGCATCGCGAATGACTCGCAGAAGATCCCGTGCAATGTCAGTTTTCCGCAGTAACAGCATTTCATTTGGCGCAGGAGGATAGTAATCAAACTCTTCGAATTTTTGTGTGATTACCATCTTAAGACAGTGTAATGAGACGTAGACATTAGCTGCTTGAATAATATGCAGTCTCGTGAGTCTAGACAGGTGCTGGTTGTCTTTATTGGCGTTTGACATGAGCTGATCATATTGTAAGAAGGGGGGTAAATCATCGAGAGACGTTGCAAAAAGCACGTAGAGATGGTCAAGCCTGTGACTTTCTTCTGCTGTAGGAGGCTGACGAGGAAGTAAATTCCCATTTCTGTGACTATCTAACAGTCGCATCTCTAAAAGTAAATCGGATGCACTTTGCCATAGTCGAATGTTCGCATTGAATCCCGCGATAAAGCTCTTTTGAGTACTCTCAGAATCAGGGACAGCACTACCCGGTGTCGAGATTGTCTCATCTTCGATGCCTGTGGGATAGCCGATGGTGATGCCAGAGTTGAATGAATATTTGTGAATAGTGATCGGACGATTGTTCAGAATGGCTGCTGATTTATCGCCGATATAGGCAATCCAGAATGCCCGACGGCGGAACTCCACTTCGAGAGAAGAGAGCCCCTGCAGTGAATTTTCTTCATGCATCTGCATCACTTGGGCCAATCGGGTCGCTTCCCCAAATATGTGCCATGACAGTCGCGGCTTACCGGCAGCATGCATGCAGTTGGAGTGGAAATATCGAATGGCGACCGAGTTTGCATTTGGGTATTCGAGATCGGCTTCCAGGTATGTAGCCAGGCAGTTTCTGGAGGCTTGTAGAAATATGTCTGCGATTGCCTCCCCTTCGGGAAATATGTCTTTCGGAAGGAGAAAGGCCGCTTCTGCACAGACAGCAGTGATCAAAGTGAAAGAAAGATCCGGCCACAGCTCGGGGTATTTGAGAGTATTCACACCATATACGAGGCCGTCAGCTCTCGAATTCCTTCCTTGGGTCACGAAGAACCCCAACCCATCTCGAAGACTGGGTTCATGAACAAGTGGAGTCAGGGGATATAGATATTCAAAGAATAGCTCAAAGCAACGGTTGATAGTGCGCTCTAGATGTGACGATGACTTCTGCACGGAAATCACCCGCTCCAAAGCATGCCACCGCTGTAACGCGGAGGTGATTCTCGTGGAGGCGATATCGGAAAGTGACGATTGGACTGTATGCACTGTCTCAGGGGACAGAGTAGGATCAAGTACCGAGAGATTGGTGTCCCACGCATCTAGTGGAACTGCAACCGGTGCGGTCGAACTGAGACTTTGTGTTATAGAGCCATGTTCCGCTACCTGCAAAGCTGGTGCCAGAGGACTATCCAAGACACTCGGATAAACCACACCCTGTGACCTTTGTCGCTTGGATTTGGGTCCACGTCTGGCAATTGGCACGTCAAATGTGCATTGCGTCCGAGCTAGACGGCAGTTGGTGCATATTGACGATTCTCCCGAGCAGTCACACTATGATAATTTAGTTTAGGTCAGGTAAAACGAACTTTCGCCTCATACCTTTGATTTTCTCCGACGGCACCGATCGCATGCTCTAGCTGATGAGCGCGAACGAGCAGGGCTGGCCATCACATCTTCTGTGTCGGGAAAACTTGTCGGAGGTTAGGGCAGTTGGGAAGTTGGAGGTGGGGGGATGAGCCTCGGTCAAATACTTCGCGTATTTCTCCGAAGGCTTAAGGTTTCTTCGCTTGGTTCCCATTTAATTAATTCAAAGACAACTATATTACGCGAAACTAATACTAAGCATTCTATATCTTGCTTGCCGGAATAGAAAGTGTCTTATTTTATTAGCACGGGTCAAATAAGAACTTTGGAGAAGATTTCGAGGTCAATTGTGAACTGTCTAGTAGAATAATATTTGTCTAGTCCCATGGCAATTGCTCACTGCATGTGCCATATGGTCATTAGAAGGCATCTAATCGCTCTATTGGGACCTAGAAGCGTTGCCACCCATGCGTTCATCGAACATGCCTTTCAGCAGCAATGCGGATTGCTTCGGGGTTCTTTCCAGGGTGTTATAGTCCGTAAAGGTAACGCCAAAGCGAACCCCATACCCATCAGACCACTCTGGAAGAAGTGTTAGCTCAAATATCTTGACATATGGAGTAAGAAACATACCTAAGTTGTCCATCAATGACCACGCAAAATATCCTTTGATATCAGATCCATCCTCTATGCGTGCTCTTCCAACGGCATCGAGATGATCCCTGAAGTACTGGATTCGGTAGGTATCGTTGACAGCCTCTTCGCATGTCATCTTCTCCTCACCAGGACAAGGGCACCCATTCTCCGTGATGTAGATGGGCTTGCCATATGTACGATATACTCGCGTCAAGTGCTTTCGGAAAAGTTCCGGGGTTGACCGGAGCCAATGCACACCACTCTTCTCTCCGACTGATACACCTTGCTTGTTTTCTTGCAGTTCATCCACATTCCCAATGAAGTCAGTCTCAGGCGCAGGCTCGTCGCGATGCCGGGCAAATTGGGAGGTGTAATAGTTCATTCCGTAGAAGTCTATGTCCGCCTCCCTAAGCAAAGCAAGGTCCCACTCCGTAAAGCTAGGGAGTCTATCGCCAAGTTGCTCTCTCATGCATTTGGGGTAGTCTTGGGCTAGACTGTCAAAGGTGTCAGTGTCCTTGTTTTAGTGTGGTCTGGGCCAATAGAAACCTACCAAATGGGGTTCGCAAACCATCCAATATGGAACTGCATTCTGCGCTCAGCAGCTTGCCGGTCGCGCTCGTCCTGGCTGTCCCAGGGTTCATAGTAATCACCGTTCAGAGATATACCAATCCTGCCTTTCTGAAAAGCTCGGAATTTCCGGTTATACAAAGCCACAGCGCGAGCGTGGCTCATGATCAAGGCTTTCCCAACAACCCATGGCTCCGTAGTAGTATCGCCCTCGGTGGACTGTGGATTTATACTGCTTCGTCCCGGCGCATTTCCGCCAGTCGCGTATCCCTAAACAATGTGTTAGTTGTCTGAGACAAGAAAAAAGGCCAGAGGGCCTAGAAAAACATACAAAGATAGAAACAATCCACGGTTCATTCAATGTGATCCAATTCTTGACACGATCTCCAAATCTCTCATAGCAAATTTGTGCATACCGCTCAAAGTCAAGCTGCGACTCCTCCACATTCAACCAACCTCCATATCGATCGTGAATGGCTTGAGGAAGGTCCCAATGATAGAGAGTGACCCATGGGGTGATTCCCCTGGCAAGCAGGGAATCAATGAGTTTGTTATAGAAGGCAATACCCGATTCGCTGACTGGATCGTTCCTTCCCCCTAGTGGAATGATCCGTGACCAGGAAATTGAGAATCGGTATGCTTTTGCGCCGTAATTGGAGAGAAGGTCGAAATCCTCCTCGAATCGGTGGTAATGATCGCAAGCGATATCTCCATTGGCCCCCTTAGTCCTTGTAGGCTCAAGGTGGCAGAAGGTATCCCAGATCGACTTTCCACGGCCATCTTCATTTACAGCGCCTTCGATCTGATATGAGGCAGTTGCAAATCCCCATTCAAAATCGGGAGGTAAGAATCCCGACATACTGGCAATGTTCAACACAGAGCCACTGAAACAGTTTGGAGTATTTTGAAAAAGGAGAAGTTATCAGAGCTCATCGAGTAGAACTTAAAGCTATGTTCCTTATAGTCGGAGAATTGTGGCGTTCAAAGTGGGGGACATCTCATCGAAGGAGAATCGGCGTTTCGCCGATTCCCCGATTCTCCAGATTTCTCTTCACATTTCCCCATGGGACAATTCCCCGCAAAAATGAAAATAACATTTCTCTGTCAAGACATTTAGGGCTAACGGAATGCATAGGATTCGTTGTCTCCACCCAGCCGTCTCTTCTATAAGAAGTGCAAGGAAGCCTTCGGGTTAAGACCTCTCTTTCGATCATAGGCAAGCTTACTTCATTTGTCTCTTAGTCCAACTAAAGTCTGCAATCATGGCTCCTGCTGCTGCCCATGCTGCCGAGGGCATTATATCGTCTATTGACGTGAACTCTATGCCGCCTTTCTGGAGACGAAAGAATGGCATTCTACTATACTTTCTGCTCACTTCGTCCCTATTAGCAAGTGCGGCTCTCGGAATTGATGGAGTGAGTCACAATGTTTCGATACTAGAGTGGTTTTACTAACGATCTATTGCAGTCCATGACAAATGGCATGCAAGTCTTGGAATCCTGGCAAGATCGATTTGGACATCCAGAAGGCGCAACATTAGGTTTCTTTGGAGCTTCTAATGCCATTGGGGGCGTCATCCCATTTATCTTTCTCGGCTGGATTGGTGATAAGTACGGTCGTCGCTTACCCACTGCCTTGGGATCCATCATTATCATCACTGGTGTGATTGTTGAATTCTTTGCCACTTCTTTGAACATGTACATTGGCGGCAAGATCGTTTTAGGCATCGGATCTTCGCTCATACAGATGGGCGCACCCGTATTGATTACAGAGCTGTCCCATCCAAAGGAAAGGGTACAGATCACCACTTTCTACAACACCTCCATCGTTCTTGGATATGTGATTGGAGCCTGGGCAACATTTGGATGTTACAGGATCACCAATCAGTGGTCATGGCGGCTCCCTACTTTGATCCAGATTATCCCCTCGGCCTACCAATTCTGTCTGATTTGGTTCTGTCCTGAGTCTCCCCGATGGTTGATTGCAAAGGGTCGTATCCAAGAAGCCCGACAGATCCTGATCAAGTTCCACGGTGAATGCGACCCCAACTCCGAGCTGGTTGCTGTGGAGTGTACCGAAATCCAGCAGGCCATTGACAAGGAAGCAGAGAACAACATGAGCTGGAAGGACTTCTTCTCCTCTCGCGCCAACCTTAAGCGCCTGTTCCTCTGCTTTGCTACAGCAGTTTTCAGTCAGAGCTCGGGAAACCTGCTCGTCTCGAATTACTTAACTCAAATCCTGAAAGACACGGGCCTGAAGACCCAGTCCGAAATTACGCTTATGAACGGAATGGTCACTCTTTGGCAGTATGTTGTCGCGATATTTGTTGCACTAGTCGTCGATAAATTCCGCCGTCGGTTCTTCTTTCTTACCGGCTCCGGTGGTGTTGTTGTCACATTTGTCGTGTGGACAATCGCTGCCCAGCAGTACCTTGAGCACAACTCTTTGGTGGCCGGCCGTGTTGTGATTGCCTGCATCTTCTTCTTCCAGGCGTTCTACACTTTCGCGTGGACCAATTTGATTGTCACATATCCGCTGGAGGTTGTGACTCTTCAGATGCGTGCCAAAACATGGGCATTCGTTCTTCTCACCATTCAGGTGGCGTCTATCTTCGGAAGCTATGTGAACCCCATTGGCCTGAAGTCCCTTGGCTGGAAGTTTTACATTTACTACTGTGTCTGGGTGCTTGTCGTCTTCCTCGTGGTCTACTTCTTCTTCGTTGAAACCGCCGGTCCTACGCTTGAAGAACTGGCCTATCTGTTTGAAGGTGAAGACATCAAACGTGGAATAGTCGACAAGGTTGCAAAGCAAAAGGAACAAGTACAATATGAAGAACATGTGGAGAACAAGTCGGCGTGAGATACTGCGTTTGCGACGGTTAAACCATGACGAGCATTAAGATACATAATTCTTTAAAATAAAGATACAACTAATTACAACCGATAATTATCAGAAACAAAATCAAGCACCTTAGATCGTAGCAAATTCCATGTTAGCTTCAACTGAGACACTACTAACCAATGATAAGCTCTAGGGCAGCCATTTTGCGAGGAGCTGCATGCTGTGGCCTTCGGCTTCACCAAGAGTCCTATAGGCCGGATAGTCGCTTTTGAAAGGATAGGGAAAGCTCGAATGTGGAGTGTCTGTACAGCCGGGGCTAGGCGACAATGTTTAATGACTATAGTTGGTGTGGATAAATATCGTTTTCTAAAACGATCTACAAAAGCCAAGGCAATAGAAGAAAAACCATCATTACATCCATTATCAAGATCAACATCTGACCACGCTCTAAGCACTCCGCGCCCTTTTGCTGAAACACTAGTCGTGTGGCTTAACGAGTTCAAAAAGAGACCTCGGGGATTCAAAATGCCCCAGACCAGAATTTAAAAATCTGCCGTTCGCCAGGAAGATAGGATAACAGCACATGCAAGAACCAATGACCAATATTCATGTAAACCGGTGTGCGTGACCACAGCAGAGGTGGAAGGAAGATGCAAGGCATAAGAACAAAGATATGTTGTAGGAAATAAGACAACATGGCATCTAAGTCAACTTCTGCTTGATGAAGAATGACCGCAGGTGCGAGAGCTGCCAGGCGCATGCGGCGGACAACACAGCGAGCTGAATAAGAGTCCAGCGCACAACACGCGAGTTGGTGGTCTCAGACTGGTCACGGAATTCAGACTCACGTTCCTGAAAAAAAAAAGAACATTAGTATACGCGCTTCAATCGTCCATAGTCCAGCCTTGGGTTAGTTCTGGGGTAATCCTTACCCGCTGGTACACCTGCTCACGACGGATATCGTGCAAGCGGCTGTTCAGATCCTTGACACGCTGCACAATATCCTTCATCTTATCCTTGTCCTCGGTCTCAATCTTGCTGGTCTCACCGATTGCAATGTCAACGGTGAGCTTGACGGCACCTCGAGAGTTGGACATCCAGCCGGATGTAGCATCCGTCTCTGGAGTGAAGCAGATTTTGTGCTGGCCGGCATCCGCGGCAGAGAAGTGGAAGCGACCGGAATGGCTGTCACGCTTGGAGACGACGCGGTGGTCATTGTCGAAGGTCTCGTCAACGGTAATGTGGACCTTCATTGTGTGGTCAATCGCGTAGGTGCCACTCGAGGGATTAATGATTTCTGTCTCATAGCGGCCTATGGTTTAACCATCATATATTAGCTTAAGATCCCTTCACAAAGGCGCTAAAGATTGGTGCGTACCGGCCACTAGAGTATCCTTAGGCAGGTCCTCGAAGAAGCACTTTGTTTGCCGGCCCTCCATGTAGAAGTACAGGGCATTTGTTGGGAGAAGGAGAGAAAAGAAGGAGAGTAAAGTCAATGCTGACGCCAGCCATGACGAAGATGCCCCAGGGAAAACCATGATGAGGAAATGAGGAATTGGATAGTCGCACGGCCACGTCCTCTCTGTGAAGGTGTCAACATCAGGGACCGTGGCTTCTCACCGCCTGCCGTCTCCGGAATGTCTCCCTTTCCGCCGGGAAGCCTCTGTCGATGTGATCTTCAATTTTGACATTCACTAGTCTTTATATCATCAAACAAAAGCCGCTTTTATCTTTTCTGTCGTCGCTTATAAAACCTTCAATCATCAAATACTGAATAAATCGTTCCTTGGTGTCGTATCTGGGAAGATAACCACTCCGCTCCAACCGCCAATATGGCCGCGGCCGATGTTCGCGACATGCTGGACTTGCCCGCAGAAGGGCAGCCCAGACCACACAAGAAGCAGAAGGTGGTCGAAAAGCGACCAGGTAGGTGTCACGGGATCTATTAGGAATAAGATGAATTACTGACAGTCTCCCGTTGCAGAGGGTATTACACGTGAATTGTACGCGCTACTGGGCGAAAGAGCGCCACCAATCGCCATTAATGAAAACAAATACAAGGGCCGTCCGAAATGGATGAACAAGCTGCGCGTTCGACCATGGTATGTTGAAGATGCGGCTCTTTGGAGGTCCCGAATGCATGCTGACATTGAATCCCGTGTAGGAGCATGGCACCGTTTACAAACAATGCTCGTTCTGACGGTCTGGTTTTGAACCACTGGCAGAGAAAACACGAATCGGCGCGACCACCTGTACCCACACCTGCACCCGCACCTGAAGACGCCCAGATGGAAGTGGATCAGCCCAAGGAGGAAGGGACAGAGGACGTATCGAAACAGCCAGAGCAGGAATATGCCTTCGCCAAGTACAACGTCAAACCGCGTTTGCCTCGTCGATACACAGATGACGAGTACAATCGACATCTTAAAAGTGATGACTGGTCACGGGAGGAAACGGACTATCTGATGGATCTTGTCACTGATTACGACATTCGCTGGGTGCTCATCGCAGATCGTTATGACTACCAACCACGAATGGACACACAACCCGACGCGAATGCACTTGTGCCCGCAAAGCACCATCGGACAATGGAGCAAATGAAGGCCCGATACTATACCATTGCTGCAACAATGCTCTCACTGGAGCACCCACCCTCGGAGATGTCAGAGGTCGAGTTCGAGTTACATGAGAAGATGCTCAAGTTTGACCCCGACCGAGAGCGCGACCGCAAAGAACTAGCCGCTCTCCAGCTCAACCGCACAGCTGACGAGGTCCGCGAGGAGGCAATGCTACTCGAAGAATTGAAGCGCATCACAAGCAACGAGCAAAACTTCATCACTGAACGCCGAGAACTCTACTCTCGCCTCGAGGTTCCCATCAGCGTCGGCAACACCACAATGTATCAGTCCAGCGCAGGTCTTTCCCAGCTCCTGCAGACGCTACTACAAGCCGACAAGAGCAAGAAACGCCGCTCCATCCTCGGCGACGGTGCCATCCCAAGTCCTGCTGGTCAGACTCCGACCACCGCGGGAGGCCTGGGTCGATCCGAAACCCCTGTCACACAGGCAAATAAGAAAGGGGCTATTCCATCAAAAGAAACCGGTCAAATGGTACGCACGCTCACTACAGCGGAGGAAGCCAAGTACGGCGTCCAGCACCACGAGCGTGTCTCAGCAGGCGTGCAATTCCGCAGCGACCGGGCCCAGAGACTCACTCAGGCCAAGTCCAACGTGCAAACCCAGAAACTGGCCAATGCTCTATCCGAGCTCGAGATCCCGGTTCGCTTGTTCATGCCCACCGAACGCGTATGCAAGGATTTCGAGAAACTCATTCAGTCTGTCAACATGCTTCTCGACGCCCGCAAGGTATCCGAAAAGGTTGAAAGTGAGATCCGTGTGCTCGAAGCCGCGAAGATGGAGCGCGAGCGCAAATCACGAGAAGCTGCTGGGATTTCGGGGCCAAGTGCTGACCCCGAACATCCCCATGTGAAAAAAGAGACTGAAGACGGCGACACCGGGGTTTTGGGACATTCTACTACTCAGAACCAAGGGGATGGCAATCACAAGCGGTCTGCTAGTGTGCTCAGTGGCGCAAGCGACAAGAGCAGCAAGCGGCAGAGGAGATAGGTGACTTGCTTCTCTACTGGTGATAACACTACACTCTGATTGTGTGAATGCGGGAAGTGTAAGATGTATTAGGGACCAATTACCCATATTTCTGTACGATTAATGACACCCGATTGGGAAGCATACTCATAATTAAACCAACTCCATCCCCGCGAGTAACAATAATAGCACAATTGGCCTCAAAGAGTTCGATAGCAGTGTTTTTATGCTCCAATCAATATTCTCTCATCACTCTGCCTCTGCTTCAACCACCAGACTTGTTCGGCTCGCCCACCGGCTTCCATAAAACGCCCCTGGCATCCCAATGCACTCCTGATACGCACTCGCAAGATCCTCTGCCACATCGCTTCTGGTAGAGTTTGCTCGCCCCAGGTCACTCGACGGACGCTCTTGGTACTGTACTGACGATTCCTGAGATGGTTCCTTTGGACGGGGATTCGAACGTCTCTTGCTTTCTCTGTTCCTAGAAAACCTTGGCATCCAACGTCCACTCCGAGAGCGGAAAGGTTCTCCGTTTAGCCTGTCCACACTCCTGTCATTCGACGGATCGAAGTACATGGAGGGCCGACCGTTGGTCTCCTCGATGGAGCGGCGGCGTCCACCGAGTGGCGATGCATCTGGAGTACAGACATTGCGCCCATGGGTTGAATCGTCGTACTTTTCTGATTGTGACTGTTTACGTGTTGACCGGCTGGCTTTCGCCCACCGACTTAAGAACGTTTCATCGACATCTTCGATATAAAAGCTCCTTGCAGAACTCGGCGTTTTTGCAGAAGTTGGCGTCTTTGCAGAAGTTGGCGACTCAATATGCTGCGCGCGGATCGAGCTTGCAGGGCGGGCTTCGCCTACACCCATTCCTTCAGCAGCCACATCCACTGCCAGGGGTGCGTGCCTATTACCTCGAAGTGAGTGACTTTTCATTCTGGCCCACATCGTTGGTGTCAAAACGGGTTCACTTTTAGCATTCATAGGACTTCTCATCATAGGAGACTGCTGGGTGTCAGACCTGTTGGAACCACGGTCAGAAGTAAAATTCTGGGCTGATGATGCCAGGTCGGATTGACCTCCAACTGTTGTAGGATGATCCTCAGCATTGTCCACCAAGTTATACCCATAGCCCATTCGCCGTCCCCCGGTCATCCATCCGGGACTGACTCTGCGATGCGGACTGGCACCGTTGACGCCGTTGGAAATACTAGGGAGCTGGGGTGACTCCCAGTTTGCCGCATCAAGTTGCTCAACAAACTTGCTTTTCAGAACCTCGCCGGCTGGATCCTGTTCACTTTGGACTGGGCCAGTCCCAGCTATCATTTGTGAATGAATATTGGGTAGGCTATCCATTGCATTCGCAGCATGGACCCTCAGTGATTGAACGGCAGATGCCCCCCGTGAAGGGTTACTGCTCTGGCGTGAATAAAAAGAGGATGCATCTCGTTGGTGATGGATAGGTTGCTTCTGGGGGTCTGAACCCGCGACTGTTGATTCTCTGGATCTCTCATAGGGTTGAAAGTTCTCTTGCGACGCCATTTGTGGGCCATACCTATTCGCACGTGGCAGTTCCGACATGGACGGATTAGCTGATGGCGGTTCGGAACCCATACTTGTCCCCGCGAGTCTGTGCGAAAGATCTAGATCACCAAGATGCGGTACTCGGGAATCGGAGTGTGTCCCCGGAGAACTCGTTGGATGTCGTGTTTTGGGAATCACAATTCCAGGGTTTTCCCTGGCTAGCGACGCTGATGATGCCGCGCGATAACCATCAGGGTTTGACCCCATATACTGAGCCCAGTCAGCCACACCATTTTGAAGGTTCTCACCGCTGTTGCTGCCTAGGCAGGCATCTCGAGATCGGAGATGGTCTTTATTTGCTGGAATCAAACCTTCTTGACCGGTATGCAGACTTGGAAGAGATCTCGTAGACATGTTTCGCTCGCCCGACTGCTGATTTTTGAAGGAAGTCACGGACTGGCTACCTGTGCGTTGGGTTGCATAGGTAGGATGAGCTGGGCGCCCCCTCAGACTTCCTGGTGGCGTGGGTATATAATGCATCCCAAAGGGAGTTCCTGGGGTGTCGGATTGGTCATGGTTTCTATCATTTGTCCACAATTCCATATCATTCCGCTCACGGCTGCACTCTATTAGATCATGCAACCCCATTCTGCGAAACGCTGGGTTTCTGGGCGGCACTCTCATACGGTCGACATGCTGAGGACTCCCAATGTATTGGGCATCACTGTCGTACCCTCGTGCGCTCATCAGACTGCTTCCCATGTCTCCGACCATTGATAATCCTGCAGATGCTTTTGATACATTTGACCTTAGCTTGAGAGAAAAGGGAAAGATGGTGGTGCGGTGTTCGGCAGACTGTCTGGATTCTCTCGAGAATCGATGGCGGAGCCGTGAGAGACTTGTAGATTTCCGTCTCGGATGGCGAACGGGAGTTGCCGTTAACCCTGGCGAAGAGTCTGCGGCATCTTGAGTTAGTCAGGGCAACATTCAAATCAAGGATAGGACTGAGTCTTGCCTCGGCCTTGTTGCCTGGGACCATGCACATTCTCCATTTGGCTATCTTGATATGATCGTGCAAAGTTACTTGGGGAGCTAGCTCGGTGTCCCCTTCGGAGACGGGGACATATAAGAAAAAACATTTGTCCATGGAATGTTTACAAGACGAACTTCTACGTATTCGTAAATGTCTTCTTAAGGGCATGTTGGGGAAGGCACGATCGACAGATGTTGTGCCTTCCATTTTAGAATATTTCGAGGTCCCGAGGTCGCTCTTTCTGCTTATTAGGATGGTTTGGATCCATGGATTAACTTAACTGAAGTGGTTTTGGCGAGCTTACTTAGAACTCTCCAATTCCCAGGCTCTAAAACATTCTATACCTTGTACACAACTAATGCAGATGCAACATCTGATTATAATATTTCATAGCTCAAGTTCAATACATCCAACCGATACACATCTGAGTAACATGAGAAACAAGGCATCTACTAGTACTCATGTTGAAGCAATGGCCCCCTAGGTATGTGTGTAGGTAAATCTAGAATGCGTTAGAGTTCTCAGGATCTACCTAGTGGATACCATTACCCGATACATGCTAGTTCCGGGAGTGGGCCAGGCACGGGCCACACCTAGATTCCCGTACGGCATAACCAGGCGATCAGCGAGTAGGTACCTATAGTATACCTAGGTAGCTACGGAGTACTACGTTTAAGTTATAAATGCAATCATCACTGCTTCGAGGTCAAAGTCAAACCGTCAACTTCGACTTGTTGGCCGTATGTTCTGGGGTTTCACAGTATGTACAGTATGGATGTTTAACAGCATACTATATCCTGCAGTGTAACACACTTGCAGGGAAAAAACCAAGTAAATCCCGAATCTGCGGGCCCAGCCTTCTATAATAAGCGGCCGAACACCACTCTTACACTGCCCCACAAATTGCTGAAGGTCATCTTTTAGTACAGCAAAGGGTCTGAGCACGTCGATAGTAACAATTTGAGCTGGATGCATTCATCTATTTAACTAAACATGTGAAAGGAACAGTTTGAGAGAAGCCGGATATTCTTGAAAACAGGTGTTCCATAGCCTAATTGACGATAACACCAGGTACATCGGAATATTACTTAGGCAGGTCCAACTGTAGAAACACGTCTCTAAATTGGTAAATATCCGACAACTCGGGTTTCCCGCCAATTGTATCATCAAATAGACTGCACTGGTGTTAAACTGAGGGTGATCACTACTCATTTGAAGTTTTCCTGCATATGCGTATGCCTAGTCATTTCCTTAAAGCTCCCTTACATTCACAAACTGGTTTCCCAAGCCACAATGGTACGTCATAAATTGATCGGAATGTAAGAAGTGTCCTCCAATTGAGACTTGACATACAACTCCACCGCAGTTTGGGCATCACAAAACAGAGCAATTGCCTGTATTTGGGACTAGTCAGTCTCGCCTGGGCAGTGAACGCAAACTTGGAATATATTCTCACCTGTGCTGTCTTAAACTGCGCCTTTCCACCCTCACTTGCAGCAAAATAAACCCGGTATTGACTCTCGGAATCAATGTATGATGGATAACCGACAGGAGTTGGGACCTTGTCGGATTTCCCAAATAAGGACATGTTCTCCACCTCCTCCTGCGGTCTTTGGGTAGCTGCCAGATCCTTCAGAACGCCGGGTGCTATGGTCAGTGCGTCAATCCCAGCGAGCATAATCAGCTCATCGAGACTCAGTGTTACACAAGCTTTCAGTCGTGTGGGCATAGAATTCTGACGGTAGAAGTGTTGTGCTTGCACACATACACCGAGAATGGGATTGTTGTCCTTGTATCTAGCAAGGAATCAGAAATACACCCATTTTCGGAGATACCTCTCACTCACCCCTTGTAAGTTTCGGTTTTGAGCTCATGCACAAACGGTGAAATTGATATACAGCCGGCTTCGCCCGCAAGGATCGCCTGTTCCATAGAGAAGAGAGTCGTGGCCAAAGTCTTTATTCCGCTTTGCTTGAGCTGACGTGCGGCTTGCATTCCCTCCCATGTTGCTGGTAGCTTGGTAACCAGACGAGACGTGTCAAAATTGGGGTCAATGATTTGGCAGATAAGATGGAGACCTGGAGAAAGTGAATCAACATCTTTTTTCTGACGTAGAACCTGAGCGGTATGATCATACGCTGAGCATTTGCAAATATTGCTTCGGTGTTGTAGGAGTAGTTGGGATTGACCATAACATGCACATTTCCATGAACAGTCTGGATGACTTCGAGGGCCAGCTCAATTCCCTAGATTGGTCAACTTTCGACATTTGTGCCATGCAATGTGCTGAGCACCTACCACAACCTCCACGGCAAGCTCCTCAAGGGTGATAGTGGCAAACTGTGGGTGGATCGTGGTCGCTAGCGCTAGTGATCTCTGCAACACAGCGCTTCTGTTAGGCTTGACGATCTCTGCTTGAATCTCAAACTGGTTTTCTAATTAGCACATATTTGCATAGAGTATCTCGCCCCTTCTCATACCTGATTTCCCGTTACGTCTTGAAAAGGTCCGATCTCTTTGGAAGCTGACATGAAAAACCCATTAGTCTTTTGCCCAACGCAAGGCAACAGATTTTCCACCTTCAGCATCGTATGTATCAATATCCACCTGTGTTCGTGAGCGAAGATAGTCGAGTAAGTTTACAGTGGCCATGTTATCTGTCGAATCGAGCGGTAAGTATAATCGACTGTGAAATATATCAACACTATACACCTTTCTGCTGGTTTGGAAGAATAAAAGAAGAGATTATACGACTTGAGTCAAGTTGATTCAAATTCGGTTCAACGAGAAGAGCCGACATTTAAATAGGTTTCGAGGAATAATTGGTATACAGAAAGACCTTTGTTTCACCAGTGACATAATTCAATTCGCCTTTTGCCTGTAGACAGTGGATTCGGTCATGGATCCCAGTTGCACTGCCTCCGCGTCTTCGAGGTAACATGAAACGTCCGATTAAAGGTTGGAAACCCAACTAGGAATATCACGAGTAGGGGCTATCAACCCCATTCGTAGTGTGTGTAGAGTGTGGGACTTTCTAAGATCTTCCAGTCTCCACTCGCCGGCTCTTCGGAATCGCAGTTTTCCCCCTCGCTCATTTTATATTTTAATTCTTCCGTCAACCCGAAGCCAACCCATGCACACGGAGATGAAGCATATCGAGCTACAGAACACATCCTGCGCTCTAAGTGGGCCGTATAAGACAATTTCCCACTCTGATGCTAACTATGTAGTAGTCTACTTCGAACTCGGCATTGCGCCGAAGAACTAAAACGGTTCAAGGACGGTGTAAAAACAAGAAGTCTTCCATATACTCGTAACACTGTCTATTACTGACCAGATATTCATTCGTTATTCCATGATAAAAATCTCCGCCAGCAGCATGGTCCCTCTCTACTAGTTTGTCGCTCTAGCTGCTCTCGCTCTAGCAGTTGAGTCCTCACCATAATGCTGGACCTCAATCCATAACAACACAATCGCCTGCCACAGCAGTGCCCCCATCACCTTCAGTTTCGACTTGAAATCAACCACCAACTGCCCAAACTGGCGCGGCAAGATCGAAAAATGTCAATCCTAGGTTATTTTTAAAAGTTTTACTTATATTTATACAATTGTATGCAAGAATCGTTTTTGTTGGCCTCATTGGAGAATCGCGATGGTTTGTGATTTGGTTACGGCTTGGTTAGAAATCGCAACCACTACGGGTTGGTTTCTGGGGGCAAGGTTTGCCTACAATTGCGATTTTTGGCGCACTCTAGTGTATTTAGTGGTTGGCTCTTAGCCCTGTGTACCCTGCGGGGCACCATCGATTGCGGACGGGTAGTTCCGTAACGGCAAGTATAACCTAAACGTGACCAGTAGGTAGTGCATAAAGAGATATACTATAATAGTGACCAATTATAAGAACTTTATGTTTCTCATGATAGCCGAAGCCCTTTTTCGATAAGTAATAAGCATGATAGGCCAAGACCCTTCTAATTATAATATATTTCTAAAAAAAAAAAAAACGAATATTATAAAGGGTCTGTGCGAGGAGCTTTGACTCCTTTTGGATGATATCCGGGACTTCCTCGGCGGCTAGCTAGACACGACGAAGAAATCAAAAGGGGGTTAAATGTCCTTTTTCTCCATCCTTTTTCTCCACAAACATCATCATTGTCAATACCCCTTCTAAAGAGGCATAGTCATCTTCACAATGGCGATGTCGATGGCCGTCTCCGCCAGCCCTAATATAACAAGCTATTTCAACCGGGGACCGCTGACAACCACCTTCACCCCGCCGACGACATGCCTCCAGACCTTGTCCATTAATTCTTTTTATGTGGGGGGCACGCCTACGACCGCCACATTCTACGGGAACTGGTTTGGGTTTGAGACGGGTTACTCATGCTTACCCACAGGCACTATGCCTGGCACTCTACTGGCTTCCCCGACATACTGGGGTACATACTGGTGTAAGAAAGCATCTGAAACTTTCCGTAAAATTTTACTTATATTATGCTTCGTAGACTCCCCGGGTCTTTACTGTCCGACTGGATGGACTACTGCAGGCGAATTGGCTGCATCATGGAATGGTTTACATGTGACCGGCAGCACAAGTGGTGCTATTTGCTGTCCGTCGTAGGTTTTCTCTTCTCTATGGGACCGAGCAATGCTGACACTATGTAGGAGCATGAGCTTTTACGCGACGGGCCATCAATGTAGGGAAGTTCTATCAGAAAAAGACACCATCACAATTGAAACGTCCGGTGTAGTGGTCACATCTACCCTGGCAACACCAATCACTATTTATGCGGACGGAATCCCACTCATCTGGGAGAAGTCCGATCTCCCAAAAACAACAAGCGCATCAACAACACCCTTGTCAACACAAACATCAACCGCAATCGGTGCGACAGGATCAAACTTGCCTAACAATAATAGAAGTGGTGGCTTATCAGAAGGAGCCAAGATCGGCATTGGGATCGGGATCCCGATGGCGGCCATTGCGATAGGGGTAGCGATCTTTTTCTATTTCCTCAAACGACACAAACCGGCCAAGGAGGAACCTCATGCAGAGTTATATGATTCTCCACGAGGTCTCTCGGAGCTCGCGACTAAAGAGAATTCTGAGCCATTTGAGCTTGGTAGTAGGGGAGATCGCTCGGAGCTTCCTTCGAACACTGTGACTCATGTGCATGAATTGGCATGAATTGTATACCGGTCTTAAGTTGCGTCTTTAAACGAAAATCGAAGGCCTCTGGGGCCCAGCCATGTCTAGGCTCTGTCTTGTGTAGATCATATGTGATATTGTTATTGTTACAGCTTGTGGCAAATCTGCCAGGAATTCCCCTCCAACCACCTGCAAAGTTCCCAGATGTAGTCCATGTCCGTTGATCCGTCATTGCCTCGGCTATGAAGGAAGGTTAGGGTGGTTCGTATAAAGGGTGAAAGCTTTGGTATAGAGGGTATACTCACTGCTTGGTGGACTCAGATACCATCCCATAAAACCAGTAAAACTTTGTATCGAGGTGTTGAACGCCGTGGTCGTGCCATGAATCCCAGAGGCGTCGTCAATGTGACGGGCCTAAGATTATGACGATCGCTCTCATAGACAGTCTCTAACAATTGCTCGGCAGGCCCTTCGATGATCGTGACTATGCATATACTAAACGGCCTAAGTTAGTCGGCGATATTTTGGTCATACCTAGAGTCGTTTTCGCTACTCTTCAAAACGGAAATCTAACTAATTAAGGTAATATTCTTATAACCCATTATTACGAGTAGACCTTGCTAACTCCTATAGGAGTGGTCCCATGGGACTATCCTACTAGGGGTGCTACTACTGGCAGGGGTACTGCTGAGATCAACCTTTGTACTCCATTTAACGTAGTCCAGAACTGATAGGATAAAATCGGAGGCTAAACATAGTAGGGGTAGAATACTAGCGCTAGTACCAATTACCATATAGATATCATAAAGCTAGGTAAGCACCTTACGGTATGAGAGCTCCTTCTCATTACTAAGAAATGCCTACGCAACAAAGAAGGTCCTACTAACTAAAGATAACCCTACGATATTAAGAAGCGGTATCTTCCACTTATTGGTTTTATACGTACAGTCTATCCATAGGATATATAGATAGGCCTATAGTAATTAAATACTAGTTTTGTATGTTAAGAAAAGGCAGCTAAGCGAGTCATTATATAAATTAACTTTATATCTAATAACCCAAGACCCATTCTTAGGAAGATCGATAAGAAGAGCTGGTTATAGGAGAGCCACTATCGTCTTCGCCCCCCATATCTACCAAACGTTCTCGCCCCGACGCCAAGAGAATGCTGCTTCAGGAATTCTACTGTTCCTGTGTTTGATTTGTTAATTAGCCTGATTGGTTGCTAACCTTACCATGTTTTCCGTATTTTATGCGTCATCTACGCTGACCCGATGACTCCCTAGAAGCTCGGGAAGTTTATCGACTGTCCTAGACTTTGTCTTTTCCGGGGATACACTATACATCTTCAGGAATCTAGACAGTGGATAGTAGAGACAGAGTTGAAGAATACAAGTTTGCAGAGGAAGGTTCTCTATTATCATCCTATAGCGATGTCATAAATTTCCGACTCGATGTACTATATATTACTTCTAGATATATAAACTGCCTCAATATCGGCAGGTCAGCTATATAAATTATTCAGATTCTTAACTATCCTATTATATCTTTTCAAGCTTTTTATACCTATACTGAAACCCTAAATGACGGTGACAAGTGATCGTGATGACAAACGTCGAATTTTGTACAATGAGGGCTGGTCCGTTATTTATGGTGACCTTATCAACGAATGGGACGTAATCACAGGCATTGCTTCTATCCCTTTCGGCGCTACTGGTGCCTGGTTTTCCCAGCAGGTTCAAGCTCAACTGCAGAAATTCCAACAAAGCCTAAGTGATGTCTCCGATGATATCGTCAATCAGGCAAGAGACTACCTAAAAGATCTGTTACAACACAAAAACACCGGCGAGAGAAACTTTGATGGATTAGGGGTAAAAGTTGGAATCCTCACGTACGAGCGTCGGCTGGAAGCCTTTGGGGGGTGGACAAAGCTGCCAGACAATTATCAGCCGTACTTGGCTCTGCGCATTACCAAGCCTATGACACCGATCGGGCCGCCCATAACCACAGAAGCCAAAAACCGACCCACGCCATCCGGCGTCAATCTTGGCTCCCGTCTCAAAACAAATGGCCAGACAATGAATGAAGGTGATTATCTTCAATCGGATAATGGTTTTTATCGGTTCATCTGTCAGGGTGATGGAAATATTGTTCTGTATGGGCCTGGAAACTCAGTTGTCTGGCAGTCACATACCGATGGGAGAGGTTATCCACCTTTTCGCATTGTCGCGCAGGCAGACCGCAATATCGTTCAATACGACAGAAACAGTACACCGTCTTGGAGGACAGGAACCGGTATAGCGGGATCTGACCATCCCGAATGTGTTCTTGTCCTCCAAGACGATCGGAATTTGGTTTTTTATGACCCAGCGGATCATTGGAAGGTTTTATGGAGCACCAACACAGCAACATGACCGTTTACGTCAGGGATGTGATTTTTGCTACTCAAATTGGAAACTGGATTCTTGCGTTCCACACAGAGATAGCACTAAGCTGCTGAACCAACACCAAGTGTCATTCATACTGGTTGACTTTAAATATGGAAGGAAGGACTCAACGAAGATGTGATACTATGTAGGTAGCTTCAACTTTTACCATATGAACAAGAATATAATATTTACTTCCTATTAACATCTAAACAAACAACTTGGCTCTTATGAATATATTCACATCATCAACATATAATTGAATTCCATCACGTCCACTATCGTGGTGGAGCTCATACTCATCAAATAAACCGGCCAAATTCATTTCAGTTCTATCTGTGATCAGCCGGGGGCAACTCATATAGACGAGGAGTTTGGATAGCGCTCAGTTCGTGCAGTTGCTTATGAGTTTCCGTTGCGTATTCCGTAGAGTGCTGTTGTGGGTATCCCGCGGAATATTGCGGTGGATATCCCATGCGCTGATGGGGTGGATACCCCGTGAATTATTGTAGTGGCCGTGGAGGACCGTAGGCCATAAATAGTAGCTCTTGTGATAATGAGGTTTGCTTTCGCTTTTGGCGATAGGCCCACCGCACGATGAAGGCTACAATAACCGCGACGCCTGCAACACCACCAACGACGACACCCGCAATCCATACTTTGTTGGAACTTGCTGTTGTTGGGGCCGCAGGAGGTGTTGGTGATTCACTAGTTGATGAATCTGCAGTGGATGGAGGCTTCGTCAGAGCTGGAGTAGTTGTGGGAGATTGACCGGTCTGTGACGCCGTAGTAGATGGGGTCGGAGTGGAGATGGGGTCGGAGTGGAGGCTGGGATTGTGATTAGTCGGGGTATTCGATCTATAGATCTTGTGACCCAAAAGGATCGTGGTGGGGTGTAGTACTTGACTCAGTTGTTGTTGCTGGTAATTCACGATAAATTGTGTTTGCCCTCCAACGAAAAGCACAAAAGATATTCCTCGCAGAGGGTGTTGCATAAGGGAATGTTTGGAAAATGGTCATAGTGACACATGTAGCGCTGCCACTATAGAAAGGAACAGGGTCCAAAGTCAGTCTTCAAATTCATCGGCTGCAATATACTATTGGTTCGGAACTCACCAATAACCTGAAGCGCCATCATCATATGTGATATTGCCACTTTGCGCTCAGAATTGTTGACCGATCGATCCGCTGAAGCATTCGTTCGAGCTCATTATTTCGAAACGCGACCAGATATCGTCGAAGTTTATGAAGCCCTTCCGATCGCAATCCTACGTGCGGACCTGTTCCGTTACTTAGTTGTTCTCGCCGAAGGTGGAATTTGGGGAGACTTAGACACTTCGTGCGAGAAAGAAGTCTCCGAGTGGGTACTCGAGGAATACCGAAATGAGAACATCGACATGATTGTCGGATTGGAGTTCGATTTCGAATGGCGAGGACCGGAAACAGAAGTGGCTTCCCAGTTCTGCAATTGGATATTTGTCGCGCGGAAGTCGTCGCGCAATCTTCAAATTGTTGTCGACACTGTTGTCAAGACCTTAAAGGACATTGCCCAAAAGAATTCCGTGGGCATCGAAGGGATTACTTTAGAAATGCTTTCGGACGTCGTCAACGTGACGGGGCCTAAGAATATGACGATCACTCTTATGGACAGTCTCCAACAATTGCTCGGTAGGCCCGTCGATGATCGCGACTATGCACATACTAAACGGCTCAAGTTGGTCGGCGATGTTTTTGTCATGCCTGGAGCCGCTTTCGCCGCACTTCAAAACGGAAACCGGACCGATCAAGGTGATGTTCTTGTGACCCATTATTATGAGGGCTCGTGGAAGAAGGAAGACGTAGAAGCGAAGGGGCGGAAAAAAACAGAAACAAGAGCAAGAGAAGTAGAGACAAGAACAACAGCAACAGTAACAACAGCAACAACAGCAGGAACAGCAGCCACCATCATCACCACCACCTACTGTGACCTGAAAAGAACGAGCGAAGGGCATCTAGTCGCGATCCCTAACTAGTCTTTTCTTTCTTTCCTCCCCTTCTTCTATTTTCCTAGATGGGATATTATTTTTCGTCAACAGCCCAAAATCCCAGGATTTGAGATTGAAAGAAGAAACTATGTAACTATCATCATCAGGCGTTTTGTCTATTTCCGGGGTTTGCATGGTATTAGCATGGTGTATGTATCAAGTCTTATGTTTTTCCGTTTACAATTTTCAATCGCTCATCAGCAGAAATCTAAATATCTATCACTCGGAGAGATCACACTGCGACTGACGACCGTATCTGCGAAATGGGCGTTTCCGAACAAGAGCGACCACACGGTCCACACGGTCCACACAGTCATAGGTATTGCCGCCATAGGTATTGATAGTCTCGTATTGCCAAGTTTCCAGTTTTTAGGCGCCGAGGGGTAGTATACGGCAATTCAGAACTTCATGCTCGACGCAAATAGGAATGGAAGCGCCGGTGGCGTTCGAACCAAGTACATAATTGAATTGGGGCAATGGGGCCGAGGAGCCCCCACCTGGGACCTGTGCAGCAATGTAGGCTGACTAAGGCGAAACCAGCGACCTCGGGAGGCTCCCGAGGTCCACTTTTGCCCGAGCTTTATGGATCTGTCGCCGACGTGTGGAGTACAAGAGCAAGAGAGTGGTCAATCAACGGCAAGACTAGCAGGTAGAATTATTATATTGCTAATGGTAGATACAGTGGATTCCATAACAATAGGTTTATTTCAGCACTAGATCAACATACACCAGGAAGCAAGTTTGGTAGTGAGGTGGCTTCACGTGACACTCACCCACCCTAGGTAGGTCGATATGTATATAACCTTAGGATTAGAAGGTGGATCAGTCGCAGTCGGATGCCGGCTCAGGGGAAGATCCGTTGTTGTGACCGGTGGAGCTGTACTCCACTTACAACTTTACTCTATTTAGTCTACGGAGTGACCACTATCATCTTCGAAGGTGAACACGCTTGTGCGAAGTAATCTCATTACGTTTTCAAAGCTTGACTCTTCAGACAAGAGGGTGACAGCGAGATCTGCCATCTAAGCATTATATTTGAACTCGATGACCAGCAAAGAGACAAGGCAGTGGTGTTTCAAAAATTCCCAAGCGGGCCCGAAGGCTCGCTTGAAGTAGTCAATTGGTAGTTTTCAACTAGCAAAAACACGATCTCGGATATTTCCTCACTGATACGTGTAAAGCCCGTGCACTGGGATGGAGAGGAAAAAGAAGAAGAGGAAGTTCTGGGAGCAGGTAGGGGGTATTTATACCTCTTCGACTGACCGCCTCGCTGGCGGTCAACCCAGGCAAGTCGCTGCTTCCTATCTAGATATAATTGTGTAGAATAGGCAGTCGGATCTGGCACGTGGTATATTTGTATCTCTCACTCTGCTTTCCATTTCCACCTTGGAAAGTTTCTTCCTTTGTAAAGCACGCGTTGTTACACAAACCCTCTCACATCTCTGATCATCAGGTACATATTCTCATCGATATGCATGATCACAGCTGACCATCATACAGCTAAGATGAAAATTTACCTTGTTCTAGCAGGTCTCTTCCTGCTGCTGGCTACTGCCATAGCCAGTGTTCCCATAATCGAGATCAAAGCAAGTATCATTAAGCCACCCAGAGATCCAAGCAACTAACGTGTCAATTCCCAGGGATCTAAGTTCTTCTATGCGAACAATGGATCGCAATTGTGAGTTAATAGAGTATTTTGAACCGTTTCAACTGCTAACCCCGTGACTAGTTACATCCGTGGCGTTGCTTATCAGGGTATGCGTCCTAGAGGATGCAGCTCTTCTCGTGGCCCCATACTGACCATTATCTAGAGGACTACAATGCTGGAGGAGCTGAAGGTACCGGTCAGTCGAGCGATGTTCATTACACCGACCCTCTGGCGGATGGTTCACACTGCGATCGTGATATCCCGTACCTTCAACAACTTCGGGCCAACGTTATCCGGACCTACGCTGTCAACCCAACCAAGAGCCACGATGATTGTATGAAAAAACTGGCTGATGCAGGAATTTATGTTATTGCCGATCTGTCATCCCCTCGGTTGTCGATTGTCTCCGATTCCCCTTCCTGGACCGTGGAACTGTACGATCGATACACTGCTGTGGTTGATTCCTTCCATCAGTATGATAATGTGATTGGGTTCTTTGCCGGCAACGAGGTGGTGGACAAAGCGAATCAGACAATGGGCTCAGCATTCGTCAAAGCAGCTGTGCGCGACATGAAAGCCTACGTCAAAGAAAAGGGGTACAGGAAATCCTTGGGCTTTGGCTACGCAACTACCGACCAGCCAGATTTCCGTAACAAGCTCACAGACTATCTCAGCTGTGGAGACCAGTCAACCTCCATTGACTTCTTCGGTTACAATATCTACGAGTGGTGTGGAGACAGCACGTTCCAGGGCTCCGGTTACAAAAACCTCACAGACCAGTACAAGGATTACCCTCTCCCAATATTCTTCTCTGAGTATGGTTGCAACACAATCAGGCCTCGAAAATTTGGCGACATCTCTGCGATTTTCGGACCGGATATGGAAAACGTCTGGAGCGGTGGTATTGTCTACATGTACTTCCAAAGTACCAACAACTATGGGCTCGTCTCTGTGGACGGGAATTCCGTCAGCACCCAACAGGATTTCAGCTATTACTCGAAGGCCATTCAAACTGCCACTCCCAGTGGTGTCAACAGCGGCAGTTATACCCCTACAAATTCTCCGCACGCTTGTCCCACTGCCAACGAAGTGTGGTTGGTAAAGTCTAGTCCCCTGCCACCTTCTCCAAATAAAGAGTTGTGTTCCTGCATGGTGAACAGTCTGTCGTGTGTGGCCAGTGAATCTCTGCATGCAGACCAGTACGGAGATTTGTTCGGCACAGTTTGCGGAAGTGACAAAACCGCCTGCGATGGAATTTCCCAGAACGCAACCACGGGGCAGTATGGTGCCTACAGTATCTGCACCAATAAAGATAAGCTTTCCTACGTCTTCGACCGCTACTACCAGGGTCAGAGGAAGGACCAGTCGGCGTGTGATTTCAAAGGGGCAGCGTTGATTCAGTCTGCCAAGGCTTCATCTAAACGTTGCGAGTCACTTCTCAGACAGGCTGGCACAGCTACAACGGACCAAGCCATAGGGGCAACGTCGTCCCCATCCAAGGGGGAAGGTGCGCGTGCGCGTGGGAGTGAGAAGAAAACCTGGTACAGTTACGTCGTCTGGGGGTTTTCTCTAGCATTATTTGCTATCGTGCATCAATATGTGCTTGATTGCACTATCAACTATTTGATTAATCGGTGATTCATGCCCTGTCCGTTAGGCTATCTAATGATAGCAAATAGTACCTGGAGTCCCACTCCTTCATGACTCTAATGAAACAAGATTGATATTTTAATCTTCCTGGATACCTAGACGTAGTGGTCACAATGACAATTTCTAAACATGAAGTAAGAGGTAGATATTGCACCATTCAGACTATGAATCTCTCTCCTAGGCACACTCATTACTATACGTGTCGATTGAAACCCAGTAAATTGCCGAGCGGGATGTAGATATGCTTAGTCAGTATTTCCCGCGCCCCACGTGGGGCCTAAGACCGGGGACAATTTTTTTTACAAAAAATTACAGATCTCCCTCACGTCCACGTCCTATCGCATTCCCCTCCTTGAACTCGTTATTTAATTTCAGACGTCAAGTCAAACACCACAAAAATGGGCAACGTAAGAAGAAACCACCCAGCCATACAGATGACGCCAAACCAGTCTGAGCTCTTTGTTTTGGCCCCTCAACACACAGTGAACTAACAATACTTGATAGGGAGCCAAGGCAAACATGAAGCGCGAGCGCAACGCTAAGGACACCAAGACCGCCAAGTCGCAGACCAAGAGCGTACGTCAACGTTGTTTTTGACGCCCGTATTGTCATTCCAGTCGCTGACCCAAATTCTTATCTAGAACGAGAAAGCCATGAGCATTCAGTGCCAGATCTGCAGACAGACTTTCCTCCAGACCACCAAGCCTCCTGCGTACGTGATCCCAGACATCCGTCCTTACAAATACCTTCGTTCCTGTCGGCATATATGGATTTCCTTACTAACATATACATTCGCGCATATAGCCTCCTCGAGCACGCCTCCAACAAGCACAACAAGGGTCTTCCTGAGTGTTTCCCCGGTATCAGCGCATAGACAACCATCCCGGCGGAACCGAAACCAATCTACTTTACGATATCACGGGTTAGCATGGCTTTAGGAGTTTTGAAAGCGAAAATATCTAGGAACTGGACTTGGGGGAGCGGACACTCTACGTAGGTAACTGCGTAGGTGTTGGGGAGATCTTTATGGGGCGGACATGCAATGGTGGCGTGGAGGCCCCTTATGGTTATAGACACAGTCGACTATACATATGATCTTTCTCTCCCTCCATGCTCATTGACTTTGCCCTGCAGTAACAATGGAAGGGGTGAACCTTCTGTGAATCGATACCTACACTTAGGTATTGGATATAGGCCACGGTTCTAGGCCTGCGGGTCGAAGAAAGCCATAGGGCGATTTCTTTTGGTATACTATAACACATTATACTGGAGAGATCTATAATCAGGTTGACACACACAGAGATGAGATCGCGGCTTTCACAGAAGTGAATATTACTACGGTTGAGCCATGGAAAAAAAGAATGAATTTATCCCCAATTCGGGGCGAGTATATTTAGATATCGACATGGTAGAAAATCTCCAACTATCGAAGTTATCTAACGGTAAAACCACCATCAACTCTAATATCCGCACCATTGATCATGCCGCTAGAATCCTATAGCACAAGTCAGAGTGAGAGACATGGCCCACCAATCCGATGAAACATACCTGGCAAAGAAACAGCACAGAATCAGCAACTTCCTCTGGAAGTGCAAACTTGCCTGTTGGTATACTCGCCAAGAAGGCCTTGCGAACATTCGCCTCCCCCCAAGCCTTTCTCCCAAGTTCAGTCCAAGCTACAGTCGGAGACACAGTGTTAGCCGTGATACCCCGACCAGCCCACTCAGACGCCATACTGCGCGTCAGACCCAAGAGTCCAGCTTTCGAGGCACAATACGCGCCATGTCGATGGAGCGCAGCATGTGCCGCCTGAGATGAAATACTGACGATTCTTCCAGGCGGTGGAGGACTCGGCGATGATTCAGCGGTCTTGGATGCGGCGAAATAGAGTCGAGCAAACGCCTGAGAGCAGAGCATCGGGCCGTAGATGTTAGTCGTGAGATGCTTTAGTGTTTCTTCAGGGGGTGTTATCTCCATGTCGCTGAGAGATACATATCCAGCTGTGTTGATCAGGATACTTGGAAAAACCCTTTCAGATGAAGAAGAGGTGGTTGGGTCAATTAATTGCTTCTCTAGAGAGTTGAAGGCCGCCTGCACAGAGTCTGGCGAGGTGATGTCGCATTCATAGGTGTGGACGCCATCTAGATTGCCGCCTGCACCGTACCCGGATTCGAGGAGCTCATCGCGACGTGCGGCTTCGAATGGTGCATAGAGAATGGCGATACGGGCACCTTGTTGTCTCAGCTTTTGGCCTATACTTGATCCCAGGCCGCCTGTGGAGAAGTTAGCTCTCGTCCGTGTGTTTATCTCGTGTCCGTACCGAGGCCGCCAGGCATGATAGCTAATCTGCGTGCGAATGCCATTGTGTACAGGGTTGGAAGAGTGGAAATGAGGGAATTTGTCAAAGAAAACAACAGTAGGAGCTTCAAGCTGTCGGACATTCTCCGTTGAGGGGAAGGTGAACTATTTTTGGAAGTGATCGTCTAGTATCCACCCCCACACTTGATATCCTCTTGGCAATGGGCCGGGGAAGCCCTAAAGGGAGAATGCTATCATGCTATTACATATATTGATAATTATAGAATGAATAATGGATTCTATTGGACTATCTGACGAGCTTACTATTTTTCACGATCACCTCATCAGAGACATATTGCATCAATATCCCATTTCCTCGGCATCTATTACTCCGAATCCTATTTACCTATCTTTCTTCTCTCCTACATGAATATCAACATCATCCAAAACAGCCCGGTTCTCTTTTGCCGCCGCAAGTCGAATGCTCTTTAGTTTCCTGGTATCAACATCCACCTGCCAGGTAAAACCCCAAGTAATGAGGTTCATAATGATAGCCATACCAACAAATCCCATCGCAATTCCAAAGGAGGTTGTATATCGTGGTGCAAACCGAGAATTAAATAGCTGAGATCCCACGGCTCCTCCAATCTGGCCGTAACTATTCGCAAATGCGATTGCAAAGGCAGATCCTGTTGCGCCCTCGGTTGTCTGGACTCGCCAGGGCCACATCATTGTATACCTGATTTGTCTTAGCACAATGGAATGAAGAATAGAATGCTTCATTCAGAGTGCACCTACCATGCAGTCGAGAAACCTCCCGCTACGATTGTTGCAGCATATACACCACCGGTGTTTGGGAAGGCATACAGCACGCCATAGCATGCTTGAATGACAATCATGAATCCAAGTGGTATGGCTGGTTGAGGAATACGCCCGCTATCTGCGAAGATACCGAATGCGACTGTCAATATTACTGCAAAGACTGCAGATGGGATGTTAAGAAGCTGGGCTTCACCCATGGACCTTTGAGCTTTGTTAGAAACTGCATTGTGCCCGTCAAGTTGGAATAACTCACGTGAATCCAAGATTTGAAATAACTGTTGGTTGGTAGAATGTCAGTCCCGTCGTGCCAATAGTAAAGAAGGCCCAGCAGAAGAGGAACAGCCAGATCCGCTTGTTCTTCAATGTTGTTATTAGTTCGCGCAGATTGAAGTTAGCCTCCGCCGCTCGAGGAGAGTTGCTCGGTAAGCGGGCTTGAGTAAAGGACTTTTCTTTTTCGGACAACCAGGATGCAGTTGAAGGAACTGTGGAATTGTTGGTTACGCCTAGGATTGAGAATTCAAAGGACTTACAATCAGGTAGGAAAAAATAGGTGAAGATCCCCAGTAAGACCGTGAAGATTCCTTCCGTTAATATCAGCCTAAGAAACATTGTTAGCATACAATTAGTCTTTCTTGAAGGGAATCAATACCATTTCCATCCAGATAGACCACCAGCGATGACACCATTAAAAGCAAATGCAAGGACGCCACTGATTACAGTACTAAAGTTCCCAAGTATAGTGACAAGAACTATCCTTGGAGCAACCTCATCCGGTCTATACCAATAGCATAGCTGTAAAAGAATTCCTGGCCACAGGCCAGCCTCAAATAGTCCAAGGAAGAACCGGACAGCATATAGACCCTGCCTGTTTGTCACGGCTGCATGGCAACAGAGAACAATACCCCAAGATACCTGTAAGTGACTATTAGTGCCAACCCAACTAGAGGTGGAATAGCTCAATGTACCATAATCCGAGCTTGCCAAATCGAAGGTCGCACACCCTTCAACAAAAGGTTGGATGGGGCCTCTGCAAGAATGTAAGGGACCTCCAAGGGATTAGTACAACCTTTGAAATGACGATTTGGTCTGAGTTATCTCACATAATACATAGTTGTAACCAGATTATACTGATCTGAAGTCATTTTCAACTCTGTCAAGATGTTATGGGGTGTGTCTTTATCCATAATACGGGCGTATGAGACCTAAACCATTGTGGTCAGTGATCTTTCACCAGCGTACTCCATAGATAGTCTTACATTGGTGAAATCCACACTTTTTACCATATACATAACGGCCAAGAGTGGTATCAGATGCCAATCAATTCGTCGTAGAAGCTTTTTTTCCTCTGCACTGCTGAGCGTTGCACGTGCTCGCATCAGCGTGGGATCATAGCCGGGGATGAGCTCTTCATCAAAGGATTCCGGAGTGCGATCACCATTGCGGTTGACATAGTGTACGTTGCTTTTTGCCGGAATCGGTGTTTTATCGATAGAGACCGTCTGAATTTTGCCTTTCTCTGCTATCTCAGAGGACATAGCAATCACTGATCAGCGTCCTTTGTACCTGGTTCATAAAAAAAAGGTGCCGCTGGAGCAATAGCAATAATGTAGAGGGATATCTAGTCTGTTAAGTGAGCTTTGGCATTCGTGCTACTCCACATTCTCAGGAAGTACCGAAAGTTGGTTATTTCATATTTGAATTGCGCAAGATGAGCAAGGACTGTTGAACATGGCGTGTATGCAAGGGCTTACCTAGCGTCATGTACTGAGCCGAGGGAAAAATTGGCCGAGAAAAAAAAGACTTGGGATAAAATCCAAGCTACCGTGCATTGAGCAGCCCCTCAATTTGGAAAGTAGGATGTTGCCTATACTACGGTGGTCCATTATATTGTCTGGATGGTCGAACTGTGAAAATTATCCCCCACAAGCCAATGCACAGTGTAATCGTATCTAGCAGTTTACTATTACTAACTGCTATTTACTTTCACCATTTCACTATATCAATGCTCTATATCTAGTTTTACAAGAATAGTCGGCCGTACAAGCGGCCTTGTGATGTCTTTTCAGTAGTCCTTCCAGTGGTCTCTTTAGAACTCTTCTCAGATACCATACTATTTATATAGGTCGATAGTAAAACAGCAAAAAAAAAAAGTCTGAGAAAGCCTTAATTTGTGGGAACGAATTATCTATAAGATTTGATATAGTCCTAGTCAAAATAATAGATGTTTCGGGATCGACAGAGGACGCGATAATTACGCCATGCTCGGCAAATTCATGGCTTTGAAGTAATGCAGTGGATCTGCTGATTGAAAAATCATGCAGGAAAAAAAATAGATGTAACAAAAAGAAATAGGCAGAGCTACGAGTATACGCCATTGCGGGGAGATAATCCCTAATCACCCCTCTTCATTTCATCTCTTCCTAATAGTCAGCCACATACCTTTTAACAAGTCCTCAACTATTGTCGCGCTGAAGTGCCCCCGAGGAACATGAAGGCAGATTACTGTTATATCGTCGCATCTCTAGCAAGAGTGACGCTGGGGTCAGTATCCCAGCGACCCTTGCATGGAAACTCGATCAACGAAAACGCGAAATCTCCTAGCGTAGACTTGGACAGAATTATCAATGAATCTCCTCTCTTGTCATTCCACAGAGACATTGTGCGAATTCCATCAATCAGTGAACACGAGCAAAATGTTGGAAACTTCGTCTTGGACTTCATCCGCTCACACAACCTGACCGTTGAGAAACAAATTGTCACACCAGAGAGTGACACCGAGGAAGAAAGATTCAACGTCTACGCCTACACTGGGGAAAACAGGTTTCCAAAGGTGGTGCTGACCAGCCATATCGATACTGTCCCACCGTTCATTCCTTACTCGCTTCATCCCCCGGCCTCAGATAGCCCAGAGAATCTGGCATTCAATCGGTCAGACCTTGTTATCGCTGGCCGCGGCACAGTAGATGCTAAAGCCAGTGTCGCGGCTATACTATTTGCTGCCCTGGAAACACTGGATTCCAACCCCGACGCTTCAATCGGGTTGTTGTTCGACGTCGGCGAAGAGAAGAGTAGCGTTGGAATGAAACATTTCTCAAACTCGGATCTCAACCCAGCACCACCTACATTCCACACAGTCATATTCGGAGAGCCAACAGAACTTAAGCTTGTCGCCGGACACAAAGGTGCCCTTGGCTTCAGAATTGCCGCTGAAGGAAAAGCAGCGCATTCGGGTTACCCATGGCTCGGGAAAAGTGCCATCTCCTCCCTTCTTCCTGTTTTATCGTACCTCAATACCCTGCAAGATATCCCGCCTGAAAAAGGTGGACTTCTCCGTAGTGAGAAGTTTGGTCAATCGACATTGAATATTGGGGTCGTGCGCGCTGGTTTAGCTGCTAATGTCGTTCCTGCGTATGCGGAGGCGACCATTTCCGTTCGTCTCGCGGCTGGGAGTCCAGACGACACGAGAGAGATTGTGAGGAAGGCAGTTGAAGATGTGACTGGCGGAGATGGAAGCGTCTATCTTGACTTTGGGGACAGTGAGAACGGCGCTCCACCGCAACATCTTGATTCCGACGTTGATGGGTTTGACGTGATTACTGTGAATTACGGAACTGATATCCCGTCCTTGAAGATTAATACCCCGGGAGGTTCAAAAGTCAAGCGGTATCTTTACGGGCCAGGTAGCATCCATGTTGCCCATGGAGATGACGAGGCAATCACCGTGGGAGAGCTTGAAGAGGCCGTCCGAGGATATAAGAGGTTAATCTCGGCCGCGCTGGGCGCCCACTAGACGCAAGCCCTCTTTTAGCTAGAGAATAGATCAATACTACACCAATACCACTCTACGTTTTCCATCATATCTACAAGCCTACAGGCGGTTTGCTGACCAAGCCCACGAGACATCGGACGTAGTCCGACCATCAATCTAGGAAGTCCAATAGACAGATGACCACCGTATACCGGGTTGCAACATCTGGACCCCCTAGAAAGCTCGCGTAGTGACCCCTGATCCCTGCTGGTGGTTTGGAGCGACATTGGTGTGAGTGATGGCAGGAACAGTTCATCCATAACACCACTTCACGTATGCCTTGGGGTAGCATGACCTTAGCCCAGTTTCGCATATAAATAGTCCAGGACCGAGCTTGTTGGTAGCAAACCGCGGATCTATACCCAATAGGGACAGTCAGCAGCATCTGCCTTGAGATCAGATCTTCAAGACACGACACCAAGGAGGGAGAGAAGAGCAATAAAGCATGCATGTCCTTTCGCTGGTATTGTCCAGATCAAGTTTTAACGGTAATTTCTCAGAACGAGACTAGCGCTTTGGAAGACCAAAACGCCAGACCTCGAACACCCGTCATGCGTGCTGCAGAAAACACACTTACCACAAACACCCCTATATCCCCACCTCTTTTGGGTTCACCTTCTTGTAGTCCTGATGACTACCAAGAAAAGTGAAGCGGTCGTATAACCCTTCACCGATTCAAACAGCAGCCGTAACAGCCGAGGCATTTGTCTTTTCCTTGCGTTCAATAGAGTGCTCGGTCTCGGTAGCTGAGTCAACGATTTTGAGATGCTCAAACCAAACACCGTTGGATTTGCGCCACCACTCGGCGATCGCAATGATAGTGACTCCGCCCATAATAACAATCGCGTAGTTGAACAAGGTGGAATCCTTGTCAATTGCACTGTCCGAGTAAGCTGGGGCACATAGAACAGCAAAAGCAAACCCGTTCCACAGGAATGTAACAACAGCGGCGACCACGCCAAACCGCCCCAAATCCCAAAAGCCCGGACGGAACGATTTACGCGTGATGAACGCGCGGCCGATTCCAACCAAGCCGTATGCTGCGAGGGAACCTGCAGCCGAAGTAGAGACCAAGCTGGAGAAGGCTACCTGCGACGGAAGCTGGGTACAGAGGAGAAGTGCAGCAATAGCCGAAATGAAGATGACAGCGTTGTGGGGCTGCTTCGACTTCGATACACGTGATAACACGTCACTAAACGGGAACACACCATCGCGCGCCACGGCGAAAACAAGTCGTGATACAGCAACTAGGGAAATAGAAGTGTTGAGAATAGCTCCGATCATCGCGACAATGGTCATCACAACGTGTGCATGGGGACCGAGCGCCATCGCGTACATGTTAATGAACGGCTGGGGTACGCTAGTATCGTAGAATGTCTCAATCGGGGGCATGCAGAAGAGGAACAAGATAATGATTGGGAAGCCGCACATCGCAGACGCAACGGTTGCCCAGAAGATCCCCTTCGCGGCGGCTTTCTTTGCCAAGACGGTCTCTTCTGCGACATGACCCGAAGCATCTTGCCCCACGAGACAACTGCCTACCAAGTACCAGGATAGAACCCAGTTCAGCCCTGAGCTGGTGTCCCCACCATTGTATGTAGACGTAAACACGTATTCGGCTGACTGGAAACCATACGTCTTAGAGACGCCAATGGAAAGCCAGATGAGGTTTAGCAGCATATCGATAATGATGATCGTCACACCTGCTCGGAACACCCAGGAATACATCCGCGGGGGCAGGAAATTTAGCGTGGTAGCAATAGCCAGGAAAAGAAGAGAGATGGCCCATGCCACGGCACGCGCTCGGACGTCGGCAGTTTCATATGGAAAGCTTGTCTTCGGGTTAAACACAACGATCTCCGAAATTAGGTAGTTGGCGACACCGAACGAATCACTCGCGAGGAAAGCGGTCCATGCAACCAATGTCCACGCGGCCACTAGGAACGAGATGAAGCGGCCGACTTCACCACCTCCCCAGGATCGGAAAGCCCAGTAATAAATCGACCCTGCGGCGGGATAGCTTGAACAAGCTTCAGCGAGACAGGCGGCCGTGATGACGGACAGTATACTACCGGAGACCCAGGAGCTCCAGCTAAGGCAGTTATTAGTAATGCGATCAATGCGAGCGCGGGGAACTACAGCCGGGAAAACAGAACATACATGGCAGCCGGGCTGCCTCCACTGAGGGCGATATAGAAAAGAACACGAATTCCTCCAACGCAATTCAAGGCCGAGAACGAACAGGCGAAATTGTCGAACGATCCCCAGCATCGCGCCAGGACAGAGTGGTAGCCAAGCTTTAGGAGGTCGCGATCATCTTCATTAGTCACAGAAACTTCGTCGGAGTTCTGGTCCTGATATTCGCCATTTCGGACATCTTTCGGAGAGTGGGCTGTATCAAACGCAATACTATCCACACAGGCCATGGCTCTTTTTGTATCTGTCTTAGAGACTTGACGCTTGGCAAATAGCTTTCTCTTTTTTTTTGCCCTAAAAGAGAACAAAAAACAAATATTCAATTAACTTTTTCCTATCACGACATCATATATCACGTGGGTCGATCAATTGCTTGAATGGACCCCGACACCGGGGGCTCATCTTCTGAGTCATTATTATTTTTTTAGGAATATTGGGAGAATCATTAAGAATTGAGTAGAAAATACTATGTTGTACAATAATTGAACATACTACTTAGTAAAGCTATCAATTCCCAGAGTAATATACGGAGTACGGAGTATCAATGTGAACTTGTCAATGCTATGCGGGTGAGATGGCGGGGTCAATTGCCAACGTGTCACACAGTTGCCCCGTACTCCCTTCTCTGCATTTCTTATACTTTGGTGGGCTTGACCGCTCATCAAGAAACTTGAATTTATTTTGACAACATACAAGGCCCTTACAGAAATAAAAAAAAAGAAGAAACTAACATTACAACATACTATGTACGCAATAGTTGTAAACAGCTTTTGCAGAGGCCTTATCGGTGTGTCAATGGCGTGATCATCTATGGACCGATCACGGAGATCATGGGGTATTGGTACAGGAGGATTGAAAATAACAGTAAATTGCACAAGTTCCAAAAAAAAGTCCGCCCAGAGACCCAGATCCCAGGTACACAGAGGTATACACCGAGTTACACAGAGGTACTGTATCATGTATCATACTGTATTGCTGCCCCTCCAACTTGCATGTGGATCAAGTCCCCATTGGGATGAAATCCCCATTAGGATTAGCGTATGTTTCCTCCCCCTCCATATTTCTTTGAGCGTTTCCCAGACCTTTTCCCCCTTCTCTTCCTTCACATTCTCTCTCAAAGGCATCGGATTTGTGAAAATTCTATCCTTGAGACCCCTTTTTTCTTTTCTCCTTTTCACACATCGTCAGAATGGTTCAATCGTATGTTCGCTTGACTCCCATAGACGACTATTGACCTAATTGCTGATTATCTGAATAGATCAATTCTGGGTTTCCCCCGCATGGGAAGACTCCGTGACCTCAAGAAGGCCACCGAGGCTTACTGGGCTGACAAGATCTCCCGCGATGAGCTTCTCGCTGAGGGCAAGCGTCTGCGTCTGGAGCACTGGAAGATCCAGAAGGATGCCGGTGTCGATGTTATTCCCAGCAACGACTTCGCCTTCTACGATCAAGTTCTCGACCACCACCAGCTCTTCGGAACCATTCCCGAGCGCTACTCCAAGCACAACCTCAACGCTCTCGATGAGTACTTTGCCATGGGCCGTGGTCTCCAGAAGAATGGCATTGATGTTCCCAGTCTGGTATGTGCGAATCATTACAATATACAAATTCGGATGCAGTATGCTGACTCGATCAACAGGAAATGGTCAAGTGGTTCGACTCTAACTACCACTACGTGAAGCCTACTCTTCAGGACAACCAGGAGTTCAAGCTCGCCGCCGAGCCTAAGCCCGTCACTGAGTTCCTTGAGGCTAAGGCTGCTGGCATCATCACCCGCCCCGTCATCCTCGGTCCCGTCTCCTTCTTGACTCTCGCCAAGGCCGACCGTGACCAGACCGTTGACCCCATCACTTTGCTCGAGAAGCTTCTTCCCCTCTACGTTGAGCTTCTGTCCAAGCTCAAGGCTGCTGGCGCCGAGGATGTCCAGATTGACGAGCCCGTCCTCGTCTTCGATCTTGCTGAGAAGTCTAAGGCTGCCTTCAAGCCCGCTTACGAGAAGATCGGCGCCCTTGGTGCTCAGGGTCCCCGCATCACTCTCGCCACATACTTCGGTGACATCGTCCACAACATTGATGTCCTCGCCAACGTGCAGAACCTCCACTCTATTCACATCGATCTGGTCCGCAACCCCGAGCAGCTCGACACCGTCGTTGCCGCTCTTGGCCCCAAGCAGGTCCTCTCCGCCGGTGTTGTCGATGGTCGTAACATCTGGAAGACCAACTTCAAGGCTGCCATCGAGAAGGTTGAGAACGCTATCCAGAAGCTCGGCAAGGACCGTGTCATTGTTGCCACTTCCAGCTCCCTTCTCCACGTGCCCCACACTCTCGCTAGCGAGAAGACCCTTGACGCTGAGGTCCAAGACTGGTTCTCCTTCGCTGTTGAGAAGGCCACCGAGGTTGTCGTGATCGCCAAGGCCGTCACCGAGGGCCCTGCCGCTGTCCGTGAGCAGCTCGAGGCCAACGCCAAGTCTGTTCAGGCCCGTGCCTCTTCTGCCCGCACCAACGACCCCGCTGTCAAGGCCCGCCAGGCCGCCGTCACCCCTGAGATGCACAACCGCAAGTCTGCCTTCCCCGAGCGTTACGCCGAGCAGACTAAGACCCTCAAGCTCCCTCTCTTCCCCACCACCACCATTGGTTCATTCCCCCAGACCAAGGAGATCCGCATCCAGCGTAACAAGTTCACCAAGGGTGAGATCACTCCTGAGGAGTACGAGAAGTTCATCGAGAAGGAGATCCAAGAGGTCGTCAAGATCCAGGAGGAGCTCGATCTCGATGTCTTCGTCCACGGTGAGCCCGAGCGTAACGACATGGTGCAGTACTTCGGTGAGCGCCTCACTGGTTACGTCTTCACCACCCACGCCTGGGTCCAGTCTTACGGCTCCCGCTGCGTGCGTCCTCCCATCATTGTCGGTGATATCTCTCGCCCCGCCCCCATGACAGTCAAGGAGTCCAAGTACGCCGCTTCTATCTCCCCCAAGCCCATGAAGGGTATGCTCACTGGTCCCATCACTTGCCTCCGGTGGTCTTTCCCCCGTGATGATGTCCACCAGTCCGTCCAGGCTCAGCAGCTCGCTCTCGCTCTCCGCGATGAGGTTGTTGACCTTGAGGCCGCTGGCATCGCCGTCATCCAGGTCGACGAGCCCGCTCTTCGTGAGGGTCTTCCCCTCCGCACTGGCGAAGCTCGTGCTGCGTACCTCAAGTGGGCTGTCGACTCCTTCAAGCTGTCCACTGCTGGTGTCACCGACGGCACTCAGATTCACTCTCACTTCTGTTACTCTGAGTTCCAGGACTTCTTCCACGCTATCGCTGCTCTGGATGCTGATGTCCTGTCCATTGAGAACAGCAAGTCTGATGCTAAGCTCCTTAAGGTCTTCATTGACGAGGACTACCCTCGCCACATCGGCCCCGGTGTTTACGACATCCACTCCCCTCGTGTCCCCACAGAGCAGGAGATCAAGGACCGCATGGAGGAGATGCTCGCATACCTGAAGCCTCACCAGCTTTGGTGTAATCCTGATTGTGGCTTGAAGACCCGAAACTGGCCCGAAACTAAGGCGGCTCTGACCAACGTAAGACCCCTCGACTTTTTACAAAATAAAATAAAAAATGCTAACAAAACTCGAACAGATGGTGAACGCTGCCAAGTTCTTCCGCCAGAAGTACGCGCAGTAAATTATTTACCTTACCATTAATTTAATGAGGAGGTGACAATCAACCTGTCACCTCGGGACTGGGGAGTTTTCTTTTCTGATGAGTTACGACGATGATACCAAAAGTTCAACATATGGGTTTCAACGGGTTTTCTAGAGGATACCAAAAGCGGGCCTGGAGTTTCAACATGACTGACGATTTTAAACTGGCACCGGCCGATATTATGACCTACTGTCGTTATGATGTTTGGTTGGTGCTAGTTTTACCATTTCAACATTGTGTGGTTTTCCACATACAGCAAGCTCTACAACCTTGCTTGATCAAATTCGCATTGTCGAATTTGATCTACTGTTTCTATTATCATGTAGAAGCAGTTGTCAATATTACACTTTACAATACTCTTGTGTTTCTTGTAGTATATTTTATATCAATATGCGTAGTACTTGTGAAGCCTTTAGGGCCTGGGGTTTAACTTTTGGTGAATATCGTTCTAAGTGTGACCAGATTTCCGTTTGTGAAATGACGAGGTGCTTCGGGTAAGTTGCTAATGAGCGTGTGCATCTACATGAGAGAAAGAGCGAAAGAATCAAAGGTTATAAATATACTACATAGAAAAGTTGTCTGCATAAATCAAGCCTTTTTTGGCCTGTTTTTTGCAGTCGACCTATAAAACTGGCAGATATAAACAGAATAATATCTGAAAAAATTACTAAAAGGACTACTGAAAAGACATCATAAGGCCGCTAATGGGGCTGAATATTCTTGTAAATGATAAATTGACAATGGCAGAGGGAAATTTCTACTGTTAAGCAATCTGAATAGCGAAAAAGGAGAAGTGCTGCCAAAGTCACAAATAAAGAGTTCTATCAAACCACCGGAGCAAACAATCCTCACTCAGTGCAATAGTCAAGTTAGCCAGAGCCTAGGGCTGACAGTAGGCCGAGTACGTATCTTGTCTTGCTCGGGCGAACACAACACCCAACAAACATCCCGGTCTAAAATCAGTTAGATGCGCCTGATGGCGCATCAGCGTTGTTGATATCAGCCTCTACGGGGCTGGATACCTTTGTACACATTTCATCCCATCCAGGAACATTCGCAGCACTAGTCGGTGTCTTCTTGCGCCCATTGGCAACCCAGTCAGCGACGGCTTTTCGTTGCTCCTGCGTAGGGATATGTGTGAACTTGGATTGTTTGATAGAAACCTGCCAGTCAAATCTGGCAATCTCTCGTTCCCATACTCCCAACCAAGCCTCCTCAACCTCCGCCTTAGTGTAGTTAAACTTCGCGCAACGGAATTTCCTGACCTTCAATCTGGCTTTGGAAACCTTTTTTGCATGGCTTAGACGGGCCTTACTATGCGGGTCGGACTGCCGTTTTGTTTGGGCTTTCGCTCGGTCCTGACGGACTAGCTCGTTTGGGTCCCGCAGCCGTTGACTACGAGGCGTCCCATTAAGCGCCAGATGGAGGGCATCCTTGTTCTTTCGCGCAAGCTGATTGGCCCATTTTCTTTTCTAATCGGTTTCCAGGTTAGTTCAATTACACAATCCATTTCTGTGGCAACGAACTCTGTCTTTCTCCTCTTCCGTCTCGTTCGCTTTTCTGGCCGCATTCTTTTCTTTACGTCGGGCCTTCACTTCCGGTTTTTGCATGTATCTGCGAACAGACTCCCTGTGCTTTGCCTTTTGGACCTCGCTCCTAGGGGCCGTCGCTCTCTTCCGTTTCCCTAATATCTCCGGTATTTCATTAGGAATCTCCCTCTGAGGGATTGTGGACAGTACGGGTGCGTCCCGAGTAATCCCAAGGATAGAATCAATATCCATGATTTCCCTATTCGAGAACTGTTCCATTGTGGCGCTGCACGCTTTTGGCTCCGCCACGGGTTCGAGGTGGTACGTAGTATCATGGGGAAGCCCGTTCCTCCAATTGGTGATTGTGTAAGTACCACCCGTTTCTGCGGGCCGGACTATACGGGACTTCGAACCATCTGTCAGCTTCGTGTCCTCACGGAAGGCTGAGTGCCCACAGGCACCCTGATACTTGAAGGCTTTGAGGGGGGGGGCCATAGGGACACGCCTCATGATATTCGCTCAACTGGTCAGCGGGCTTTTCGGCATACGAGCCGAGAAGTGTGGTAAAAATCACCTCAGCAGCGATACAAAGCACCCGATAGTGCCTTATATGCTCTTCTGTCTCCAGTTTATCACTAGGTAGTCGTAAAAATACGGCAAACGTCACTTTGTGAGGATTATCCCCCTGTGCCAATGTGACGTGATTCGGAATTCCGTTGTTATGCCTAAATTATAATTCATGTTAGCCCAAGTACGAACCTACGCTGATGATATAATATATTTATAATTCCTTGTCTTTCTCGCTATGTTGTTTAGGTGGGCCCTCTTTCGGTGTCTCAAACCATTATCATAAGATGTTGCGGACCCCGTGTACAGAAAGTCGTTCAGTTCTACAACTGGGGATTCCAAAAGCTTCCCATACACCCCCATGTCCTTGGTCTCGATCCATGGTATGTCTTGGAGCTGCTTGAAAGTGGGCGCCTCCTCACGATCAAGGAGCTCCTTCATGCTCTCGACTGTGTAGTCAAGAATGAACTTGACAAACCGTTCATCCGAATAGTGGGGGTACAGTGTTTCCCAAACCGCTGACTTCTTTACGAATCGCATGCGGGCCACAACGTGTTTGATCCTACTCTCGAATCGAGGATACAGCCGAGGCGAAGTACCAGGCTGAGGAGTAGAGGGCTGAGGAGCAGACGTGTGAGAGCCATCTGATGACTTGTGTTCAGTGGACTGTGACTCAAAAGGTGTCATGGTCTGGTCGGGCTGGATTGGCTGCTTGATGCCGCCGTGCGCCAGCGCTCCCTTGGCTTGTGCGTTGTTGGTCAACTCTTTGGCAACAGGCTTGAACTTCAAGAGCATCTGGCCCGGCTCTCGGCCTTTAACCCTCTTTCTACGTGGTTGTGGCATGTTGAAAGTAAATAGGGGCTAGAGATAGAATGAAGATAACAGGTAAAGGTCTTGACCTACGAGCGAGAGATGAAGAAAGTAGAAGTCTCTGATATTCAATCTATAGAGAGCAGGGTACAAATACCCTGCCATTTAGCAAACTGCGTAGTCTACCAGCAAAGAACGGGATATGGGATGGTCTGACAAAAAGGAGGATGGGACTTGTATTGAAACCGACTGCGAACTCACTAATCTAGCTCTCATCTAGCTCTCGTATATAAATAAGTTCTCAAGGTACAACCCTACTTTATATTGCAAATATGTCTATGGACTAGTGGACCTATTGTCAAGTTATATAAGCCTAATGGAGCCCCGCAAGAGAACTCTACCACTATAGTAATTGATCTCCCACTTAAGAGCGTATCAGAGTGGCTATCGATTCCCAACTTGCCGGTGTATAATCACGCACTGACCAAGCAATTCCAAATCTGCGGCAATGATATTATTTATATATGAGACGGCATCTAAGCCACCAGGTGCACAGCATAACCATTTGGGAGAGGCACCAATTGTATAACATATGTGCTTCAGATTAGGAGAGGTCAAGTTCAAGACCTTCATAACCCTATCGGAACATCTTTGAATTGTATGCGGTGGACCCATCTGCGCTCCGCTCCTTGTCTTGCCTACTACTTCATCTACTCTTAGACTTCTAAGTTAATCGCTACCATTGTAAGATAGTACATGTAGCATTGGAATTGAACCAAGTTATTTCTCAACCTTGATCTAGATAGTATTAGATTGATGTGTCCATATATATAGGTATGCATGCATCCGCTGAAGTTGAAAATGTGGCCTAGGAAGGTGGTCCTGAAGGTTTAGTTGATGTCTCCGCCACATAAAGTCTTTGAGCAGAAGAAACCCAGTCCATGGATGTTCCCCGTCCCTTATTATATTCAAGTTAGACCCAAATTAGAGATCTGCAGTAACTCGATAGCATACATATACCGTAGCCATATCTTTCTAGTCCATGGTTGTATGATTTCTTTCAGTCAATAGCGATTACAAGACCTGTACAACATGTGTATAGACGTGATTGTTCTGAAAATTGACTACAACTGCTGATAGCTTGCTTTGTGCACTATGGTTATTCGCATAAATACCGTAAACTTTTCGAAGGTTTTTATAATGAGGCTCATCGCAATATACGAGGTAGCGTATATTGCACGAAATATACCGGAGAAGCGATTAGGTCTCATGGCTCAAGCACCCTAGTACTAGTCGAAATCAATAAAAAAAAACTAGGCAGTCTATCGGCAGCAACAAGAGTAAAAGGCAAGATGCTTTTAGGCTATATCAGAAGCCAAGAGAGATGCGGCTCGTGTCTACATCTAATTCGAAGCCAATGAGATCAGGCCAAGAATAAAATCGCCAAAATTAGGGTCAACTAACGCTCTTGGCGCATTGCTTGGCGCGTTCGCTGGGCAACGACTTCCCAATCACCCTTCGGCCCACATGTCTCATTCCAGACTGCTCTATTTAAATCCAACTCATTTCGTACTATTGTACTATATTCGATACGAGGTGCAGGAGAGAATTTGTGGTGAAAATAGATTATCACGACGGAGAACTCCGAGTTTCCTCACTATTCTAGTGGTATAGTGTTTGGCGACACTCCTTGCAAGAATCGACAAGCCTAAATTTGGAACATTTTAGGACAGATACCGCGTTTTTGAGTCATGTTTCAACGATCCCGAGGTCGACCCTTGTCTGTACTAAATTTTGCAATTTCCCCGACAAAATCCCTCAGCTTCGATGACCCCTGCAAGTTTGAAAGTTCTTTGTTTTCTTTTTTCGAGCGAAGGCGTTGGATTACTTTGCATACCAAACAATTGGACTATTTGGCATTTGTGGGGCGCTATCATTCCCCGTTGTCCACTTTTGATGTCTCAAGTTTCCAAACTCCAGCCTCTAGGGCTCTATGCCATGTTATAAAAGAGAGAACGGATAAATTATCAAGCTAAATCTATTTAATGATTGCAAGCCATGGTCAGCAACTAGTATAACATAGCCTCCAACATAGCCCAACTAATATAGAATGTCTTGGCACAAAGCTTCTGATGTGATAAGATGTGAGACTAGCGGATTTAGCACGTGAATCTCCTACAAAGGACTGTCCTCCCGCAATTGTTTCCCTTTGATTCAACATTCCTCCAACATGGTACCCCGACCGGATCTAAGAGCGCGCCAAACCGTCCTTCCTAAGGATCGAACCCTACGATTCAGAGAAGATGGAACGTTTCACATTGGAGTATTTGAGGACTTACATTTCGCCGAGGGTATGTTGTTAATACCAATTAGGAAAAAGCCCTGGCTAATCCTGGACAGACGATAAAAAAGACAAGAAGTCCAAAGAAGTGATGTCATATATACTCTCGAAGGAGGACATTGACTTCATAGTCATAAACGGTGACCTAGTGACCGGCGAAAGAACCCAAAAAGCAGACTCGAGCAAATATATCGATTCGGTCGTTTCCCCACTCGTTGATAAGGGGTATAGGTGGGCATCAACCTACGGCAACCACGACAGCGCCGTTAATCTCAACCCGAAAGATGACATGTTCAACGCCGAGCAGAAGTACCCCAACAGCTTGACGCAGAGTAGCATATCCGGCGACAAGGCCGGAATAACGAATTATTACCTGCCAGTCTTTTCACATGGACAGACGAATACAAGCACACCGGCGCTACTACTGTGGTTCTTCGATTCGAAGGGTGGACGTTATTATAAAAAGCAAGGAGAGAGTGGACCTCCAATTAAGAGACCCAGCTGGATTGATGAATCGGTAGCAAACCCCATGCTCGTACTACATTGCTTCAGAGACTAACTGGCTGCATTCAAGGTTGTTGACTGGTTCACTAAAACCAATTCCGAATTGAAAAAAGAACATGGCAAGATCATTCCCTCGCTAGCTTTCTACCATATACCGACTCATGCGATGCTCGAACACCAACAAAAACAAGGTGTAAATCCACATCTTAGTCCCGGTGTGGATCGTGAACGGGTGAACCCGCAAGGAACTAGCGGTTGGGACTATGACGGCCAGGACGTCAAATTTATGAATGCGCTCCTTCATACCGAAGGCTTAATCGCAGGGTTCAGCGGCCACGATCATCAAAATGACTGGTATGTGCTTCTAGCAGATAATCCTGGTTTATATAACCCAGATTCTAATCCAACATAGGTGCTTTAAATGGGACGGCTCTCTCGTTGACCACGATTTAACCGGCAATGGTATCAATATGTGTTATGGTCGACATACAGGATATGGTGGATATGGCGATCTGCTCCGTGGTGGACGTCAAATATTACTCCACGAGCGCAATCTCGCAAACAACACTGAGACGTGGATTCGATTAGAAAATGGGTCCGCCCAGTCTCGTGTGACGTTAAACACAACTTATGGCCATGATCATTACCTCGCTGTTACTAATAGTGCTGGGAAGCCAGATTCCTCTGCGCAGGGCTCTTTGCTTCCTTTCTCTTGGTTGTGGGTTCCGATTATAATGCTCTCGCGTTGGAGCATATAACGAGTTCTTTTGAGTATAGGTCTTGGATCGCTATAACTTAATAAGACCGAAGTTATGATCACGCTGAGATTTTCTACATGAGGATAGGGACCTAAGTTTCGTCTCATTTCAAGATCTTCCAGGGATCACTTCTCAAGGTCTAAATGAAGGATTATATACAACTTTATCCTCTATACACAGACAGGACTTCTCCCTGCCCATTCTTCACTATCATCTAAACTTCCATTTCTTTGATCCAGAGTCTGGACATATCCAGGCAATAACTGAACATCACCATTTACAGGTAGATGTAGCAGAAAGGACCAGAGACGGTGCTCATAAGATCCCGCATCGCAACAGTCTCACCACCAGCATAACCAATATCAAGAACCGTGTCAAGAGTAGTGTTAGGCGAAGGAGGACCATTCAAGAAAGTACCAGTACCCGAAATAGCATTCAGACGCTTGTACAGGTCCAAGTTCTGCCAGATCCACCAAGTACGATCAATCATACCGTGGTGGAGCCAGAAAGCAGGGTCACCGGGGCTAACAAACACATCACGAGAAGGATCACCACCCATGGAGTAGTGACCACCACCGTGAACGCCGATGTTACCGCTGCCGGGAACACCCTGCATGTTCATCTGGAAGTCGTAGATGTTGTCGTTGCGCAGGATCAGGTCAACGATCGCGGTGAAGTTAGCGTAGTCCCGGACAATCTGGGTGCTCAGATCGCGCTTCAGACAGCGCGGGTTATATGCGAGAGGGTTGGCTGTGCTGCCGGTTTCACCTCCGGGAAGCATCAGTGCGACGGGGCCAAGGTTGACGGAGTAGTCCTTGAACGGGCCGCTGGTGACACAGCCGCCTCCGTTGCCGGTGGGCAGGTGAATGACTGGGTAGGTACCCAGGCTCAGCTGGATGTCGCCGACGGACTCGACGTGGGCACCGTTGCCGGACATCGAGGTTTCGCTGCCGTCGAAGACTTGGGATTTCTCCAGGTTGCCGGTGTCGGCACCCCAGTTCCAGTAGCTGGGATTAGGTTAGAAATTGGATATTTTGTTATGTGAAGGATTATTAGACTTACGGGTAGTCGCCGGTGTAGCCACACTCGTTGCGAAGGGCTTCCTCGAAGTTCCAGATGTAGTACCGGTGCCAGGCCAGGAAGGTTCCAGTGTAGTGGATACCTGTGGTCTGGTTGATGTGAGTAGCGACGAAGTCATCGTAGCGAGACCGCGCGCCAGGGGCCAACTCGGAGGGAGTACGCGAGGGCAACTTCTGCAGGCAGAGGATAGAGTTGATGTAGGAGGTCTTCTTGGCCTTGGAGAAAGATCTCCAATCGCGACGAACGCGCAGGCTGCTCAATGAACAACCGCCACGCTTCTCGACGTCACTGTCGCTCGAGACACTCTCGACACTGGCATTGTATGCCAGCCCAGCCAGGTCATCGAGCTGAGACTCAGCGACCGGCAGGGAGCTGGACGCAGCGGTGGGAGTCGCAGCGCTTACGGGAGTCTCCGTGGCAGCGGGCATAGCCAGCGCCTGGGCGAACAGGGCTCCCAAAGTGAGAATGGAAATGGCAACCATGGTGACGAGTTGTATATTTGAACCTCTGAAAGATCAGGAAGTTCCACACCAAGGGTTAGGAGAAGTGTTTATCAAGGAGGATTATGGGCATCGTTCGTTTAAAGGGTACATATGTCAACCACACCACCCCTTTCTCGGATTTCGGAGTAGTAAATGCATCCATGTAGTTAGTCTACTTTTTTTTCCCTGTCTGTCTCCATATCTGCTTGGGCCATTTAGGGCACCGGGCGAAGTTCCGCTTGTCTCCACTGTCCGGCAATTTACCACAAAAACCTCCGTGTCTCTGAATCGCTGGATCACGGACCGACCCTTTTATACCGAGATCAACACATATATGTAAAAGATATTATGTAAAAGATGTTATATGAAGATGTTAATAAAGATGTTATATAAAGATGTCGAGTTGTAGATAAATCTGAATATTCAAATATCTCAATGTTGACGAACTTGGCAACTTCCTTAAGCGACTCACCCAATCACATAATCCCAAACTCAATCTCGGCATGACCCCCGATGCCCTAACTAAGTAACTGAGTAAACTCAGATATTCTACAAATCCACTGGATATTGAGACCTTCCGCCATATCCGAGGTTCAATTTTCTTCAGTTTCTTGTGAGTGATTTTCTTACCGATGGTGCCAAGTCTTCTCATTGGTCAAGTTTCTAATGAGTCGCTACCCAGTCAATATACTCGGGTCCGAGGCGTATTCTAGAACGTGTCTTAGTAGGATAAATCATTATTCTCATGGCAGTGTTATCCTTGGCTTGCATATAGACAGAATAATGGCTTTGTAGTTTATTTTTATGTCCCTAGTGAACGAGTACGAAGTACGGAGTAAAAAGATTTCAACCAGAACCTGGAAGAGAAGAATAAAAACGAGTCAGTAGTTTGGTCGGTGGCGTTCATTAAAGCATATTAAAAACCACTGAACTCCATATGAAACTCACACGATTCGCCTTCATTGGCCTTGGAAGCCACAGCGTAGATTGAAAATTATGCTAGGATTCGTTATCCATTAAATCTGCTAACTTTTAGCCTTGCCAATTTGCTCTTTAAATCCTAGTCCCCAATTCTTCCTTTCAATGCCGATCAGCCCATAACTCTTACGGCAGTCATGTCCGACAGTGCTAGTATTGGTGCTAGCCTACAAGATGTTAACCAGGGTCCTAAGATCATCATAGCAACGGGTATCACAACTGCCGCCGCATTGATCACCGTCTTGGCCCGGTTCTACGTGCGTATATTCCTTATTCGCAATGTCGGCTGGGATGATTATATCATGGCTCTGACCATGCTACTATCTGCCTGCGGATTCGCCATTACCGTCCCTGAGGTGAAGTATGGTGCAGGCAGACACATGGTCTTTGTCCAAGAAACCGCCGTAACGGCCATGCATTTGAATTATGCGACGCAGAATCTCTACCTGTGGGCTATTGGCCTGGTAAAGATATCAATTGGGCTGTTTTTGCTTCGTTTCGCACCCCGGAAAGGGTATAGGATCTTTATCTGGGCTGTCATTGGTAAAGGCTCTATCTCATTTTCTGTGGTCCAGTACTGACATCCCTGATTGCAGTTCTCATGATGCTCTATACTACAATCTGCTTTTTGGTAACGTATCCCCCATATTTGTACTAGGTCAGCCGTTAATTTCTTGATTTATTGCAGACCCTTATCTTTGAGTGCAAAGATATTCGATCAAATTGGGACCCTGCGGTGAAATCCGAGTGCTTTACTCCCAAACAACTTATGACTCTGAGCTATACAAACACCGGTGAGATTGACACTATATGAGTATAAATAAATATTTTCTAACTTGGATAGCTCTGAATATTCTGACTGACCTGATCTTCGCGGTTCTACCGGTCTTCATGCTACGGTATGCTTGGTAAACATTGCCCTTTTCAGCGATACTAATACAATCGACAGTCACCTTCAAGTCAATCGCCGAGTGAAAGCCTCTCTGATCTGTATCCTAGGCCTGGGAGTTTTGTGAGTTACTTCCAATCCTATATTTTAAACCACGCTAACTCTTCTCCTTCCCCAGTGCCTGCGCAGCCGCCTTCGTCAAGCTCTCTATCCTACCCAGCTACGGCAAAACCGGCGACTTCCTCTGGGACTATACAAACCTCACAATCTGGGTCGTGTAAGTCTATATCACAATCATTGCCTTCCAAAATCCCAGACTAACCAATACCAGCACCGAATGCAACACAGGTATCATCGCCGGCACCCTCCCAACCCTCAAACCCCTCTTCAAGAGCGTCCTCGGCACATACGGCTCGCGCACGAAAACAACCCGCGAGTATTTCGGCAGCAAGCAATATAGATTGCAGTCAATGTCTCGATCAAGAGGGACACCATTGCAATCCCGGACACATAAAAGCGGGAATCTTAGTATCATCGAGTTCGATGATAATCCGAAGAGTCAACACTCCCGTGTGGGCTCTACGTCGGGCTCGGTGAAGTACTCTGGTAGTCAACGAAGCAATTCCAGTGAGGAGAGGATATTGCCTGTTCAGGGTGAGGGCATTGTTTGCACTACTGAGGTGATGGTTTCGAGAGATCAGAATCCTCCTGAGGTGCCGCCTAGTTCTCCTCGGACGAAGTTGGGGAGGATGGGGTCGTTGAGTGGATTGCGCGTCAATGCGGACGATAGGGTTTAACGGATTTTGAGAATTTTGTTTACATGACAGGATTATGTATATTAATAACTAAGGAGTACGACAAATAATATGAATACCAATCGGGACCTGGATAGTGTATTGTCTACTTCGTTGACTTCTACTTAGCAAAACCAGGCCTCTCAGTTTTGTAATGCGATAGGAGTCTGCGTAGGGATCCAGTTCATATCTACGATGGGTTTTACGATATGAGAATCGCCGATGGCAGATATTCAGAAATAATGTACTGCGTAATTCAAGTATAGCAACATAGAAAGGTGTTCGTATTTCTCTGTAAAAGGTAGGTCTTGAGTATGCCGGTATACAGCATGATTTCAATTCCATGAATTAAAAGATGCTAGCTCATTCTGACACCGGAAGGCCAGTCATAAAAAGAAAGAAAAATAAGAATAAAAGCTAGCTAGAGGAGTGCGTCCATTCACATCCATGCACATCCAGGGACAACAGCACCCCTCCCAGCAACAGCCTTCTCCCCAAACTTCTCAACATACCACTTCCGTCCCCAGCGCGCATGGGGCAACATATTCGTGATCGCATTTACAACGAATATCACAGCAGGCAAAGGCAGCGGGACGGCGAGCTGGTCAGCTGCCCACGCAGCAGGTACCAACCAAGGTGCAAGACGCAGCGGGGGAGTGATCGCCACGGATGATGCAGACGCAGAGGCAGGAAGGGCGGAGAATGGGGCGACCGCCGTACCGACGAGAGCAAAGCCAATCCACTCCAGCCATTCGAAGACGTAGTGCGGATACAATATGTATCGGAAGACCCCACTGGCAGGTGGGATGACGTAGACCTTGTGGAACTTGTTACGGCTGCCCTGTGCTTGGCCTCCCGCTGGGGTTTCATCTGTCTTCTTGGCAGCGCGCCTTTCAGCTTCTTCACGCCGAAGTCGGAATAGTGTTGTCTCTGAGTAGATGTTGCCAGTCATTCCCATGGCGAATAAGACTAAGCCCACGGTGGGGAGGAGATCTACCACAGCAGAGCGGGGAGATGGAGTTTCGCTGGTGGCTGTATGGAAGCTTGGGATAGTCGGTACAGTATATCCGCGCAACCAGCCGGCCAGACAGGCTGAATTAAACCAATTGAAGAGCATGGCGAAGGACATGATGGTGACGTGGATTGGGGACATGCTGGGAGCGGAGAAGAAAGGGGAAATGATAGCACGATTGAGGTAGTGGGTGCAGTACAGAGTTACAACAAGGATGTTGGACATGGGGAGATCAGTGAACGAGGGTGCATACGGCAATGGGGTGACCATGCTGTATATCAAGTTGATAGGGCCGACAAGCTCCATAGTAGACCAGGCGATACGTCCCGGGATATTGAAAATGGACTGCGAGGAGGTTTTGCCTGCTGGGTGCCAGGATAAAATCCATTGAATTACTGTGAACTAAATGCACCGAGTTAGTATAGTAACATCCTCTTGGGCTTTGGGGTCCTGACTAGGGGGAAGTATTGGAAGCCACATATGATAGGTTTATAGGCAGCCGGGGTTGGAGGAAAGAGCTCTGCAGTTGGAGGCATAGCTCCCCAATATGTGGAAATAGTTGCACCCATCTTGAGAGTTGAAGAGAAGAAGGTTGAAGATCACGGAGAGTAAACAAGCTTAAAAAGCTTAGGATATGGGAAGGCGGTGGGTCCCGGATAAGGAGTTACACTTCACCTGCTTTTCTTTTCCTCTTTCTCCTTTTACTTCTTTTTTTATTTTCTATATCTTTTGGAAAAAGCAAACATCGTCGGTCATACGGATCAGTATGATAATTTTTGCCAAGATCATGCTTGACAACCCAACTTGAAGAAGTGTATGTACTACGAATATAGGGGAATGTAAAAACATCATGCAAACGAATCCCTCGTACCACCATAGGGTAAGACAGGAGGAAATTGCGCGGAAGCAAATTGTAAGACTGAGTTCGTTTGATTCTCTACTAGACAAAAAGTCGCACATGTAAATGACCCCGGGCATAATTCCACATAAACTGAGTGTAGCATTTTGGCCCTTGAACGCTAATGGAAATGCCCTTAAACAAGCAAAAGCAAGCTTATGAATTCAGAAAGTCCCAGCTCCTTAATTCGATGTATCCATCTGATTCTGATCGTGTACCATTTCTCTCCGTTTGCCAGCCAATTTCTCGGTCTTGAATGCCTCGATCTTGGCTTTAAGTTCAGTGTCTAGAAAAAGTGGTTAATAGTGGAACAACACCTGAGAGATCGAATTGCTTACCAGGCACTACATCTTCTATTTTCAATGGGACACGGTTGAATGGATCATGGGGATCACTAAGGAGATGCGAGCGAATTGTGGCGCGGTCGATGGAGATCCGCGAACCGGGAAGGATGACTGGATCATCCATGAGTGAATACATAAGAGGATCTAAAAAGATTAGCATCTGTCGAGAAGCGTAGTTAGATAAAGGGGACATACCGAGGAACTCGTCAGGAATCTCGCCCATGTCTTCCTCTGCTTGTTCATCGGCCTCCTTGGCAGCCTGGACTTTCTTCTGTAGCTGACTCCAGCGACGGAGCTGTTCAGGGGATTTCAATGACCACTTTCGGATGATGTCAGCCGCCTTCTCGAAATTGGCTGGCTTGTACGATCGGCCATCACGGGCAACAGCCAAGATGAAGTTTTCCTTGCCGATCAGGTTAAGATAGACGTCGACAATCTCACTTAGAAGAGCGCGGGGATTGAAGCCATATTCCTGCAGGTTATCCACTCGGAGGTTGGAACTCTTGGGTCCAACCATTGCATCAAGGTTGTAGTCAAGCATGTCTGCGAGTCGCTGCACAATTTCAGGCATTGTGAACGAGTCAGCAAGCGCATCAGTGAATAGCTTGAGCATCGCCACCGTTTGGTTGGTCAATTGCATGTAGCTTTTGGCGCTGCGCTGTGCCGATGCCAGGTGCTCTTCCCGCTGCTGACGGGTTGCGGCATCCATTGAGGCACCCTGTGTATTCAGCTCGGTCTGGGTGTTATGGATGGTCTTGAAAGCACCGAAGGATTCATCGAGTACGTAAGTCACATCGTTCAACAGTAGGTTGACGAATCGGACGAAGAAATCCAGATTCTGGTTGGCTTGGAGAGACAACTTCTCGCGATACAGAGTGTTAGGCCAGATGCACTTGATGATCTCGAAGATCTCGTAACGGATGTTGAACTTGTCATAGAATTGAGAATGTGTTCCCGTAAACTCTGCCTCAATGTAGAATTTCATGATCGCATGGAGGAGATGCTCGTTGGCAAATGGCATTGAGTGGAGAAGATCGACCAAAACACCACTGGCGCCACCAGGGCGTTTCCAGGTGCCTCGGAACAGAATGGAGACCAGTCCGGCTTTCAGGTAGGGATTCTTAATATAGGCGGAGCTCTCCAGGAATGTGATGCACAGCATTACCAACTCATCTCCCTGGGTAGCGGTAATGATCTGTGGCATGCACCACATGATAAACTTGAAGTTGCTGACAACGTCCTCCAAGAAGTACTCTGGAAGACATTTGAAGACTTCAGGCTGCTCCTCTGGAAGAGGAAGGGTAAGCTGCTCCTTGGGGAAGTTCTTTCCCGAGACAAGTCTCAGAAGCCACACGGTAACATATCGCATAAATAGCATGGAACGAGCCTGCCAGTGCTCATCGAACAACACACCCTGGAGACTGTATTTCAGAGCAATGCCCAGGTCGAGCTTGTCTTTGTACTTCTTCAGAGCCGTATCAAAAGTGCGCAATTGCACCGGATTGTTGAGCCAGCGAACCCGCTCAAGCTCGAATTTAGTGATTGTACTCTCCATCTGTCGCACATCTTTCTCAAGTTGCTCCATCTTTGACGTCAACGATTCGCTGCCATAGTGGTGTGCGGCGATAGTCAGGAAAAAGATCTCTGTGATAAAGTTTGAGGTTCCTTCAGCCTTCTTAGAGTAGAAAGCGTCGGAAGCGTGCTGATCGGCATTGATTTTGGTCTCATCCCGCATGTCAACGCGAGAATTGCGATGGAGATAATCTGCATCAATTCTGTCGATCTTGGTGAATGCTGCATCCATGAACGGCTCACAGAGCTGGTCGAGGCAGGTTGTGATATTGAACATGAAGCCGTCAGACGATACTTGCTCGGGATCGACCTGCATCGCCCGTCGTTTGTGATTGATGTTCATGGCAGTAGCGAACCAATCCAAAACACGATCCCGAGCCTCTTTTGAGGCCCGGATCAGGTGGTTGACAACATCAAGGAGATCAGCGCTAAGCATCTGCTGTGTCATTCGAAGAGATCGCTGGGCATTGGAAATGTATGCCTGGTCCCTGGTCTTGGGGCTAGAGAAATAAGACAAGGTGATGTTAGCCTGGAGAGGTGAGAGGCGGAACCATGGACCCAAAAGAGTGGCTTTCTCGAATTGGGCAGGATCCTTGGAGTTATTGAAAATGGAAGATTCCGTGATTGCAGCCGCAACGGAACCGTTGCGAACAAGATTTCGAAGAGCCTGAACAAACTGGTCAGACGTGGTCCAGGGGAAGTGTATGGTCCGGGGAAGTTGTGACGTTTGACTTACGATGGCGTAAGGCTTGTAGTCATCATTAATGTCCATAGAAGAAAGCTGCGCGCTCAACTGCTCGACGGCAGATATGAAGGCAGGCTTGACAGAATCGTCTTCGTCGAATCTCCGGACGGCCTCGTTAATAAACTCAAAATCAATTCCTTTATCGTCCTCAGGGTCGATGAGAAGGTACGAGGCTAATGATGATTGCGGGGACCATTCGCTCCTATAGTCCAAATTGTCAGTTTCCAGTACCAGTGCAGTAAAATTCTATCATAACGCACCCAAACATCTCTGGCATTGTAATCGCAAAGATACAATAGCTCATGCACAGGCGGCGTGCCTCACACAGAACTTGATACTTTGGGTCATTATCTCCTGTCCGCCTCAATCCTTTGTACACCTTTGTAATGCGCTTCCAGCATGGCAGTAGATAATCAAGAGGACGCTGTCTCTCGGTGTTTGACGCAGCCTCTAGGAGGGCTTGGTCTAAAACCGCAACCTGGATGCGCAGCTCCTTGCCCTCATCCTGTAGTTCACTCCGAAGTCCGGGCAAGTATGTGCGCGTTCCATGAATATCACGTTGTCCTTCTTCCTTGAGGGTCACTCTGAACACAGCACTCAGTGTCCGGTCTTCGAAGGCCTCAATGCTTTCAATCTTCTGTGGTGGAGGAGTGCTCGGAGCTGACGGAGCGGCGGATCGTGGTCGCTCTGGTGTGGCCGTGGCTGGTGTGATCTTTATCCGTTTCCCTTCTGACTGCTGCGGGGTTGGTGGCGCATTGAAGAGACGGCTCGGTGGCTGAGCAGACAGTGGTGAATGTGATGGAGATGTGTTAGCTGAGCTCTGCCCCGATTCTGAGTTGCCGTCCACTGGGGACTGAGCTGGGTTTGATAGTTTTGCAAGTCGCTTGTTGCGAATCTATTTTTTTTTTTCAAGAATAGATGTTAGTCCTCGAGTTACTGCGGGGGAGTATTGCTTCAAGATTTGAATACAACAAGAAACTGACCTTGTCTGCGTCGGAAAGAGTGTCTGACATATTAGCTGAAAGTCAGACAATAAGCCGCTTTCAAAAGGTTGACAGGACCGCTAATCTGATCGGGTCGGCAGAATATCAATATTGTGATCGTGTGGGAATCATAAGGAGACGTGAAAGCGGAATCACTTCAAAGCCTCGAAGTGGGGGGAATGGAGTCTAGAATCTAAAAGTGAATCTCGCAAGATAAAACACTTTGTTTCCGTGATGATCGCCGAGATTCGCTTTTGTTCTGATTCGAGATTCAGCGTCGTGATCAAATTTGACTAAGCAAATCTCGTCTTCCACGGTTACTGGTGAAATGTGGGATACAAGGAAGGTACTTTTGATTTGGCGGGAACTACCCGCATAAAATGAAGTACCTATAAAGTCACTTTTTACTATGTACATTCAAAGGTTTAGACTGTTATGAATAGAACATAAATTCGTTATATGGTTCTTTCTATATGTTGAATATTAGACATCTTCATATCCACAAACCAAGCCATACCTTATATCACGGGCGATATGTGCTTCAGATCTATAGCTGCAACCCCAACAAACATTAGTGTCAGCGATATATCTTCATGTACTGGGACATGACACCAAAAAGGAAAACCAAAAAATTCCCAATTAAACTTCGGGTGGACCAAGAAGACAAAGCCAAAAAGACCTTAGATGCATTCAGAATTCTAGGGGAAAAAATGTACAGCCAATGAATTGAAACTCCCATTGACGCTTGTGGGCAGGCTAATGATATTAGAGCAAGTTCTTTCGGGAAAAGAACCCACAAAGGAACATGAGAAGGCGCGGTGTAAGCCCCCAAAGCCCCCAGTGTATTTAAAATCTCTTCGTCTTCAGTTGGTCCAGACGCCGGCAGCTCGGCATCTCCATCGCACGAGCCTTCTTCATCTTCTCAACATCGGGGAAAAGCCAACCTTGCGCGTCTTGCAACCTCCGTTCCCGTTCATGGGCTTCGGCGTCACATTCATTCCGCAGTGTCCTAACGTATTCCACTTCCACGCGGGAGTCTAGCTCCCGGAAATTTCGGGCACTGAAGTTATCCACATCGAGAGGATTCACAAAGTAGTTGAGATTGAGCTTCGGGGTCGTGCGGCCGAGGGTGTGCGGGGAGACGGGGGTATCAAATCGATAGGAGGGCCCGGATGGGGTTGAGGAACCAGAAAAGAGAGAGGAGAGAAGCGGCAGTATGAACAGTAGAATAAGCGGTAATAGCTGGCGAAGGAAACTGCGGCCATCAATCTGAGCCTCCTGCTCAGTGGCTGCTGCTGGACGAGGCCGGCGGCGGGGTGCTTGGCCTCCAAATTGATGCACTCGGAACCCTGGACCACCTCCCATGTTGAAAACAAATTGCGGACCTCCTAAAATAGCACATAGTTAGTTCAGGCTCAACAAATATTAGAGGAACGTATACTCGTACCGAATCCACCACCGCCCATCCCGCCAAATCCGCCGTTGAAGAACCGGTTGAACATCTCCTCCGCTGAGACCTCCTCGTCGAATCTTTGACCTCCGCGGGGGAATCCACCACCACCGAAACCACTGAAGGGAGATGCGCCACTAGACGCGCTCGGTCCAGGCTGGAACCTGCTATCAGGGTCGCCACCAAATTTGTCGTACTTGGACTTCTTTTCCTCATCGGAGAGGATCTGGAAAGCACGCGAGACCACTGCCACAGCGCGTAAGAATCAATGTGCAATATTTGGACATAGGGTTGCTCATGGCTCACTCTTGAATGCTTCATCCGCGCCTTCGTACCCATTCTTATCAGGATGTGTCAACAAACTCTGTTTCCGGTACGCCTTTTTGATTTCATTGTCTGTTGATGACCGCTCGACCATAAGAATCTCGTAAAACGCTGTCGGTTGACATTTTCGGATGCGAAGCACGGCGGCCTTCTGATCATCAGTGTACTTGCGATCCTGGTTGCCCTGATTATGGTCGCGCGACGTAGCACCTCCGCGTTTGGCGTCAGAGCCTGATGCCGAAGCCGACGGCATACCGACCGTAGTTTATAGTGAAAAGTGGATAAATTCCGAACGGCGGTTGCTTGCTGTAGGAGAGAAGAGGGGGAATCGAACGGATCTGGAGGGTGTAGGGTGGCGTGGCAGCGCGGATAAAGGAGAACCAATCCCGCACAAGATATGGCTGTGCTGGCAGGTTAATCAAACGTATGATGGGATATCCAAAGTAAAATATCGGCCTGATGAAGACGCTGCGGGATCAGAGCGACATGTGTGGCTGATTCGGCGGGCATAAATTGGGGAAAAAGCGTGGTCTTAGGTGTCTTTGCCAAGCACCGGAACGTCGATTACACTCCGGGCTGGACATTGCGATAACATCACTTGCCAAACTGATAAACCTGCCAACATCTCCAAGTTTGTGATATTCAGTTGTGAGTTGTGCCCAGATTCACGAAGTTCCATCGAAGCAGCTCGGTCTTATTGATATACCTGCAGCAAAAGCAATTCTTGGCTGTCAAAGCTCCAACGACCTTCCGTTTTTATCCAGTGATCCCAGCTTTGAAGCTCAATACCTCATCATGGCAGCGGACAATTCAATTGCCGAAGAGACTAAGCAGACTGTAATCCAGCGCTGCCGGGCCTGGGGTGGTAAGTGACCTATATGGCTTCATCGGCCAATTGTCGAGGCAAGCAATGCTGCAAATGATCACCCGCTAATGACGTTTCTCGATGCAGAAAACTCATTCCCACCCACGCTGCTCGCCTCCTTGATTGCGGCCCAGCATATGCGCCCGTTCCAGTTTTTCCCGATGCTCTTCCCGCCTGTGCTGATATTCTCCAGCTATGCCAACCTGCAGGGCTTCAAGACGGACACTGCCGGCATCAGCGCCGCCTTCTCGGGGTTGTACCTGCTTCTCGCAGCCCGCCGTCGACAGCCAATCATGAAGAAGCTGGGTGTTCGGGGCGTTGTGCGCGGTGCGACTATGGGTTTGGCTTTGGTCAACATAGTCGGTGGTGGGTTGGCGTACACTCTAGGTAAGAGGGAGGAGGAAGAGGATGCGTCATGATTTGAGGTAATAACCCATCACGATGCGAAACACGCGACGCCACTTTGGTATCGCGCTCTATCATGTACCATATGTGTATCAAAAGTGGTTTATTTGTGCGTTTGAATGAGGGGGACTTCAGGCCTCGGAGTCGGTAGGCATAACTTGTTTATGAAATTATTCATGCGTTATCATTATACAGGTTGGAAATGTATCGTAGGAGTCACCTAGTAGCTACCCCGCCTAAGTACATATCTACGCTTTGGGGTTTCCAGAATACGGGTGTTCGGACAGGAGGAACTGCCGAACCTGTTCAGGAACCAGCCAGTCTAGGTCCTGGGGAGCCGATTGTAACGCCTCCCGGGCTCTAGTTGAACTCACCGGCTTGTCAGTAGGGGCACGACCATTGACAAGCTGGATCCGTTCAGCCCATTCCCTACGCGCGCCCTCGCCATCTCGGACACCTCTAGCAAGGGCCGCCAGATATTCAAGCTGCTCCTCTCTCCCACCCCACTCATCGCTCGGCCGCATAGTCACACGCAGCCGGTGCTTGGACAAGAATGGTTCCAAAGGCTTCAAGGTATGTTCAGGCGGATAGTACTTGGAATCGAAGATACGGATCAAAGTATCGTATCCGGTAAGATGGACCTGCTCCAGCGGCATTGGGTAAGAATCCGATGCCTCGATAGAAGCCGCCTTGTCGATAAAATAGGGCTTTTTTGTGACGCCAATATCGATCAAGGGGAGAGTTTCGATGCCGTGTGTGAAGCCCGAGCCGGAGAAGGCCGGTGCTGATTCGAGATGGGTGCGGAGATCCCGAGCGAACAGCTCCATCATCACGAGCCGATCCTCGAAGGAGGCTGGCTTAGATGGCTTGTCTGCATTCTGGGTAGCGAGAAGAAGGAGCAGGCGAGGGCGGGGCTTAGGATTTTCCAGAAGTGCCGTGCTGGCAATGCGGAGGTGGGCGCGGGTGGGGGGATTAAAGGACGAATCTAAGACATAGAGGGTCTCTGATTCTGCGGAGTGGTCAGGTGGGATGGTTGTTAACACCTCGAAATCTTTGGTCGAGGTTAGAAACCGCTTCAGTAGTGAGGCATACTGGGCTCGGAGAGCTTGAAATGAGGACATGTCAATTAACTGCGTGTCATGCAGGTCTAGAACGTGCGATGTGAGATGTTTATCCGATAAGCCATGTCGTCACCGCCTTTGATATGGGATGGCAGTGGGATCGACATGCCAATATTTCTAGACTCTGGCACCATGGTTCACAGGATTGAGATCTCCTTACGCAATTCCTAGAAATTCATAGCAATTCATAGCAATTCATACATATACTCCGTACAGAATAGTAATTAGGGAGTTAAGGAGGGGTAGTGACAGGGGGCAATTGAAATTTCAAGCGGGATGTTTCATCTTGAAAAGCTTCTCCGTGTCGAGGACTAGGCCTCCACGATTGGGGGAATTTCTATGAGATAGCTCAATTTCTACCAAATTTACATGCTAGAGATGAAAGCCCTTGACTATCAGTCTTTCGAATAGCGCGAATATTCCGAGAAATGAAACTGTGCAAACGATAGACCAAAAGTCCAGGGGCCGTGCTTCTCGGCCTAGACCTCATTAATTCCCCGATACAGCCGTCTAGATTTAACCCCACTCTGTATAGACGGGATTTAGAGTGAATTGTGTACATCTTCATTTTTATATGTATGGAATAAGCCCAGGTGGAATCCAGAATTGCCCATCTTTATTCTCAAAAGACAATTTATATCCCGAAGAGTGGATGTAAGCGGAGACAAGGAATACGGGAGCCTTTGATTTAGATGAAACTGTTGGTATTATATATATGTATTATTACAGCCGAGTCGGGGTCGAGAATTTCCTGATCTTTCCCGAAGGCACCGGGAATCAGCCCGTATCTTTCTCTTCTAAGATCGTCTAGATTTTCGGATTGTGTTTCCTAATGGGTATATGTTGTATATTGCCTATACTAAATCTAAATTTTTCTCAGTGTGTTTCCGAATGTTGTTTCTGTACGACATATTTATATTTTAAAAAGCCGTTTGACATAGTAGTATGTAGCCCCTTTTAAGCCAAAAAGATAGGAGAGATATAAAAGTGACGCCACCAACGCCACTTAACCCTCATGGATCAATAGAGGGAGCTTATACGCTAGAAAGAAAAAAAGAGGCTCATAGGCTTCAATATCAAATGAGATTAAAAATTGCCCACACAATCCACAGAATCTAACCAAATCCAATTAGATTCTTGTGCCTGAGACAGTGGATCTTCGGTATTACCCATCATACTCCGTACTTATTCTACTCCGTACTAATATAATGGAGTACAAACATACTTAAATTAAAAAAATGATAGGATGATTTAATTTAAACGAAATTAATGAAAGGGAGTTAATTACCTGTCTCCATCTCTCTTTTATCTCTTCTTTCCTTCTTCAAGCTTGCTTGACCTACTTCTCTTTTTTTTTTTCCTTCTCTGTGAGAAGCCATACGTTCCTTCCTTGCGAATTGATTTCGCTCTTTCCAAAAAAAATCACACTCACTTAACACACTCGCTCTTTGCTCTCCTCGCTCATTTCTCATCTCATCCTCACCTTTATTCTCTTGACACCCCGTTGCCAATTTCATCATGGTTGTCTTGAACAAGTTCTCCGTTGTCCTTGTGGCTTTGGCTGCTGTGGGCCAGGCCACTCACGAGGGTCTCCATGCTCGTCGTGTCCACGTTCGTTCCGTTCAACCTGGTCCCAGTTCTTCCTCGACCAGTTCTACCTCGACCGTGCTTGTTGTCCCCACCGCTGTCGACCCAACTACTACAGCTGCTTCTTCTACTGCCGAGAAGTCCTCCACTGTGCAGTCCTCTTCTGCTTCCTCGGTGGCTTCTAGCTCCAGTGCTTTCGTTTCCTCTTCGGTTGTGCCTAGCTTGAGCTCCTCCGTGCCTGTTGGTTCTTCCAGCACTCCCGTTGGTTCTTCCAGCATCCCCGTTGGTTCTTCCAGCACTCCCGTTGGTTCTTCCAGCACTCCCGTTGCTTCTTCCAGCATCCCCGTTGGTTCTTCCAGCAAGCCTGTGGTCACCCGCACTCCCATTACCGGTCCTCCTACTGGTCGTCCCACCCAGTCCACCACCGGCATCGTGTCCAGCACTGCGTCTGCTCCCGGTACCACTAGCGGCGTGACATCGTCTTCCGCTGGCTCTGGAAGCTCCACTGAGCAGTCCACCAGCAGTGCCGTATGTGCCCTGTCAGATATCCTATTCTTTGTTCTGAACTAACTTTGTTATAGACCGAGTCCACCTCCGACAGCACCATCACTCGCACCTCTACTATCTCGGCCACCCGGACTGAGACTGTCACTCTCACCGAGGTTCCCTCTTCCTCCGGTGCGGCTGGCTCTGGTGCTTGCACCGCTGTTACCGTCACTGCTACCGTTACTGAGACCGTGACTGCCGTATGTGCTGCTAATTCCCTGGCTGACACGTTTAAAAACTAATGTCATTTCTCTAGGGCCCTACTGAGACCTCCACTGGGACTACCTCCGCCGGGACCTCCACCGGTGAGACCACCACCGAGGTTTCTAGCACCCGCACTCCCATCGGCTCCACTCGCGTTCCCATCACCCGGACTCCGTCTTCCAGCGGTTTCTCTACCCGGACTCCTTCGGCTACTGCCAGTCCCAGCGTTACCCCTAGCTCCAGCGTGATCCCTAGCTCCAGCGTTGCGCCTACCAGCACCCCTAGTGGCAAGGCTTTCTTGTCCAACTGGCGCCGCCGCTTCATCTAAACACACTGCTAATGTGAGGGGAGTCTCCATCTCCACATGGCAGCGAGTTGTGAGCCCGTTAATGATCTGAAAGAGAGTTCCGATTTCCTTCTACTCGCGCAGAGGCGTGCTGGTACTGTACCTATTTTTTTGCCAAGTTTCGGTACAAACGGTTTCATTTCACTTCTTATTTACGCTCCATTTTCTGCCATGTTTCTTCTTTTCGACTTCTCTTCTTGCAATGGTCTTGTCGTGCTGGATTGTTATTTGGGCCCAAGCTTTCCCTGCCTGCTTGCTACGTTTTGCAGGCAAACTTCAATACTGGACTGCGGCCCCCAATCTCCGAAACTTCTGGCATGACATTTCCTTGCGTTACATTTTTACTCTCCAATGTGAAATTGATCCATTCATACGACCGGTCTCCATTGGATTTGGAACATTCTCTCACGTATCGTTTGACGGGTGGTGACATGTCTGCTTTGAGGACTGGATCTCACCTCTTATCTATTGTGTTTTGAAGGGAAAACTCATCTTCTTTTAATCTTTACAGATCTTCATTTTGTGAATGATCTCATAGTTTGCGTTGTTTTTCGTCTTCATGTTTTCGTTCTATGTGGAAGGCCGATGGGGTGAGCAATATCGGTATCCTTAGGAAAGAAACTGAATTGACTTGAGGCTTTTGCCTTTTAACAAAATCCCCTTTGTAAGTTGAGTAAAGATAAAGTGCATAAGGCTCTCCACCTGCACATCCTAGAGGGATATGTAAAAGTAAGGCTTGGCCCATGTCAATCAGTGTTGATCATATAGGGCTGGTTAAAGGAAACACATAGGTCGACGGATAGTCTAGTGAACCTTTGAGCTGATGTCTAACGTCATTTGTCCTTCTAGAGTCATAATGTACATCAAGTAGGATACATAAATATGTACAAATCCGAACGCTTAATGTCATCCCCAGAAAAGCTGGGGCATCCATACCCCCATCGCTATCCAGCCTGGCTCCGCCGAGAATGAATATTGATATCGATGTAGGGACTACGGTCTCGAGTCCAACGCCTCAATCCCCCCCTTCGCAATCCGCTCACGCATAATCTCCCATTCAATCCACGTCACACCCTGCAACAAACAATCTGCCAGATCGTCGAGTTTCCCCAGATCAACGGCAGCAACATCATCCCTCATATTAGACTGAGGAGACCCCTTCTTCCCTTTCGATTTTTTCGTCTGCGTCTTGCCCTGCCATTTCTGCATATACGCACTCGCAACATCATGCAGAGCGGGAGACACAGATTTATCCGCAAGTACAATCTTATTGTCGGCAGCGATACCCAGCTCCAGTTTCTTGATACCGCCATCCGCGTGCGGACAAGCGTTGGTATTCTGCATCGCAGCAGAAAGCCACCGTCCAACAATATCAATCTTGGCTTTCTTCACTTCTCGCGCAGTGGGCTTCTTCTCCGTCATCTTTTCCGGGACTTTCGATCTTTCGCCCACCTCCCCTTTAGGAACTGATGACCCAGATCCACCCTCAAGCCAATACCTGACTACCCGTTTCGGCTCAATACCTCGAACAATCAAATCCGCAACATCCCCGCCCCTCTCTCGTCGTAGAGTTTGGAGAACGGCATACAACATGCCCTCCATAATTCCAACGCGCAGCGTCCATTCGAGCACGGCACTTGCGCCGCCTGAGCGGAAGCGCTGTCGCTCTATGAGCACGTGCGTAGGACGGTAAGCAGCTATGAGTGATGTGATTAGGGTGTACGCATTTGCAGCGTAAATATCTGGACAATATAAATTGTCTTCTTTTGCAGATTTGGCGCTCTTAGCGGGCATATCTTTCACCGTTCCTATTGGGAGAATTGCCTGTGATAAATCTGCATTGTCACCAGATCCTGATATTGCTTCATCAGTTTTGATTATACCGGTATTATCCCCGGGTGTCAGGTTCAAATTTGATATCTCAGAAATAGCGAGTCGATGCCAGGCTGTTAACACCGGCGGTCGGGGGTGCGCTGCATCTATCCCGACAGTTTGGGAATCAGAGCGGGGCACGAGCAGATGCGCAAATGCAAGGTTCTGAATCCCCATATCGATGCTGAGGATGCTCCATTGTTTTGCGGGGTTTGATTGTGACAAATCTGCTGACTTTGTTTTTGTCTTGCTTGAGCGACTTTTTGTCAATGCCGATCGCCGATCGTCCTGTCGATCTGGGCTTATGCTGCTGGTACCAGTGGTACTGGGATTGGGATTACTGGTGACACCCTCTGCAACATCATCCACGGCAGACTGCAACTGCAACTGTGAATGCAACGTCAACTCTGCTGCAATGCGCTCAATGAGAACACCTTTCGTTCCGGACGATTGGATGCCCGTTGCGCGCGCGATGCGCTGCAATTGTGCTGATTTCAAGCATGCGAGCCAAGGGGTTTGGGAGTACAGTGCTGCAGAGAGACGCATTGAGGGGGTTTGTTTGTGCTTGCCAAGGGTGACATTGGGTCTGAGCTTTGCAGGGACGGTTAATCTCGGATTTCCGTGTCTGTCTCGGAAGACCTGTAACGGCAACTTTAGGCTGGATGCATGGGGTGTTTTTGGAAGGGTTTCTTCGAGATGAAATGGATCAGTGCACGGACCAATTTGACGTTCGCGTCTACCGTGGTACTGGGTCTGATTTCCATTTGAAGTTTAGTTTGTATAGAACGAGTGTATAGATCTAGAGATGTAGAGGTTATATTGTCATTCTTAGACTTGGCACAAAATAGAAATTATATGCGCCTTCTATTTCCCGGAAATATAACACCGAGATCCCCTCGGTAAAACACCTGAAATAATAAAACTCCCCCCAAGAAGCAAATGCAAGGCGCTGAAAAGCAAGTCAAACAAAACACTTAAGACAGTAAACAATAACCAACACCAAAAATCCAAAGAGCAAAAGAACTAAAAGTAAATAGTAAAAGAGCAAATTACACCAAGCTAACCTGCTCAAGCTCCGAAATTGCAATCTCATCTCGGAGATACAACAGCGGAGCCCAAACACGCCAGTGCAAGACACCCATATGAGCAAGACGCATCCCAATGCGCTCGATATCCGACTGCTGTGGCGAAATAGCTACCGGAAAAGTGTTCACTGACCCAGATGCAGCTGCAGTCCCAGTCTGCGGCGCAGTAGGACCCATAGTGGCAGACAACGGAACACGCTGTGACTCACAGATCGCCAACGGCGACAACGGCAAGTATTTACGAGCCGCCACTAGCGTGGTAGCAAGGATCTTGCTACGCATGCTATTTTGGAAGAAAACGAAGAGCTCGGACTCATTCGAGAGATGCCACTCGAGAGCTTCCTCGATGGGGGCAATGACTTCGTCCGCGACGACAGGGTCGAGCTGCAGTGCGGCACAAGCGAAGCGGGCAATCTCTAGCGCGATACAGCGCATATTTTGCGTCCAGCGTTTTCCGCCGCGATGATCTGGATCGTCGTCGTTGTTGTCTGGGTTCCCAGCGACGCGGTTCTCCAGGTCCATGCCGTCTTCCATCAGGGACCAGATGCGTGATCGGAAGGTGGAGTAGGTTTCTTCTGGTGTCGAGAGATACCGCTTGTGCTTGTTGACGTAGGACTCGAAGATGTACCAGGCGATATCGAGGTTGATTAGATTTTGGACTGTTGAGCGGAGTTGCCAGAGGCGTTCGGAGTCGAAGAGGAACGTTTCGGGGAACTCGGCCGGCGGGGTGAATTGGAGGAGTTGGGAGGAGATTCCGCGGAACAGAGCTTCGAGGGGTTTAAGACTCTCTTCGGTTTCTGGGATTGTGGTCGTTTTTTGGGCTTCTGCATTTGCATCATCTAGACGGGCTTGCTCGCGAACTGATAGGTACCAGTGGCGGGCGGCCTCGACTTGGAAGCTGCCACGGGTGATTTTGCCTTGGAAGTATTCTTGGAGGAACGGGACTGTGTCTTCGATGAGGAGAACGCGGAATGCTCGAATTTGATGGTTGGCGACGTCCTATCAAGTCACGAATTAGTTCGGAACATTGTGAGATCCGGGTTTTAAATCTTGCATACCAATTTCATCGCCTCTAGAATGGAGAACAATGTTCGTAGACCGTTGACAATCTCCTGGGGATCCTGAGACTGTGAACCCTTTTGGATTTGCTCGACCATAGAATCTGCCCATTCATCTCGCATCGGAGCACAGTGCGTTTTCAGGAGTTTTGCCAGCCATTTTGCCAGTGTAAGCATGTCGAGAACGCCTTTACGTATTTGTTGCATGAGCAATGGAACTTCCAGGTTCTGCATGATAGTTGGGTGATCCCGTTCTGGGACGAGGGTCTTGATGACGTCCTGTAATGTCTCGAACAGGGCGGGCAAACGGGGATCGAACGAGTGTCGAGTACCATCACTCGACTCGACTTGCCCGGTAGTGACATCGGCAGTCGCAGCAAGGAAAGAGTAAATAGTAATCTCCACAGCCAAAGAGTCCCAATAATCCGCAGCTTCTTTCCGCTTGCGTTGGCCCTTCTCCCCATCTAGGTCAGGTTTGAAGTGCAGGTCGCGGTCGAAGTTGGCGTCCATGCGGAGATTGATGTTGCTCATGATACAGGGCAGATCAAGCTCACTGAGTGTCTTCTTCGTAACCGGCGGAGATCTCCGAGCCTTACGCAATAGGCGCTGATCGCGGGAACTTAGCCCTAGATCTTGGGGTATACTGATAGCCTCCGGTGACGGGGAGGGCTCTCGAAGTCGAGGGACAACTGCTGGTACCGGCGATGCAGTTTGTCGATTTCCATGGGGATAGGCGAAGGGCGGTTGACGACGACGGAGAGGATGAATGGAGGTTCGTTCATCATGGTTGTGAGAATCTCGCCCCTCCTTCTTGTGATACTCTTTAGAACGACCACCTCCAGCACCATATGCCTCTAGAGGGCCTTCAGCCCCCTCCTCCTGGGGCCGGGCTTCTTTTGTGCCTTGTAGATCCATTACCACGATATATCTGAACCTCCCCCTACTCAAACAGTCAGATAAAAGAAAGATTTTGGGGGTGGCAATGGCAAGACCACGCCATGCTAAGCACAGAACAAGGCGAATACGCCCCCTATGCAACTCCCACAACTCACAAATTTAATAGCCCCTGTTTGCCTCAGGCAGGCAGCCAATCCGCAGTCACCGTAAAGTGATGCAAGTGAGCTGTCAATTCCTGTGGAGCCGAGGATTGCTTGGGATCTGCGTCGATCGCCTCGTGGTCCCGATCAGGGGTCCAAGGATAAGATGATAAAAAGGGGTGGAAACTAGATTATTTGAAACAAAAGAAGTATAAGAGTCCAAATAAAAGAGAATATAATCTTTCAAAACAAAGAATTGTGTAATATAGAGGGAGAGGGAGTATCAAACCTCTCTCAAAGCATAAACCTGGGAATTGCAGTAAAAGTGTACTCTCAGGGCAAACAAATCCAAAGGTCGAGAGTGCAAATGCAGGATAAATCGACAAATCAAAGAGCTAAAAAAAAAGAAAAGAAAAGGAGTTTGCAAAGCGACCGGGATGAATATAGCGAGTGTATCCCAAGATCTACACACCGGATTCGGGTGGACGCAACCAGACATTCCTATGCTGTTACCCGCGAGCAGACTCCCCTCGACTTTGGGATAATCTCGACATTGTCACATCTTTCCATTTCCGATTTGAACTTGCATATCCATTGAAGTTCTGTAAAAAAAAGGGGGCGTACTCGCCTCACTTTGAACTTTGAAACCAGCACTGGCCACGTGAGTTGTGAGTCTCCTTTTCTCGGGGAACTACTGGATGCAGTTTGTGCATTACCAGGTACATAATATGTACTCCGTACTGCGTACACTCTGCGACACTTGCCAAGTGTTCACAGACGATCGAGGAGAGATGAAGCAGGGCCCTCTCGTCGGGATCGGAATGTTTTCGGTTCGGCGTGCCTTGCTGCCTTAATGCCTTAATGCCTTGGGGCCTGTAGAATTATGCCTGATATACAAGGCGCAAAGTCCTCAAAACAACCCTAGTTAGTTAACTAACTCATACTTCGCCAACTTCGCCACCTAACTCCCACCAATTGACCTTCACGTTCATCTCGGATCTGAATAAAATTACCGTGATTCAGGAGGCATCAGCTGCTCATAGACGGATATGAGGCCAATCGAGCTCCCAAATCCACTGGCCATGTCTTTGACCCCAATACCCCCGCGGGCCTTATTGACACCCGAATCTGGCTCAACAACCGCCTGCTCAATAACCCAATAACCACCATGTCTAGAAAGAAAGAGATAAAAAGGAAACATGGTTTCCACGTGGAATCATGTCTGCATAAGCATTCGGAATATTTCCTACGCAGTACTACAGAAGCAATTTCGAAGGTTATCATCTCAATCATTTGCCGGAAAGAAAAGGATCATCACAGCTGTGCAAAGCACGACAAGTTCCAATCATGAATATCTCCGCATTCCTATACTTCTTTCATGTTCTATGGGCAGCTCCTGGGTTTGTCCTCTCCCGAGGGATTGGTGCACACGACACCTCACGGTTTAGAGTACATGCCTTGCCCGGCGTTTCGGACCTACCGTCCAGCTGGGCTGGTCGCCTTCCAGTTCCGGAGACAGAGAATGGAAATGAGATATTTTTCTGGCTATTCGAATCAGAAAAACGGGCATACGATGACAATTTGATCAGTTAGTCTAATTTGGGAAAGGACATGCAAAGGTGTTTACTAACAAAAGTGTATAGTTTGGTTCAATGGCGGCCCAGGCTGCTCATCCTTGATAGGTCTGACGACCGGTAATGGACCCATTTCCTTCGATGGCAATTCAACTCGGTTCATTCGCAACCCGCACTCGTGGACAAAGCTGGGCAATGTGCTTTACGTTGATCAGCCCGTCGGCACTGGCTTCTCCACGGCCAGCTTCCCCTACCCGGTCAAGGACAATGGCAGGATAACGACAGACTTTACGCAGTGGCTGCGTGGCTTCTTCGAATACTTCCCGCACCTGCAGTCAAAGCAGATCCATCTGATGGGCGAGTCATATGCAGGAATCTACATACCCTATTTTGCATCGGAGCTTCTCGAAGGCAACAATTCCTTGTCCCTCAACGTGCGTTCGATGTCCCTGGGTGATGGATCTTGGGGAAATGGAGCAGCCATGGCCGCCGTTGCAATGGGCAAATATATCAGGTCACAGCTGGGACTCCTCCAAATCCCCGAAAACGTCCTATCCGTCTTTGATGAGGCAGATAGAACCTGCGGCTTCAACGATGTGCTAGCAAAATCCGCCATATACCCTCCCCAAGCTAAAATCCATATCCCCGGGAACCCAGAGTACTTCAACCTTCGACGTCGAGACCTGACAAATGCCGCCAACGGCGCATGCAACATCTCACCCACAACCCCAGAAGAAGTCCGCACCTCAATATTCAACTCAACCTGCTACGGCCCCTGCGCCACCTTCTCCACAGCAAGTGACTATCTAACAGCCATCTCCACCAATCGTACAACCCGCGGCTGCTTCGACATCTACGACATCTCCCATGACTGCAACGCAGTTTCAGAGCTTCCACTAATGGCAGAATACTTCGGCCGCGCGGACGTGCAGACCGCGCTCCACGTCGAGAACAGCGGACCGTACAGCGCATGCAACTCCACAATCTTAAATACCCTCCTTTCAGCGCCCTCCCCGGTGCCACCGGAGTACTACATCCTCCCGTCTCTTGTTACCAAGCACAACATCTCGCTCCATATCTACTCGGGCGAGTGGGATATGTTGATCAACCACTTTGGCGCGGAACTCTCGCTGCAGAATATGACGTGGCGTGGTGTGCAGGGCTTTGCGCAGAAGCCGACGAAGCCGTTCTTCGCTGATAACGCTGCGCCGTCGAAGACCAAGCAGCTCCTGCTCGAGCATACGCCAGCTGCTACTACACTTTCGACTGCCACTCCCACTGCTGTTGCGGGTACGTGGGCTATGGAGCGTGGCGTGTCGTATCATTTATTCCGAGGGGCTGGTCACAGTATCTTTGTGAATAAGCCGCGTGAAATGTTCTCCTTCGTGAGGGATGTGGTTGTTGCTCGGGGGGGTCTCTGATCATGTGGATCTCGGGATTGAATTTTGGAGTCATCGAAATTGGCGTTGTAAGATTAATTTTTCTTAGAATTGTTTCTATTTTCGAAATTGGGAGCCAAGTCAGTATGCAGTCAAATTGTTCATGCCAAGATCGTAAGGGTAACAGTAAGGGAAGGCTTTCGGACGATGTCGACAAGAATGTTGCATCATATAAGAGAATCACCAAAAGCAATGTGATCTCTGGGTTCAAATAGTGTTTTTTTCGTCATTTGCCATATCTTTTCCGCATAAAATAAAAAAAAATCAAACCAAGTACTTACTACAATATAGTCTTCTCTTCCGGATATATATCCGACCATCTTGATTCAATAGTATACCAATTTGTTTCGGGTGAAGTATTTCATTTGACTTGATAGCTACGAGGAATATCGTGATTTGATTTATACTCAGTTCAAAATAAGCAACAATGCTGTCATATTCAATATCCAAATCGATTTTGTCTCTATAGTAGGCCGTATCCCATCCACAATGATCAAAATGTTAGTAGTTCTCCGTCATAGTGCAACAAGCACATGAATAATCTCACGATGATAAAACTTGTATGTATTAAGAGCAATATTTACTAAAAATTACCTGGGATTTGGTCAACAAGTGTCCATTGGGGGTCACAGTGAGCCAGCATGAGTCATGATGCATCACGATGGAGTCAAAGGTTATACTTAGAAAAATCCATTCAATGTTTCACAATGCCCTTTTCTGCCTTTTTTATCCCCCGACTACAGAACGGACAAGGAATCTAAATAGAATTATATGTGAGAAGAGTACTAAAAAGACTGAAAAGATATCACAGGGTTGCTTATGCGGCCGACGATTCTTGTTGCACATAAATCAACTTCCTGGCGTTGTCGATACTCCGAGAGGATATCGGAGAAATTTCTTGATTCTGTTTTATTACTTCCTTTAGCTACCTCTAGCTGCAACATGTGTATTATCTTGAGATTAGTATGACCCAATATATGCATGTTTGACAATATATACCCTGAAGCGTCATTTACTGGGAGAAGTTCTTTGCAGCCAATTGCTTAAAGGCTTGATCTCCACCTTGATGGGATGGCGTGCTTTCCGTAGCAGTGCGCTCGAGCAATAGCATGATATTCTGAATATATAAAACCCTAGAACACGGATGCCTCGCTGTTAACATAATCAGACTCGTCTTGCAAGAGCATCTTTATTCCCAGCTTGTTTCCAAACTTCCGTGCAGCATGTAGCGCCGTACCAAATTTCCCACCTTTGGCATCGACATCCGCATCCCAATCCAGCAGCACCTTTGCACAGCAGCAATGGCATTCAAAAGGGCACCTGGTCCCTAACAAACCAGAGTAGCACTGCCGCCACGTCTGCCCCATCACTGCCATCAGCGGCGTACCAATACGCTCATTCTGTGCGTTGGTATCTGCACCAGATGAAAGAAGCAACTCCACCGCCTCCGAATTCCCAGCTGCTGCTGCTCCATGTAACGCTGTCCCGTACTCGCCTTCGTCGAGGTCGACATCTGCGCCGTGAGTCAACACACTCCGAACAGCGTTGCCGCTATGCCTGGTAGCGGCGATATACAATAGAGTTTCACCAGACCTGGGATCCCTTGTGTTCGGGAATGCCCCTTGTGTGAGGAGATATGTAAGCATATCCTCAGACTCCCTAGATCTAGAAGAAAAGCATTCGGGAATAAAGCGAGCACAAAGTTCAAGGCATTCAGCAGGCTCCCAGCTCTGTGACTCAAGAATGAGGCGTGCGCAGGCGACACTACCACAACGAATTGCTTCTTTCAAGGCTACTTCAAGGATAGATCTGCTGTATCTAATGTGCTGGAGTAGGATGGCAACCATGTCGGGACACTGCTTTCCAGAGGCAATTGTCAATGGCTCGACATCCTGATTGTCATCAAAGAAAAGCAATGGTTTGAGGCTCAGAAGTGCCCTGATTGTTGGTATCCGGTCTGATGATTGCTCGTGACGCTGTGTTGCAGCAAGAACGGCAGCTTTGATATTCCTAGTTGAAGGGGCATGCTTTGTATTCATGTAATAGATCTTTTCCATATCGCCGTTGGCCGAGGCTTCGATAAAGGCAGATGAATAAAGTTTGCAGTATCATCGAGTATACTGTATCCGCGGCAATCCAATGTTCTCAAGATATCAGCTCCGCCGTGCTTTGCAATATCCGGGATGATCTCGTTGATTTTGCCGGATAAGTCATTTGTATCAGTCCCTCCACAAAGCAAGATCGTAAGGACTTCGATCCAATTTGGCGGGTCACCACGGCTCCCCGAGCAATTTCTGTGCTTCTTGATTCCTTTTATGGCTAGGTCCAATGCCATATTGCCACCTTCGTCCCGAATGTCCACGTCAGCTCCGTTTTGCAGCAAGACTCCAACAACAGAGCTTCTACCTCGCTCTGCGGCCAGCAAAAGAGCGGTGGGCCAATTTTCGAGAACGAAATATTCCAAAATTTGCTTCGAAAACTCCGTGTATCCCTCTGCACAGGCGTATCTGAATGCACCATCGAAGTGTTCAGCTTTGAACCCTGCGAGAAACGCCTCGTGAACCAGCATTGCTGTAATGGCTTTCTTATTGTGAGCCAAACTTGCCTCCATGATAGGCGTAAATGTGTTATGAGATATATATCCCCATGGGTCGTGTTGAAATAGCCGTTTGGCAGTGGAAGCATATCCCCAAAAGCTTGCTGCGAAAAGTGGCGTGCTGGAAAGTTTGTTAAAATCATATTTGTTAAAATCATATTCATTGAAGGCGTCCCATCTGTTACGGCGTAATTTTCCTTCCAGATGGGCGTTTGCACCGTTTTTGAGGAGGATAGAGACGGTGGATTCGTGTCCACTAACGGCGGCGAGATGAAGAGGAGTTGCAACAGGAACCTGATTTCCCCAGGGTCCTCTTAGCCAGAGAATTTTATGCTGAATTTCATCCTGGAGACTTTCGCCCGGCGGTTTTGGTTCTTTAAGAAGGGTGCGAATACCATCAACATTGGCTCCTTTTTGCAGCAGATAGATCACGGTCTGGTTGTGTCCGTTACCTGCAGCAAGACAGAGCGCTGTTTTAGTGTACCTGTAAGCATCGTCCACCCCTATACCTTGGCGAAGAAGGAGTTTGACTATGTCGAGGTGTCCCTTTGCAGAGGCTGCTTGCAATGCATTTCCTAGATCCTTTCCAGGCGCCTTCACATCCGCACGCTCGGCAAGCAAGAACCGAACAATGTCGATGTGGCCTGCATCACAGGCAACCTGAAGTGCATTTCCATTTTTACCACCCGGATCTTCGATGTTTGCTCCTCGATCCAGTAGATACTGAACAACCTCAAGATCCCCTCGTTCCGAATAAACCTGGAGGCACGATCCAAACATATTCCAATGTCTATCAATCTCTGCACCTCGTGACAGCAACACGTCTGCAACATCCAAATGGCCTCCCTCCAAAGCCGCTTGTAGCGGTGTCCCTAGAGTCTGCCGCACAGCATTGATACCTGCTCCGCTGTCCAAGAGAAGCTCCACCACTGGCAAATGTCCCCAAAACGCAGCAATTTGCAATGCGGTGTACGCACATCCACTGTGGTACTCATTTTTGTAATAACCCGCATCCACAGAATCGATGTCAGCCCCCTTGTCTAGTAACATCCTAACCAAAATGGCACTGCCCCTTCGAGCAGCGACTTCAAGTGGACCTAGAATTTCCGGGATGTCCAGGTTACCCGTACCCGTTCTTGTCTCCGGTAGTGCAATCCTCTTTTGCGTAGTGCCTGCTCTGCATAACAGGGGATGGTCACGTCCTTTCAGACTTGCGCCAGCCACAAAGAGTATCTCGACAATGTTTTCATGGCCAGCATACACTGCAGCTTGCACGGCATCACGATACCGGCCTGACTTACCTAACCTAGCGCCGCGCTCAATCAAGAGCCGAACAGCCTTCTCATGTCCATTGAAGGAGGCAGCTTGCAGCGTGTTGCCAAAATAGCCACCGGATCCATTTACAGAAGCTCCGTGTTCCAGGAGCAGCAGCATCATGTCAACATTTCCCAAGGAGGCAGCGGCCTGGAGTGGATCACCCAGCTTCTTGTCTTCGATGTTGGGGTTAACACCTTTCTCCAATAGGTATCTCACAATGTCGAAATGATTCAATATAACAGCCGCCCGTAAGGGAGTCCCAAACCGTCCGCAAGCGTCAAGGTTGGCGCCAGCATCGATGATAAGCTGCACCAGGCCAAGTTTGCGGCTGGCAATAGCGGCGGCGAGGGCATTCCCAAAGTATCCTTTCTCTTCATTAATGCCATCATCGCCATATTCCTGTATCAATCTAGTTGCTTGTCTTGCTTTTCCGCCAGAGAGAGCAACTTGGAGCGGATCAGGCCTAATTTCTGGTGTGAAAACACCGGCCTTGCCACATAGAAGTCCCTCCACAATATCGATATTGCCTTTGAAGCTTGCAGTTTCTATGGCATCATCAAACTGTTTCTGTGTGGTTAATTTGCATCCCTTACCAATGAACAATCTGGCGACCCTGCCATGCCCATTGGCTAGAGCAGCTTGAAGCGGACTCGAGTATTCCGCTTTTCCGGCTAGGGAAGCTTCAGCTGGGGAGAAAGAGGCGCCTTTTTCAAGTAAAATTTGGACAATTTCTTCATTTCCAGCAAAAGATGCTGCTTGCAGTGCACTTCCATATTGAGAGCCGGGGGCATCCACGGCTGCTCCCAGTTCTAGAAGTCTCCGGGTTATCGCGATGTGGCCCCAACGGGCGCACAGGTAAAGTGCCGAAGTACCATGCCTATTGTTTTGATTGACATCCATCGCCGGAGTAATCTCTGAGGATTCAAAAACTTCTTCGAGGCCAAAGCAAGAAACCACAAACAATGGTGATGGTGGCGAGGCGAATGAAGCAGCAAGTTTTCTGTGGAGCGAGTTACTCCAACTAGGTCCCTCCTCAATTGTTAGTGCATCAAGATAATCCAGCCAGTCCTCGAAGTGTTCTTCTTCCGTGAAAAAGCCAAGAAGTGCTGGTTTGATGGCTGCTCTTTGGGGCGATCCGCTGAGCTGCTCTACATGGGCTGGCCAGTGCCAAGTAGCGTAGCTCAAAAGATCAGACTTAATTTCATCCCTTGAGTATAAGTCCAAGCACCTGCTGGCGACAGTTGCATTGGAGTCACCGGTAGAGAACTCAGGTAAAGTCTCGAGGAATCTATGCAAAAATGGTCAGGTTTTTGGTCTGTCTCACGAATCGTGGAAAAAACATACTCTCGGACTGTCGAGTGAACTAGACGAAACGTGTCTTCTTCGTTGTCTATAACCACCAGGTTGCAGCAGTAGTCGCGGATTGACCTTGCTGACACGTGGGATGGCTGACTAGAGGGCATGCCCATAGCAGCCACAAATTCCAAAATCGAGAGCTTTCTTTTCGCGCACAAGAGCCATTGGAAGCTTTGAATTGCCACCCGCCTCGTGCTCCCACTCATTGACTTTATCCGTCTGTAGATAGCCTCGTATGATTGACTGAGAGTTGGAGGAAGCGAGGTCAAGACTTCGCGAATGCTGTCAATATCCTTGACATGCTCTGTGTCGCTGATGCTTTCGAGCTGGAGGGTTACCCAGAGGAACCTAGAATTATCAGCATAAACATCACATAAATAAACGCGGCGTTTGTCTTCAGCTGCTGATATCACAACTTACATCCCTTGTGCGCGTGCCATAAATGCCTCTTTTATCTCCTCTTCAAGCTTCTGTAGTACCGCGGTCGACTCGTCGTGCATAGTAGACCATCTCTTCACGAATTTTTCGACTTCAACTTCTACAAATCGCTTCAGATCTTCGTGATTCGCTTGAGAAGTCACCTCCAAGACTTCTCCTTTCTCGAATGACACTGAAATATCTTCTTCATGCCGACTTGAAACGAAAATCTTGACAATATCTCGACACCGTTGTCGAACCTTCTCAAGAGCCTCAAGGAGAATGCGTCGCTGTTGGGAGCTGCACTCGTCGAGTGCATCAATGACAATTGTAAACGGGGCCACTCGGCCAATTTCACACATGACTTCAACGCATTCTTCCACCGAAAGCGGTACCGGTCTTTCTCCAGTATGTCTCGCTTCTGCTTGTCTTGATTTATATGCTTCCAGCAGGGGGCTTCGGATGCCAAACCCTTTTTCATCTGCTAGAGAAACCTGCTTTAGCAATGATCGAAATATATCTTGAGGGTCAGTTCGTTCCGGCTCTGCAGGGTTCTTAGAACAGAAAAAATGGGCTATTGGCGCTGGCTGAGATGCACCACCAGTCCGTTGACGTAGGTGCCGAATTACAATCGCACTGCCAGCGATTAATCACACAATCAGGTGGTTCAACTCTAGGCATGAAAAGCTTACGCAAGTTTTGTCTTTCCACAGCCCGCTAAATATCATGTTAGCCAGGAATGTAACATACATGTCCCATATACCTGACTGGGGGGCCTGGAGCTTCAGTATACTTACGTATGCCATGTATCCAAAATGTTTCAGAACTACTCGAGTCCCTCCAGGTTACAAAGCGTTGATTATGAGTGAGCCACTCGCCCGAGCCAGATAGTACAGACGCCAGTGCCTCCCTGTAGTGTTGTTGAGCGCGAACAGGGGAAATCCACCTTAGAAGCTCGTTTCTCTCGCTCTCTGGTCATAATCAGCCTTGATATTTCACATATTCTCCGATAAAAGTGAGAAAAGTACCTTTTAGATCACCATGAAGGTCAGATACCTGATCCGTAATCCTAACCAGAGGTTGCTCGAGGTCGACAAGTGTTGCCTTCAGCCTTGTTTGGGTGTTGGCGACGTCATCAGCTCTCGAGGTCACATTTAGGAGCATCGTCCGAATGCCGTGATGGATGTCTTCCACTCCTAATATAATGTCAGAAAGTTGATGAGTTCTCCGCGTTCAACCCACGGACTTTCACTATCAACGAGACCCTTCGAAGCCAGCACCCTCTGCTCCGCAGCCTCCATTTGCTCCACCGATTCCTGAATGGACGCCCGAGACGTCAAGTTCAACGCACGCTCTAAATCTCACAGTCAGTTCATATGTACGTTCTACAAATCATATGTTGACTCAACTCACTGATGCGCGAAGAATCATGATGCCTCTTAGCCCTGCAAATAAAGCCCAAGATAACGGAATACAATTTCACCATTTCCCTTTCCAAGCCCAGTCTTCCTTCAGTGGTTTTGTTACCATGCCGGATGAACAGAGCCTCAAGAATCCCACATCGGGCTATCAACCCTGTAGCCTTCTCCAGGCCCTCAACAATGACACCAAAAGCTTCAAACCCAGAGAAGGTCAACTGCAGCAAGAAACGCACACCGGCCCATGGCAACGCGGCGTGGACAGGATCATACTGAACCGCGACATCAACTACCGTCATGAATTTCTCAACATATGCCGCAATCTTGGCGCATACATCACGGATGATGAGCTCCTTCCCCCCGATGCTGATTGTGGTCCATTTATCCCGCGTGCAGCGGTCACGATGTCTTTCGAGTGCCAGGAGAATATCGTTTAGAGCCTGTTTCGTGTCTGTAGATGAGGTGTTTTGTAATTTGAAGATGCGCTGGTCCTTTTCGGGGAGTGTTGACAGGGCAAGGGCCCATAGTGAGGAGGTTTGTGGTGTTGTCATGAGTACTAAGTATCTTTCAATGTGCCCGGTCTCTCAAGAACATACGTCTATCGAGTGGTGTGTGAGAAATATCATATTTTAGGATGAAATAGAGTCATTTATACGAGGGGCAAGGGAAAAATAGGAGGTTCAGCTGGCAATTGAGGCTGAGCGGGGTACTTCAGATGGGGGCCTATTTAGTTATATTATTATTAAACATAACAATCCTACAATTCATTAAAGGTGAATCTGCCTTGATCTAGAGCTTTCCTAAAGCTAGTAAAACATGCAAATCAATATTGAGTTCTAACACGATATAAATAGCCCAGGTACACTACGTCATGTGGATTTCCCCGCATAATATGGGGTAAAACTATCAGCCCATTGACTTGACTTGACTTGACTCTTTCTCTTTCTATTTCTCTTTCTCTTTCTCTTTCCCCTCTTTCTCTCTTCCTCTCTACACATCTCATATCTCACATCTTTCACAATGACAAAAGGATTCGCAACCATCGCTCCCGAATGCGAGGAAGTATTCGACGAGGTCAAAGGAACTGACAACCTTAACTACGTCATTTACGCAGCCTCCGCACACGACAAGAAGATCACTGTCGCTGAGTCCGGCAAATACAAGGACTACGATGAGTTCCTCTCCCACTTCAAGGAAGACACTCCCCGATACGCTGTCGTGAAACTCACCTACGACTCTCCCGTCGGCGATGGCCAGCGAAGCAAGCTAGCCTTTATCACATGGTACGTAGAGACACCCTGTATTACATCAACCTGGCTATTCGGGAGATGGTCTGATGCTCGTCGAAAGATACCTGGTACTGACTATTGGATTTGTCTGTAGGGTGCCCGAGACTGCAGGAATTCATGATAAATCTTACTACACCTCGAACAAAGATCACATCTTCTATGCCCTCCAGGATATCAGTCTCCATGTTCTGGCACATTCCAAGACCGAGCTGGCCCATGCCGCAAGTACGTACTCTATAATTACCCGTGAACTATTGACCCCATGACTAGTATGGTTGTACTCGAAACTGACCTTCCGGTTTTTTTTCCACTTAGTCCTGGGGAAGTTCAAGGCTCTCTAGAAGAGTCTTTGGTTTGCAAACCTTCTTCGTGAATCTGAAAACCGCTGTGTGAAGGACGACTCACAGATCAAGGGTAGTATGTTATACTAGACACCATATTTCGTATCAATATCTCTTACATATTTACAATTGTTCAACTCGATTCATATATTAATGCCGTAATGCCTGATTCTTAGCGTCGTTCTTGATGGCGCCGCTTTATACGATGTAATGTCAAAGGTTATACGGAGTATGTACTCGAAAAAGTTCGATTCAGCCTTTCCTGCCTCATAAGACATGTTAACAGAATGGTGTTTAAAAAGACAACTAAAAAGACCACTTAAAAGACATCACAATGCCGCATAACCGGCCCACTTATTCTCATAAATCATTTATATACAAAAGAAGGGGGGGGGGGGAGTGACCTTCGTACTATAAATTGACTTATTCAAACAATTCGAAGGCTCGGGGTTGTACGTATGAACTGGAAGCTTATGGTAAATAAACATCATTTCATTTGAGATCTATTCTAACAAAGTCCAGTTCTTCCATGGAAAAACAGAATACAAATCGAGGGTAGAATTGCCAGAACAGAGCTGGTGTTACAAAAAACCACCAGAGTAACGTTGCTGGTATGCACGATAGGCTCATGATCATAATCATAAGATGCAACAAAAAAAGGAGCATGCACGCAATCATGACGCATAGAGAAAACGAGTTCTCTGACATAGAGCGTAAAACAATTTCATAGTCGCTTAGCGACGGAAAAACGGGGCTTGATTCGAGGACAGAAGCGAGTCAGCACGCTGGAAGACATCGCCCTCAAAGAATTTGTCACTATATGCGCTCGCAGGTGTCGACGGGACAGTGGCCTGCGCAGCAGGGCCGAGTGCCGCACTCAGCGGAGTGGCAGGGACGGTGACTGATTGCGGGGGCATCATCATGTTGTGTTGGAAAGAGGGGTTGTTGGTGAGGGCGGATGTTGAGACGGAGGTTTGATGGTGTTGCAGGTGTGAGGTCTGTAGCGGGGGGCCGTACAGAGCAGTGGGAGCAGGATGACGATCCGGGTCTGCGAGGTAAGCCCAAGGAGATACCTCGATTAAGCGGCCTGCTTCCCGGCTTGCCTTTTGAACTGGGCGTAGGAGGATGACGACGTCGGCAGGTAGAAGTTGCATACTTTTCAACTCGCGCATCTCATTCACTAAGTCGACGAACGACTGCATGAATGATTTGCATAGCTGCCAGAACTCGCGTTGGTTGCGGAGCCCGCCGCCTGGTTCTTTGATTTTCATAGTCGAAAGACGCAGCCCCAGGGCATCTGAAACTTCCAGGCAAAATTGACACCTACGGATGAGGTTGTTCCAGAGGATTTGAATTCCATCGGAATCTCGTGATTGTTGAGCAGCTTCTAAGCACCTTATGAATTGTCGACGGGCCAGTGGAAGTGCCCCGTATGCGGCATGGTATGTAGCGGTCAGCTGATGGAAGATCTTTTCGAATATTCGCTCCTCTTCGTTTTCGTCCAGTCCAGTCAGTGTGTTGACCCGGGGAGCCACAGGAATAGGCATAGGGGGAAAGCTTTCGCCTGAGCGAGGAGTTGCCAACGGGTGTGGCATAGATGTGTTGACCATGTTTGATCTGCTGCTCGAGCGACTGCGTGCGTACGTGGAAAAACCAGGGGAGCTGGTGCTAGCCTGGTTGGAAGTCATAGTCATAGGGTATTGAGGGTGTCGAATTGTGGTGTCACTTCGCAATCGTCGTGTGGGCGGGGTGGGATCTCTCGTTGGAGTGACCAGTGAGATCTGAGATCGGTCTGGGACCGAGGGGAGTGGGTTGCTTGGGCCAACCAAGCGCTTTCCAGCAGAGCCACGTCTGTGGACGGTCCTGAGTGGAACTTTGAGAATAATGCATGCATTCCGTAACTCCACCAGGCTGCCAAACATTGTTAGCATCAGCGATCGTACATAGCGCGGATCGCCGTTGGAAACGATCTTAGCAACGTTGTTGCGTAGCTGCGTGCCAACGTGAATGTAGGCGGCAATGCACGTCCCGCATTCACGTCTGACTGTTTCTGTAACTGATGCGATTGATTCTGGGTCATTGAGCAAAGTATTTGATGCTTTGTCGAGAGCATCGTTGAGTTGGTTGACATGTAAAGAAGCGTTGGAAAAGACAAGTTCAAGACTGTGGCGCCTGGTGTCATCATGCTTGATCACGTTGATCAACTTATCGATATGGGAATGAACTTGAGCGAGGGCAAACAGAATGCCTTTTGCACTCTTGATTATCGGTTGGTCACAACCACGTTCACCCTTATGTTCAGGTAGACTAGACATCCGATTGACCCAACCATCTCGCGGACGCCGACGCTCTCTTGGGCTGGTGGGGCTTGGAGGAGTACTGTCATTTGTGGCTATTGGCTCTGCGGTTTGACGCGGTCGAAGCACAGATCCATGGCTGAGACCCCGTAGATGGCTGTTCCGGTACGGACGTGTCTCATCCAACGTACCTAGGTCTGTATTTTTGCGAGTGATTAGTCCCATTCTTTTGCTACGTGCAACAGATGATCCTTGAATTATGCCCTCACTATTACTCCGATTGCGCTCGTTGACAGAATGAGGCGCTACGCCGGGTCTTTGGAGACCAGGCATGTGGTACGTAGCGCCTTGTTGTCCAGAGGCCATGCGATAGTGTGATTTTAATGGGATTGGAGGTGCACGTGATATCGATGGAGACCGAGATGAACTTGCTGAGCCATCACCAGTGCTGGGAATTACTGGAAATCTACCACTCAAATTCCGCTTTGAAGGTATTGGTGTTGGTACCGGTTTAGCCTCGAAAGTACCATCACTGTGTTGACACCAAGGGTTAGCTTAGAACAACCTCAGGATCGGAACGTGAGAGGGACAAACCTTGAATCAGCAATAATTTCTGGCTCGGGTGTACTCGTCTGTTGTCGCGCTTTCATAAGGAATCTCTTGAGTTTGGTTGTGGCTGCAACTTCTTTCTCGTTGTCGGTCATCACAGACGGTGTCGTCTCGTTCTCGGTTTCCTCCAGAATGTCACGCAAAGGCTTTCGCAGAGGATTCCCAACACATTTGAAAATTTGAAGTTTATGCATCTCAGAAAGGCCAGCTGGGAGGTCAGTCAGGCGATTTTGCATCATTGACAGAACTCGCAATGATTTCAATTTGCTGATCTCATTTGGTAACTCCTTAATTTTATTTCGGCTTAAATCAAGAATTTCGAGTAATGGTAGTTTGTAAACCTAGCAAGCAGAGTTAACACAACGCATGCACAAAGAAATTCGTCATCATACATACTCCTTTTGGGAATTCACGGAAGTTGTTCGCTCTGATGTTGAGATAGCGTAGATGCGAGCACTCTGCGAAGCGGTATGGGATATGGAAGAGTTGATTGTTCGACAGAGACAGCCTTTATAGTAATCAGTATAGTTCAGACCAATGATGCCGTAGCCTAGGAACAGGCAACACAAGAGTTGGTTATGACAGTTCAAAGCAAGACTCCAACGTACCGTTCAACCTCATCTTTTATCAAGTCAACGACTGGTTCCGGGATCCTGGCAATGCGTGAATGGCCAAGGTCAATGGTCAGCTTAGGCTTGACCACATCTGTGACAGCCTCACTGCCTGCGAGGGAACGCTTAGTATCTTGAATACCACTTTCCACAGCATGTCGTGCTAGCTCGATAGTTTCCTCGGGGCTAAGTGTTTTCAGTCCAGCCTGTTGCTTGCCAGTGGTCTCCAAAGCATCTCCTAAAGCAGTGCTTGGTCGACTTCCCTCGTCAAGATACGAAGGGTCATCGCCTTGTGACGCCAGGAAGCTACCTGACTCCGGGGTTCCATTTTCCATTTCATCTTCGTCTGTATCGCTGCGGTTCAAGCGCAGCCCACGTACTATGTCTTCGGAACGAATCGTTGAGGATGTCATGGCTAATAAAAGCCCGAAAGTTTATCGATCCGGCACAACCAAGGTAGCACTTTGGTTGATGAAGTGATTACTGCCGAAAATCAGGATAAGGTCCAGATGTAATAACCATTACCATATGAACAGGCTTCGGGCACCTGCGCAAAGCATCGTTGATTGTGATTAAGTTGGAGGGGTGTGCTATCTCGACGTTGGATTGGGAAACCGAACTCAAGGCCGTTGAGGTGGAAGTGGAGGAAGATGGATCGGAAGCGCGAGGTGAGAAAACAGTCGGGTATCGTGTGGTCAGATTCGGAGTTGACTTGTTCAAGACCAGGCGAAATGTTTCAATGAAACCTCTCCCAGAGGATGACAATCGCGGGTGCGATAAAGCTATTGGCCACAATGGAGATTTAGCAGGTCGAAGAATGTTGTTATCGAAGCAAGAAATGTCTTAATGTAAGACCATGAATAGTCAACAATGAAGTCTTGTTCCTGGAATGAAGGGAATCGGAGACATTCAAGTTGGGCGAGGCTGGAAATCTTCTGATTGGGTGAAACAAGGCCCAAACACCGGACCTCCGCAGTTCTGCGCGACTCCGTCTGCGTCACTGTATCGAAAATATTAGGACTTTGTTAAAAGTGATATGTAGCTTAAGGATTATGTACTAAAATGAGAAGTGAATTGACCAAGAATGCATGTGCTATCGCGGAAATAGAGCTAGGGAAGTACATCCAGCAGAACAGATCAGATAATATACATAGACCATCAATATGAAAGACTAGGGGACGAAAAAACTCCTGGAAAAGGAGGCGTAGCATAATGGCGTTCGAGTCCATTCCAACATCTCAGACTCTTACTGAGTGACTGCCTCTGTTTCTTCGGCTCCAATCTCACTTGACTCAGTAGTCTCTCCTAGATCCGGTGCACCGCTAAGAGCTGATTTCCGCTGATCCTGGACAAGAGACGTTTCCCGGGCCCAGGCAACCCATTTGTCGTACTGCTCGCTCTCCATCTTCATACCAATGTCCATGTATGATGGTCCAAACTCTGCGCCATATGCCGCGGCTTCTTCCGCAGCCACCCGACGTTGAATGTCCTCCTGCAACCGAAGTCGGTAGAATTCTCGTCGAGCAATATCGTAGGCGGTACTCTTGTTCATATCCGGGACGTTATTCAAAAGCCACAACTGTCGCTGGACAACACTAGTACCGGAAAAGAAACAGATTAACATTGAAAGAATCTTCACTTAAGAACAGCAGAAGCATTAGAGACGAAACATTGGAAAACACACCTTTCACCATCTAACCGCTTCCCTGGTTGCTGAATGCGGCTCCAATCATAGTGTTCAAAGTCCTTGCCAGTGCTCTCAAGAAGCACACGGGGCCGGGCAAGTTCCCATGGGTGATCGCGGAAGAATTGAGTTCTCAATTGATCTTCCTCATATTTGAGCTCGACAGGTTGGAAAAGTCGGCTGGGCTTCTTGGGCTTCCTGCGCTTCTCTTGAACTTGGAAGACGACCTGCGGCTTCGATGACCCATCGACGGTCTTCATCCGCTGCTGGACAAGCTCATGCTGGGGAGGGCGGGTACGGATGAGGGTTTCAGCAGGAGGGATCTCGCCGACCACATTAACCCATTGGGGCAGTTTCTTGGTCTTTCCACTGGCGAATTGGTTGAGTGCTGTCTGTCGCACCCGGAGGGCTGTGAGGTTGATTTTGCCCATGACAGTCGGATACAGCCGGTAGCTGAAATAACTTGAAATAAATAAAAAAAGAATTGAGATGCGACTGGAGACCGCAAATCAAGAGACAATATATGCGCTACAGGGGACGAGGTGGTTGATGCGGCAGCAAAAAAGATGGGATTGGCAAAGCGCGGCTCCGATTGGTCGAGGAGTGGACTCCGCCAGCCAGAAAGTGCAGGCCGTTCATCTTCAGAAAAACACACCTACGTCTTCCCAATCCTATCCCCCGCCCCTTTTGTCTGCTTTTTACGCCCAGAAAGTAGACGGCTCTCTCTTGTGCGAGTGGCAAAGGGCTTTCTCTTGGATGCGGCCTACCTAATGCCACGATGTCTGTTATCTCATGCCTCATCCAAATAGGTCCCCCAGCTCGCCAAGCCTGCGAATTCACCCCAAGCAGGCCTTGGATGAGCTTCCTCTCTTTCGACAAACCTCAATGCCTCTCTCGAAACCCCCTTCTCACAATTCCTCGGTCCGAAGACTCTATCCGCGTCGTCCTCGCCCGTCCGTCGCGTCAATAGCAGATATTTTTGTCGGCTCGCTGGTTCTGGCAAGCTTCTGCCACGAACACTCGCCGAGTCGTCGGGGGTTGTCGACAGTAGCCTGGGGTGCCTCGGATCATAATTTCCAAAAAATTCAGAGCAAAGGCGCCACTGCTCGCAGACAGCTACCACCCCGACGACAGCCAGAGTATTCAAGCTCAAGGTTTCATCTGTCGCAACCGAAAAGATTGATCAGCAACGGATTGGCACGTACGAATGACGATAATACAGAGGAGTATAATATTGAGACCGAGTCACGGGAGGAGAGGGAAACAGAAGACAACGACTATATACCATTGTGGCCCGCAAAGAATGCGGACGTGGAATCGCGAGTCCGTTCTGAAAGATTTGATTTTACATATGATTTCGACCGCAAAATAGAGATAACAGAACACACCAAATCCGATATCGACGTCAACATCGACCCCAAATTGCCGGACAAACATCCCCGCCAATCCTTCCCATCATGGTTGCATCCCGAAAAGGAGAAACATCTCTCTACCTCAAAGCTATACGAAAAGTCCCTGGCAGGTTATGATTGGGAGGAAGCAGTGAATGCCGTAGCGCCATATTCACGTTATACAAAACCAAAACCACAAAAAGAAGAGTCGCACGATCAAATGGAAATCCACTCGGTTGAGAAGCTTGTCAGAACGCTGTGGGAAGAGCCATACCCATCCACTCAATATCTGTTCCGATTATACAGAGACCTTCCTGCCCCAGGGGTAGCTTTACTTTCGAAACGCACCCGCGGTGCTCTTTTGCGTCTGTTCGCTCATCCTCGAGATCGACGATGGGTAGATGCTCGTCGCTACTTGGCATTGGTAGACGATATGGTAGCTGCTCGACTTCCTCTATCCCGCTCACTCTGGTCTTCCGCGATACATCTTTCTGGCCGTGCCAATGGCAAAGTTTTGAAACGAGATTTGATCCGAGCCGTGGGCATGTGGCAGAAGATGGAGCATGTCGCTGGAGTGAAGGCTGACGAGGTAGTCTTCAACATCCTGTTCGATATCGCAATCAAAGCTGGTGCATTCAAAGTTGCTGATCGCCTGGAGGAGGAAATGACTGAGCGCGGTCTGAGCTTTTCACGGTGTGGAAAGACATCCAAAATCTATTATTTTGGAATGATTCGGGATGTTGAAGGTATTCGAGAGACTTTTGACGAGTTTGTGAAATCTGGAGAGATCGTAGACACAGTTGTCATGAACTGCCTCATTGCCTCTTTCCTTCGGGCAGGCGACATCCAAACTGCAGAGCAGCTCTATGCACGCATGTTGGCGAAACAATCAAGCAATACGAAATCCCTTTCGCATTCGGACGATGGATCTAACCGTCACATTGGGGGTTCAAATCTGAGTTATGACATGCCCCAATATCGGGAAAGAGCTCGAAAGTTGGGCCGCGTATTGAAGAAGTCGTCAGCACTCAAGGACAAATTTCCGGAATACCACCGTGCTCTCCAGGATTCTCTTTCCATTGCACCTGACACGCGAACTTTCTATATCTTCCTACGACACTACGCCTACAACACTGGCCAGCTCGATAGCTTCATGGCTGTCATTCGTGACATGGAGAAGACTTTTGCCGTCCCACCACGTGCTATAATCTATCTCTTCCTCTTTGAAGGGTTCGCTCTTCATGGTCGGAGGAAAAAGCAGTGGAGTGCGGAAAACCTTCGGTTGACATGGCATGCATATATCCGGGCTCTGCGCGACTCGAATACAAGACTTCGTGGATTAAACTTGAACAACCGAAAGATGAAGTGGGAGAACCCACTGGCTAAGAGCGTGACAATCGATGTCGAAGAGCCACCAGTGACCGATTCTCCCAACGGGCTGTACATGGCTCTCCCAACAGTGGATTCGGCTGGGAATCCACAGGGACCGGAGCAAACTGCTGAGGGTTCTGCAATGGGTGATTGTCAAGACAATGAACAAGACGCAAGGCCTAAACTGGATGAGAAAGAAGATGAATCCACGGAAATAGAGGAACTTGATGTAGATGAGGTCTTCAACCCTCGCTTGCAGTTCCCCGGCGAAGCAGAGCAAGAAGAACACTGGGACCCCGAGCAACGTCTCGAAAATGGCCTTTTTGTTGGACGTCGGATGATCACGGTTATCCTGCAAGCATTTGGAACATGCTGTGGCCCCAAAGAAGTCCTCGAGGTGTGGTTGCAACTTGAGCGGCTTTGGCATCCGCAGCAGCGCAAAGCGGTTGATGTTTTTGCCATCAAAGAAGAGCTTGATAAACAGATGTCTAGGGATCCGCATCGGAACCGCTGAACAAGAAAGAAGAGCAGCTGAAAGTTGGATTCAGCATTTGTACATTATTTTCCATATAGATTTGCCATATACCGACTCTTTCTAGCGTGTCTTTGGCGCAAATGTATTATTTCACATGAAAATCCATATCAAGCTTTGTAGACTCTAGTTTCCTACACCTAGTCTTTCCAAGGTTGCGCAAAAGTGAATCAAATTGAAGTCCAATCAATCCTAAAAAGGAAGGAACAGGTCTCCACGTGACATCGCGTTCTGCGACGCGGTTGAAGACTGAATCTTCTTCTTCTACTACACTTTCACCTACCACTTTCAACTTATCTATTTCTGCTATGAGTTACAATGGATCATAATCCGGCGGTGACGCGCCAAATAGCTAATATGCAATGGGTCTTGAAACATAGCTTCAAAAAGAATAATTTTCGGTGAGTGGACGAACTAGAGAGGAGCCCTGGAGAGTCAGTTTGCTTACTCCACCACGTAGTCCACTTCAACGAGAAGTAATCTCCTCCGTCATAGAAGGGCACGACGTCTTCCTCCAAGCATGCACTTCGTTTGGAAAGAGCTTGTGTTATCAGCTGCCTGCAGTTCTCAAAGATTGGGGACGTGAGTGTTTAACATCTCTTATTCTCAATAATGGACTAGTCTGATTTCAATATATCCAGTGACCGTCGTCGTTTGTCCACTTCTCTCGTTGATGGTAAGTATGGTTCTAGACAGTTTGCAATCAAGCAGCTAATCCCTGGCAGACAGATCAAGTTAATGCATTGAAAGCTCTTGGTATACCAGTCGCTACGATCAATTCTAACACTACCCGTGAGGAGAGGCAGCGGGTTTTCGAGGATATGCTTTGCGGCCACCCAAGTACACGGCTTCTTTATGTCACACCGGAGCTGTGCCAGACAGACAACTTCCGCCGCCGCCTGCTGATAGTTCACAAGCAAGGTCAGCTCATTCGGGTGGCCATTGATGAGGCGCATTGCATAAGTGAATGGGGCCATGACTTCCGCCCAGCTTACAAAGAGCTTGGTTGGTTCAGAAGGAACCTTGTCAATCCCACTGTTCCAATCACTGCGTTGACAGCGACAGCGACGCCCCGGGTCCGCTCGGACATGATCGATATCTTGGGGCTGGATCTTGAGAATCTCCGGCTATTCAACACTCCGTCGGACCGACCAAATATTCACTACGAGGTACGATATCTTGCAGACTTCGCTGGTGACAACGATGGCGCAGAAAAGAGCCAGCTGCAAAACCTGCTGAGGTGGCTTCAGGGTATCCAAACGCGACGGGAGGCCCGACTTGGCAGTAGAGTAGCGCTGCTCCCTCCAATGTCAGGAATCGTATATGTCGGGACCCGAGCTATGGCTGAGCATCTTGCCAGCCGGTTAACCCAATCCTCGGACGAGATGGTCACAGCCGTGGCATACCACGCCGGCGTGGAAGCCAGCAAGCGCGCACATATTCAATCAACGTGGAAGTCATTTCAGCCAATCCAGTCAGCCGATGGGGGAAAGACACCTGCTTTCTCCATTATTGTGGCAACGAATGCCTTCGGTATGGGAATCGACAATCCAGATGTCCGCTTTGTCGTGCATTGGACACCACCGCGAAGTTTCGAGAGCTTCGTTCAAGAGTCGGGGCGTGCAGGTCGCGACGGCCGCGCCGCTACCTCACTTGTCTACTATGGAATTCAAGAGAGAAACTTCATAGAGACTATGATCCATCGCGATACAGAATCTCACCGTGCGCACTGCCCTGAAAATCGAGAGGCCAAGCTTGAAAGCTTCGGCAAGGTCATTCGGTACTGTGAGAGTATTAGGAGGTGTAGACATGAATTGATCAAAGAGTTCTTTGGTGATTTCGAGCTGGAAGAAATGGGGTCCCAGCTGCCAGCCAGGGAGGGTGTGTCTGTTACGACCTCATCCCCTTGCGACTTCGCCTGCGACTTTTGCAAAGAGGGTCGTGTCGGGTTGGCAAAGCGCCGGGAGAAGATGGCTTCTGAGACACAGATGGCTCTCCTATACGCGGATTTCGACTGATATAATCCAGGGATCTTCTGTTTGATCATGCTGTACATTTTAGTGTTTTCTTTATTTTTCTTGTCATTTTGTTACTTCCCCCATGTTTTTTGCTTGCATTTCTGAGGCGACGACAGCATGCACGGCGCAAGGGGAGGGATTCTTTTTATACTTCACATATACCAAAAAAGACAGACATGGAATCCAAAATCCGAACCGCTCAGGAATCAGTGGTCGCTTCTAAAGAGTTTAGCCACAGCGAGAAATTCACTGTCAATAATCAAGCCTTTTATTATTCACACAATTATCAAGTTTACCAGGTATGGAAATAGGCAAATGGAAAAGGTTAGAACAAGCTGCTAGAATTTCCTTAGCAAGACAAAGAGATCATAAAAAGATCATCGAAAAGAAATCGCTTTGTGCCCTCGTTTTTGTAACGACCAGGACATGCTTTTGTTGCCGTAGTTATCAAATGGATTGCGACTGGACAGTAGAAGGCACAATATTAACCCACCAAAACAAACTCTGGCTTATAGGCCAGGGGGTGGAGGGACCTGCAATTGATATATCAGTGATCAGAAGTAGCATCGATTATATGCGAACAACGTACCGCGCCGTACCCACCGCCACCTGCACCAGGAGGTGGAGGCGGCGGGGATCCTGAGCCAGGGGGTGGAGGAGGGGCCTCGCCAGCCGGAGCAGCTGGAGCAGCTGGAGCAGTGCCATCTGCCTGCTGCTGGGCGGCGGCCATTTGCTGATAGTACTGGTAGTATGCGACATAGTTCTGATATCCGCCGTAGGCAGCATATGGGTCGGCAGTACCGTAGTACTGGGCGTACTGGGCACTGTAGTCAGCGGTAGTGGGGGTTGCAGCACCAGGGGAAGCAACGGCAGCAGCAGAAGCCTGGCCGGCAGGGCTAGCAGAGGAAGGATTGTACTGCTGGCGATTGTTGTAGCCGCCGTATCCACCGCCTCCTTGGTAGCGGTCACCACGATCACCACGATCACCACCACGGTTACCGTATCCACCATAGTTGTGCTGGGGTGGGCTCTCCTTGAAACGCTGGTATTGTTCCTTGACATTGGTTAGAAGGTCCTCGCAAAGCTCCTTTGCTTGCTGGACATCGTTGGCGTCAGGACCACTTGAAAGACTGTCAGTAGAAGCTCATCGGTGTGACAGAAATGAGCGAGGCGAAAAAAAGCGAGTGGAAAACGAAGTCAGTAAGAAAATAAATGATAACTCACGCCACATGAAGGAACATCGGTTCGTCACTTTCACGACCAGTGCTCGATTCGATAAATCCAGAGCCACGGCCCTTTATCTGAACACGGCAACGAGTCTGCTGTTGGATGTGCTTCACATAAGCACCACCCTGTCCGACGACTTGAGCGCGCAAGTTGAAACCGGGGATTGGCTCAAGATTGATTGGGATGCGCTCATCCGGCCATTTGCGCTGTAGGTAATTAGCCAATTTCGTACATGGTATACCGATAAAGGAAAAGAACTGTCTCATACACGGCCATACTCATCCCGCTCAACCTGTTGCTCGGGTTCCCGACGGCGGAAACGTCGCTCGTCAACCAGGTTCGGAAGTTCTTTTAGCATCAGGGTATTAATCATGGCGACTGCCTTCTCCAGGCCTTCCTTGTTGGTGCTGGTCACATGTAGGTAAAGGGGAGGGTTCTGAATCAGAATAATCAGCACTTTGAGCTCCTCAGTCTTTAGGGGGCATTCCTTACCGCAGCAGTCGCCATGTTCTTGTCGGGGTAATAGTTTCCTCGGGTGGTCACATCTTGAAGGAAAAAAAAAGTGAGTGAAACCTTCTTTGCCTAAAGTTGAAAATATAAAAGGAAATCGTACCGGCACCGGTTTCATCTTGAATCTATAAGTCAGGCAGCGGAGGTCAGCAGATGCAAAAGAGGGAGGGCTGGATGCTATTTTTTAGTGAAGGGTGAGCTTCATCCTAGTCCGAAAGAAGAGAGAAGGACGAGAAAGCAAGATTCAAAAAACCCCAATCTTCTAGGAGAAACATGGCTGGAATACCAGCAAGTGACAAGGGGGATAATTACCATCTTCTGAGTAGATCCCTTGGTCAAGGTGTACCGATTGCGCAGATCGTTAATCTCAATGTCCTTGATGTAGTCTCCATCTGCGACGTAGATTTCGGCATTCAACTTCGCTGCGCCCTCGGCAGATGGGGACTGGGAGTTCTCTGTCGCGTTGTCGGCCTTTTCGACAATGTTAGAAGGTGGGGAGGAATAATCGAAGTGATTGTATATTCACAGAGCGGATTGGAGGGACATCAACATGTTGAATACCCTTTTTCGCCTGAAGCTGCGCGTTAATCTTGGCTGCTGCTGCCGCTGTAAAGACCACAATGATTAGCGACAAATTTCAATTTATAATATTGTATGAACCCAAGTGTAACTTACCTGCGGCGGCGGCCGGATCCACTGCCGATGTCTTTGCTGGAGCGTCTGGGGCAGGGCTGCGACTCAGTGGGCGACTCAGCGGACTACGACTGCGGGCCGACTCCGACTGGCGGTTGGAGGGAGATCGAGAGCGTCGGTCAAAGCGGGATCGCCGGGGCTCAGGTTCAGTTTGGTCAAAGCGAGATCGCTTCACTCGGCGTTCATCGTCCGCCATGGTGAAGGGTGGGTGGAGTGAAGAAGAAAAGCAAAGGTCGGGGAAAAGAAGCTCAAAAAGGTCCAGATCAATCGCGGGAAGGAAGGAGTTTCAAAGGCGGAGGGGAGCGCAGCCAACAAACAAAGCCACCAAAGCGAAAATTGAGGGGATTTTGAGTAATTGAAAAGCTCAAAGTGACAAGAAGAGCCAGGAATATTAAATATTTCTTATTTCCAAGAGCTGATCCAGTTTTCTAGCAAATCCCTTTGGCCATGTTGAAGATTGAAGGTCACGTGGTAAGGTATCACGTGTCTTTATCACCCGCAGATACGCTACACCGCTTTAGATCTAGCTTTGCTATGAGTCAGCAGGCGGTCGCCGAGGTCGGCCGACCAAAAAGAATATCCCCGGGGCGAATCTGGTGAATCATCGCACAACCCATTCACATTACTTGAACTCCTCATGGCTTTCAGGCGCCCATTGACGCTGTCCCTGGGGTCAGCGTCGCAGCTGTCATCTGCTGCAGCTACTGCTCGCTCTCGTGTTGCTACGCTTCCCCGATTCACCTCTATTCGTGCATCATCGAGCTCAACTTCAGCTCTTGCCTACAAGGCATTGCACCGTCGGTCTCCTCTGCCATTGCCGGTCTCCGATGCTTCCCCTCAATGGGATGCTCCGACCGCCGTCTCCTCCATTCTCTATGAGACCCCCGTGGCCCCTACCAACCCCCCCAAGCGGCACATCCTGAACTGCCTCGTGCAGAACGAGCCCGGTGTGCTGTCTCGTGTGTCCGGTATCCTGGCCGCCCGTGGCTTCAACATCGACAGTCTGGTGGTGTGCAACACCGAGGTTGAGGATCTCTCGCGCATGACTATTGTGCTGCAGGGCCAGGATGGTGTCGTCGAGCAGGCTCGCCGTCAGCTAGACGATCTCGTCCCCGTCTGGGCTGTGTTGGACTACACCGACTCTGCTCTTGTGCAGCGTGAGCTTCTTCTGGCTAAGGTCTCTATCCTTGGTCCTGAGTTCTTCGAGGAGCTTCTCCAGCACCACCGCGAGATCACTACCTCGCCCGACTCCCCGGACCACAAGCACCATAGCCTTGACCACACCGCCCAGCAATACCACCCCCGTCACCTTCCCCAGAGTCAGGCTTTGCGTCACAAGCACGAGCACTTGGATGCCATTACCCGCCTGACTCACCAGTTCGGCGGCAAGGTCCTGGATATCAGCACTAACAACTGCATTGTCGAGGTGTAAGTATTTTCTCTATCCTGACTCCTACTTTTTGATCATAATTGACTCATTCGCCCTTTTACAGCTCTGCCAAGCCTTCCCGTATCGACTCTTTCCTCAAGCTGATCGGTCCCTTCGGTATTCTCGAGTCCACCCGGACTGGTCTGATGGCCCTTCCTCGCTCTCCTCTGGGTGAGCCCAACGAGGAGATCGAGAAGGATGCTGCCGACGTTGTCGATGCCAGCACCCTGCCCCCTGGCTAAGCTATATATTGATTTCCAACTCAAAAACTTACATACCCGAATAGGATTGGTTTGGTCTCTTAGCTTTGTATATCTTCTAGCCCTGGAACTTTCCCGTGGAGTTGATCTAATTTGAAAATGAAATGGCTTAGCCATTGTATGTAAAATGCCAGCTATTGTTTCCCTCGCTTTTACGATTCCTTTTCCAAATACAAATTACTGTATGAGATTCTATGATACTTCAAGTGGCGGTGTGCGGTTATTCAATAACTATGTTCTATATCGTCTGCCGTAGCGCTGCCTTGACCGGAAACCGGAGATCGCACACAACTCCCCGGACCACTCCCCTTGCTCCAAGGACCCCAATAGCCCCCCAGGCGTTAATCATCGGGAAAAGCAACCTTGGGGAGATTCATAACATGGCATTATTGTGTTAAATCAGAGTTTCTATATCTATTCCAGTACCTACCTGCAGTCTATAGTGTTACCAGGATGACAACCTGACAAGGCAACCTTGGAACCTTGGAAGCCAAGAGATTAATGCAAACACGCATGTGTCCATCTGAAGAAGGTTCTATATAACTTTTCATAGTCAATTATATTTAGAATTGCCAGGAAAACCTCCATCGTGCACATGTGTATAATATATATATATGGACTATTCTCTTAGAGTACATACATGCATAGATGGGACTACAGACTCAGCATAAGTCCACTAGATAAATAGAGGGACGGTCTCCCTGCGAACAACCTAGAGAAATAGTCTAGATCATCCTTATAAAAGAAAGGACATGCATAATAGATCCGGTTTCAATTCTTTTCATTATTGGGTGTAACGAGCAATTTCCCCATTCAAATATCGTGGGCACCTAGGCATTCCTGATCCAGCAGTAATGAGCGCAACCCAATCCTAAGTCCTTGATCTCCATTATACAGGTCCGTGGCAGCTTTGAAATACTCTAGATCCTCACTTTAGCCGCAATGCCCTTCCCATGGTAGAGAATGACATCCATGTAGTTCCCAATTAGCACTCCAACCTTAGCGATAGCATCCATTTCCAGCGACTGACCGAGTGCCTTGCGCAGGGCGTCGTACCCAACCCCGCCCATGTCGAGATTGACTGGCAAGCGTGGGCTCTTGGATATACCAGGCGGCACTTCAAAGGGATTGTGGTTATTGATTCGGCCAATTGGCTCATTTTTCTCATAGAAAGCTGTTGCGTCGATTGAGGTGATTAGGATATTATTGTCTGTTAGGGGTGAGGAAATAATGAATTCTGCTGTGGAGGACCAAAGGTATAACTAGATTTGTGAGAGTAAGTGTTAGTAAAAAGATGTTTTTCCCTATTTGTTTGGGGACATTGCGCAATTGAAAGGGGCATGTACCGTTGCATCTTGGATAAAACGAGGCTTTTGGTCATCATCATCGCTGCCTGGGGAACTCGGAATAGATATGCGAGGGACAGGAACAGTGATGTTGAGGAGTGATAAAGCTTCGCCCAGGCGTGGTAGAGATGGAATTGTGTTTCGATGGCTTTTGATAGTGATTGTTGTATTGGAGCCTAAGTGAAAGCATCAGTATAACCTACCATTTAAATTCATGCCATCTAGAAGGAACTGACCCGAGATATAGGATGAAAGCAACGCCCGGCCTGCCTCAACGCCATCTACTCCAGCTGCATCCAATGGGCACCAGAAGAAGTCGACGGGAATGAAACTGTTGTTGCCAGGCTCCACGGAGATATTCTGAGCGGTGATGTGGGCTACAGCAGTGTCATTGTAGAGGATGAGAAGGTCAACGAAGGGGACTGTGGCCGAGTAATTCGTCGGGTTGGTAAAGTTTGCCAGCGTAGACACCATCATCGAAGATTCAGTCGTGTTTCCTATCTGTAATGAGACGATGCGTGGTTTGATTTGGTCAAGTGAGTTGCCGATGGAAGCTATCACATGGTCAATGGCCAAAATATTCTTGATTTGTACTAAGATCTTCTAATTCATGAAAACATACTCTTCACGGGTACCTTCCCTTCCGCAGGAATCCCTCGGAGGGCGAAGCGGCCCAAACCAGTTGAGACCTTTGTGTCTACAGTGGCGGCAACCCGCAGTACAACTGGCTCGCTACCGAAAAGCATTGCTTGGACGACCTCCGCCAAAAGACCGTCATCTGTGACCTGTAATGGTGTATCCTTTAATTCAAACTCAACAAGGAGTGCAGAAGACCCATCTTCATCATCCACCATTGTGGAGTTGGCGTCTTGCCAGTGGCTGATGTTCAACATCCCAAACTTCTCTTCCTTGTAGTAGACATCTGCAAGAGCACGAACTTGCGGGACCTCTACTTGGAAATTCATCTCCTCTGGCAAAGCAATGAGAACCTTCACTTGAGCAGACACTGTGGGGTGCGAATCTGGAGAATCTGGCTCCGCAAAAGGGTTAGGAAGCGAGAAATGTGTATCGGACATCGTGAAGTTCTTCACGAGGTTGTCCAACGCATGTCCCGTGAATGGAAGGGGCACAGTTACGCTGCGCAGCAGATCGACGATCCATGCTGGGGTATTGGGTGACACTGCATCGGATCCACGCACGTAGATAGTCGTTTCGAGACCTTGCATAAAGCTTGAAACCAAAAGATCTAGAGGAGACCCCTCCCGTCCCGGGCAGGTAGAGGTCAATTCATCGGGCAGCTGTTGGATGAGACCATCAACGCCAACTGCAGTTGCCTGGCCAGGGTGAACGTCTACTGCGCTTGACTTCGCATTGGCAACTAGGATATAAGGATCCCCGGGTGAACAGTTGGGCACTAGAATGTCGAAGCCGAGGGCAGGGACGGTGAGAGCGACGGGAGAATCAATCAGAGACGAGAGTAAAACATCCACTGCCATCGCACCACTGTTTGCATCATGCACATTTATCTTGAGGATATTGATTTTCGGCAGAGCAGGGAAATCATGTTCTACAAAGGGTCAGCTTAGATGTTCCAGTGCCAAAAACGATCAAATACAATATACCTTCAATGATAATATAATCTGTCAGAACTTGGGTTCCCAAAGCGATCAAGCCTGACTTGAGATGCATGGTCACTTTCCCCTTAACACTAAGGCGGCCCAATCTTCCCTCAATCCAATCAATAGCTATCGCGTGGATTCCTCGAATGTCACCAGCCTCTAGATCAGTGAGGAAGTCGACATGAGTATGATGGCCATTACGGGTGTTCACTTTGATCGATGGCAAAGCTGCGTTTCCGACAAGCACATTCCCATATTCTGGGAGATAGACTTCGACATTCGATGGGCCCGTCTCAACTTCCCTGGCAATCCATGTTGCCAATCGACCAATACCCCGAACCGGTTTATTCTTTACCCGACCCGAATCCATCACGAAGTCGCCTTGAATCCGGGCTCGAACGCCGTCTGGTGTTGTAGAGTCGATTGATACTGCCGTCGGTTTGAAGACAGCGGCTTGCTGCGCATATTCTTTGACTGCCGCCGGGGCAGCAAAAGCAAGTACCAGTATCGTTAAAACACTGAGCGTTAAAATAGCGAGAGATATAACCGTTGGCCATGGTACACGGCTGCGCTTCTTGATGGTGCCATCCTCGGGCGGGTTCCGTGATGCGAGTGAAGGGGATCGCGACAATACTTGCTCGGTCCCGTAGATCAGTTCATCTTCGCGGCGGTGTAATAAAGGTGTTGATTCTGATGACAATTCGTATGATGGCCTAGGCTCGTCGATAGATGTTCTCGCGGTGGACCATTCGGGAGGGCTCGAGTGCCCATCCAGCAGAGGTCGGCTAGCGCCTTCAGCAGCTGTATGATTACCCTGAATTCCACCCGAAGAAGATCGTGATAATCTTTGCTCGCTGCTATAAACTGTCAGGTCATCTTCATCGGGTGAAAGATTTGATGACTCTGTTGATAATTGATGCGATGGCTTGGGCTTGTCGTTGGATGCTCTCTCGGAACCAAACTGCGCCGCCAGCAGAGGCTGGTTTGCCTCGTCAGCCATGGTGGCCCTCGATGTACGGATAAATCACAATGAATTAAAGTCCCTGAAGCTAATAATATGAATTTAAAGCACACTTAGAGAGAGAGAGAGAGAGACAAGATGTAACCTTCCAAGGTTGGAAGTGGCGCTCGATGACGATAAGCCGACGATAACGGACCCATGGAATTGTGGAGAGATCGACACCCTGGCACCTGAATTATTGGGCCGCAAGGCACCAATACCCTCTCATATCCACCAGATTAATTTATTGAGTCACTCTTCTTGATTTTTAGGGCCCCATTCCTTTTTTTCTCTTTCCCACAACACTCCAATTCCTCAACAATAATCCCCCCCTCCAGCTCATCATGGCTAGTGGTCTCACAGCTGCCGCCCGCTATGGTGCCCAAAGTGTAAACCTATTGGCCGGCTCCACCTCACCTTTGCGTCGAACACTCCAGGCTAATGGAATCCGACGATTTGCCCACCAGACACCGACTCTCCCTCCTACCTCTCCTTTCGCTCCTCGTCACCTTCTCTCCATTGCCGACTTAACCCCTACGGAATTCGCTACCCTGGTCCGCAATGCTGCGTCGCACAAGCGTGCCATCAAGTCCGGAGCCATTCCGGAAAGCCTTCTAGGATCCCTCTCCGGAAAGACCGTGGCCATGATGTTCAACAAGCGCAGTACTCGCACCCGAGTATCCACGGAAGCCGCCACCGTCCAGATGGGCGGCCACCCCATGTTCCTCGGAAAGGATGACATCCAGCTCGGTGTCAACGAGTCCCTATACGATACGTCCGTTGTTATTTCCTCCATGGTCTCATGCATTGTTGCCCGTGTCGCAAAGCACGAGGATGTCGCAGGTTTGGCACAGCACTCCACCGTGCCTGTGATCAATGCGCTGTGCGACTCCTTCCACCCGCTCCAGATCATCGCCGACTTCTTGACTATCTACGAAACTTTCCCGTCTCAGGCGCACAAGCTCTCCAGCCTGGGTCTGGAGGGTCTTAAGATCGCTTGGGTTGGCGATGCGAATAATGTTCTGTTCGATTTGGCCATTGGCGCTGCTAAGATGGGTGTGGATGTGGCTGTTGCTACTCCTAAGGGCTACGAGATCCCTGCGGATATGATTGACATCATCAAGCGCGCCGGTGAAGGTGTCCCCAAGGCCGGTAAGCTCACCCAGACCAACGTTCCGGAGGAAGCCGTCAAGGACGCCGACATCCTGGTTACGGATACCTGGGTCTCCATGGGCCAGGAGGAGGAGGCCAAGAAGCGCATGAAGGCCTTTGAGGGCTTCCAGATTACTGCTGATTTGGCTAAGCGTGGTGGCGCTAAGGAGGGCTGGAAGTTCATGCACTGCCTGCCCCGCCACCCGGAGGAAGTGGATGACGAGGTCTTCTACAGCCCTCGCTCTCTCGTCTTCCCGGAAGCCGAAAATCGTTTGTGGGCGGCTATTTCCGCATTGGAGGGCTTCGTTGTGAACAAGGGAAAAATTGTGGAGTAAAAACCGGTTAATTACGGAGTCTTTTTAATATAACATATCCCGAAACCCCCATTGTACTTTTTTCTTGACTTTACCCGGCCAATGACATGGACGATGATTTGATATAGCGGAGTCAGCCACACTTAGGGTTTTCAATTGCCGGCAAGCCAATCAAAAGATGTTCCGACAGTCCTGGGCTTTCGGATGTGGCGTGTTCCACCTGCCAAAGTGGGCCCGATCATCTTTACGTAAGCTAGCTGGGTGCCCCCGGGGCCGGATGTGGCTCCTCCAAAATGACGGGGCCTTCCGATTCCGGGACATGTCTAGGTGACTTTATTCTGTCCTTGTGTAGATCATCCGAACTATTTGAAGTCTTCGACCATATCAAGAAGTATAAACATACTAGGTACCTTATGCACATTCGACCTTGGGATCGCTTCACATTACCGAATCCGGCATCGCTTCAGATGATATAAAACACTGTCAAAAATCCCCAAAGCTGCATATTCCAAAGTGGATTCTGGAGATTTGGAAGATATGAGATGTATTCCATATCAATGTCTGTTGGCACTCGGGGAATCCGAGGTAGAACATCGGAATCATTGCTCACCCCACACTTACTCCGCACTCCGAAAGGCATATCCAAGACGGTGGTCGGGTAATCCATCAGCCCTGGGGGGGGAGCCCGAGCGAATATATATAAAGTTTTCTTTCTTGAAGTCCGAGTATTGATCAACGTTCTCTCAATAATATTCCTGTTTTTAGTGCCTCAATTCTTCTGCATTCCATTATCAATATACCCCACGCTCACGATGGGCTTCGAAGACAAGCGAGTTGCCATCGTTGGCGGCGGCCTAGGAGGCATGTCCTTTCTCAATGCCGCACTGTATGCCGGCCTAAAGAACGTGCAACTATACGAGCAAGCAGCGCAGTTTGGTGAAGTCGGCGCCGGCATAAACATCACCTCGAACGCAAACCGCATCTTGGATGCCTTTGGTCTTCAAGAGAGCATGATGCGCAAGTCCTCACGCAAGCTCCCCAGTTACATGGAATATCACAACTATAAGACTGGAGCCTACATAGGTCACATTGATGAATTCTCGCAGCCCCACGCGCGCCTTCTGCACCGTGCGCACCTACTAGACTCACTGAAGGAGCGTGTGCCCGAGTCAAGCCTGAACTTAGGCAAGCACCTGCTATCCGTTGACCGCAATGCTGCCTCTTGTTCTGCACCGTACACCCTTCATTTCCAGGATGGCAGCACCGCCGAGGCAGACATTGTGATCGGCTGTGATGGTATCAAGTCTAATGTGCGCCGGGATATGGGGCTGGGAGATGACCCCAACTACTCTGGCCAGGTGGTTTACCGTGGATTCGTCGACTATAAGGACTTACCCACCGAGACGGCGCAGCTACTGCGGAAGACTGTTAACTTTCGTGGACCTAGGCGCCATGTCCTAATTTTGCCTATCGGTAACCAGGAGACGGGGACCGACCGTGCTGCCGTGATCGGTTTTATGTCTGAGCCGCTTGAGGCATGGGACTCTGAGAGCTGGATGTCCCGCTCGGATATTGATAGTCTCCAGGAACATGTCCGTGACTGGTGTCCGGAGGTGCAGCATATCATTGCTGGGCTTCGCAAGAGCTCAGAGGACGGCAAGATGCTTAAACAGGCACTCTACGTGCGTGACCCGATCGAAAAGTGGTATGAGATGAAGAGTGGGCAGAAGGATGCTGGTATCATTCTGCTTGGTGACTCGGCGCACTCGACTCTTCCCCATCAAGGTATGTTGCATCCGATCCGGTCCAGTCCTATTGCGGGATGTGTATTAAGAGAGTACCACAGGTCAAGGAACATGCATGGCAATTGAATCCGGAATTGCCCTTGCAACGGTGCTTAGACACTGGAACACAGACGACCTAGAGGCTGCATTCAAGTTCTACCAGGACTTACGCAAGCCCCGCACAGACCAGGTCACAAAGACCAGCTACGAAGCTGGGAAGCTGGCTAGCTCAGACTCTCCCGACCAGATGTCTGACAACTTTAACCCGGATGCATTGACGGAGCGCATGAAATGGATTATGGAGTACAACGTTCTAGAAGACTTGAAGGTCAAGGGTCAGAGATATTTGGACTTTCAAGGTTCACGCCTCTAAGCGGCTATGATATATTACTATACTCGTAGAGATATTTGATAGTAATCTTCCATAGCGGAATGAACTGATTTTTTTTTTAAAATATCCAATTCAATTGCAAAGAATGCTCATCATGCCACAATCACGTCGTCGTATGATTTGATTGTAATGGACTTCCGCGCAATATTGGACAATTATATAGATCCGTCATCTGTAGGTCATTTCATCTCACCCTACGGAGTACTTATATTTAACAATATTCCAAACCCATCTCTAATTATCTCTGTCTATTATATTTCTATCCTCGGGCCTACCTAAATAACTTCAATACAATTGCCGGGGCTCGGCCACTTTCACATGCCAACCGCACGTGCAGCAACTCCGCATTTCCACCATCTCCATCTCTTCTCTGATTCAGCTGGAGGCTTCAGCTAGAAATCCCATCATGGAGGTAAATATCAGATTCCGACCTTGAAGGAACATTAAATGGAGATTTAACGTGGCATATATATATAGTTCACCACCTCGGGAGGCATCCACTCCCGTCGCTCATATCCATCCCTTCAACACATCTCTCTAACACCCTTAAACCCACGATTTCCCATTGACGACGACACAGGTCCAACAGATTACTTTAATCACCGCGACCATGAGACCCCAGCCGGTACCCGCACACCACCAGCATCATCCTATCTATCCAGCGTCTCAGTCCCAAGCACGCCACCGATCCTCTCCCACTCGCGGAGCAACTCGCGAAGCCGCCACCACACGCGTAGCAAAACCTCTACATGGGCAGGGCCCTTAAGCGACATGAACCTGCACAAGCGGGAGCTAAGCCATGCCCTCCACCACGTGCAAGACACGCACAAGAAACATCCCAGCATCTCTCAATCGCAAGGACGACGCCCCCTGCCGGACAACACGCCTAAATCTAAATCCGACGCAGAATGGATGCTCCGTGCAGGCATTGCCCTAGCTTCCTCAACCCGCGAGGAAAAGGGCCAAAGCTGGCTCTCTAAGCGCGAGAGCTCAACAAACCTCACGCCCTTCGATGAGACTTCCACTAACCGCCACCACCGCCGCACCAAATCAGGTGCCTCATGGCGTCACTCTCGCAGCGGCGCATCAACCCCAGGCGGAGCTGGTGCTCTCTCCCGTCGCGCGTCCCGCTCTCGCGCCGGCTCCCGTGTCGGCAGTAGACGCGGTAGTAGAGTCGATCTAACCATGACCGCCCTCCCGGCGGTATCAAGTACCTCAACGACAGGAGAGAATGTATCCACCGGCTCCGGGACGAATACAGGGACCGTGACACGCACGGCGAGTCCCGAAGCACGCGGCCGTAGTCCGCTAGTGCCTGACTTCGTGGACGCGCACCTCCGCGCAGAGATGGCGTCGCTAGAGCATCACGAGCGGGGATTAGATGAGGACTCTTTGTATTGGGATGGGGCTGGCTCGGACGAAGATGAGACTTCGTCTGAATACTCGTATAGCTCTGACGAGATGCCGGATGATTTCGATGAGGCGGATCTGCAGCAGCTGACGCGTGAGCGTGGGTTCGGGCTCGGCTCTTGGATTGATCGGTTGGTGGAGTGGACGCTTTTCGGGGTTGAGGAGTGGCCTGTGGCGCCTGCTGCGGCTGCTTCGCGTATTGGTGAGACGGATACTACTACTACTGTTACATTTGAGGAGCCTGGTTTGGTGGCTGGGCGGGATGACGATATGCTTTCGCTTGGTTCGGTTGGAGATGGGGATTTGTCTGATGGGGATTCTTCTCGTGATGGGGATAGTGCTACTGGCAGCGCTGCTCCTATTGAGAAGCCTGGGAATCAGGGTGGGTGGGAGGATGCTGAGTGGTTGTTCCGTTTGATGAAGCGGGCGTTGGTATGAATTATGAATTGTATTGAGCGATGTTCTTGATTGGGATGGTTGTCTGTAGATATCTTTTTTTATATTTTTTCTCGGTAGTTATTTATTAGTTTTGTCCAGAATAGCTATGAAGCTCGCTATCTATGGCTAAACAGAAGTCCTAAGATAATAAATAGGGTACAGTGAACATATGCTATTAGACTCCACAAAAAAAGCCGCCTGTGGATTTTATGCATTCAGGGAAACAGACTGGGTTCTACATCTTTCTACATGACCAAAAGCTCCGAGAAAATTGATAGGATTCCAATGAAACAAGCTAGCGTGAATAAAAGGCCCTACCAACGGACAACGTATCTAGGATGTGTTGCGCGATATGACAAGATCGGAACGTATGTTGTAGACCAAATTGGATGGCGAGTCTTCCCCTTCTAATAGAGGTTCAAATCTTCACCAACTTCTCCAAAGCCAAAAAGCACAAGAATTGGGCTTGATTTCCCAAGACAGAAGTTGTCGCTCTGACACGCATGATTGAAATATCAGAGAAATAGAATGGCAACAATAAAGATTGATGCCGCGTCCCAAAGAGAAACAGGCAAAGACAACCCAAAACAGCAAAGTAGAAAAAAGACAATTTGACATGAAAGAGATTGTATGCGACACCAGGGCGCCAGTAGATAAGAAAGAGAGAGTATCAGAGTTGGAATGAAGTACACAGATGAAAGGATTTGACAGAAAGGAAAGAGGGAAAGGAAGGTCATGCGAATCAATCCGAATACGACCAATGAGCAAAGGAAGATTGGAAGAAACCCCTTGAAAGGCCCTGAGTTTGAGTTCATTGAAAGATTTGAGAACAAACAAGCTATAATAGCATTCGTCTTTCAAAATTCCAGCCGAAAAAAAGAAGACAGAGAAAAAAACAAGCTGTTAGGTTATCCGCCTTGAGTATTGAGTACTATAACGCCATCTGACCATGTTCTAGGGTCGTGCAGCAAGGTATCGTGATCGTGACATACGTCAAAAAAAAATTGCGCGGTCAAAGGGGTATGGACCGTCGGTCAAGCTCAAATGAGAGCCGGCATGAATGGGGGGAACGTGAGGCCGACACGCAAGAGCGGTTTAAATGTAATGGTCTTTCGTAAGAAAATCGGAGTGGCGTTATTTATCACCAAGGCCCGACCTTGACTGGTGTTCCCAGTCCGTAAGTCCCGGCAAAGAGTTGATCTCGGATGGAGCCCATGTCGCCGTTGGCTCCATGGGATGGTGTATCAGGTCCATTCATCCATCCCAGGCTGAGGCCGAGTTCGTTGACAGCTCCCTGTAGCTTCCCTCCAGAGGTTTGGTTGTGCTTAGCCAGCTTTTGATCCCAACCTCCGTACTGCAGCTGGATGCCGCCGCCTCGTTTTGCCGCTTCCCGGATGACCAGAACCCATGCCTTACACATCTCGTCATAAGCTGAGTCTCGTTCGATGTTGTTCTGTGGCGTGCTCCACCGAGGCAAAGCGTGAATGATATCGGTTGCCCCATCTAGATAGCTCAAGGATGTGGATGCTTGGGATTCGTTTGGAGGAAGAAAGTTGGGGGTGAAGTCACTCAAGGCGTCAAGAAGGTTGGTGAGCGGCTGTCGGACTCGGTTGTAGGCATAGTCTGATTCGGTGTTGCCACCCAATGGGAATGACGACTGGAGGGTGGCCTGATAGTTTCGAAGGACCTGAAGGGTCGAGGAGACATTCGGACGTGGGGATGTATGCACAACCTCTTCGACGAGTTGAGGGTGTCGCTCGCACATGGTCCGTACAACAGTCCGCAAGGCATCTGTATCGAGGGTCTCTAGCAGACGGGGCAGAGGTAGAGGTCGACCTGAAACGTTCGGTCGGGAACGTTTGATGTTGCGGTAATTGTGAGGGAGTTGTCGAGGAGTGAAGGCGGGAGAGTTTGTGGGAGAAGCAGACATGCGTCCATCATGGTCGTTGTCTTCGTCGGCTTTCCGTTTACGGCTGGCATACGACGATGAGGGTGTAGACACTGGCCATGTTGTCAGTATATGAATGCATCAAAGAGAGTATCTCAATCATGACATAGACAAAATCTTTCAAGGGATCTTACTCATACGGGAAGGAGAGAATCGGGGGTTCTCGTAGAAGTGAGGCGGAACAGGAGGTGTAGCCACCAAGCTGTTCATGATGACAGCCAGATGGCGAAGAAGAAATGTGATAAGTCTAAAGGACTCGGATATCCAAAAGAGTGAAAAAGAACAGCAATAAAGCAAGAAAGAAGTTGAAGGGTTTGAAGTGGGGAGAGAAAGGTAGAGAAAGGTAGCGGTGGAGAAAAAGTAGGCGTTGCAGGTGGCAACGCACTCCCTTTACGCAGCTTTGAGGGGATCTGTGCCCTTTAAAGGGGATTTTAACATGAATTACTAGAAATAAAATATGATCTTTATAAAAAGAGAAAAAAGTGAGATGTCTTTCTTTTTGGTTTTATCCACATCTTAAAACAGTCAAATGTGTCAGATTAAACTACTGTTTTCGGGGCTATACGAATACCCGCATCATCTACTCCGGGAGTACGGAGTACTACGTGATATTCTAAAGGAAGGGGAAAAAAAAAAGAAAATTGTGGGTAATCATATTTGGACTCCAGCGATCATAAAATGGATGTCATATCTACAAGTACAGGGACTGGGCAGCAACAATATCACGGCGGACCTTGCCCAGGGCCTCCTCGAACTTGCTCTCCAAGTCTTCGCTGCCCATCACCTTGGCAGCTTGCGCCATCTGTCGCAAACACTCTTCCAACCGGCGGAAGACACGGATCAAGCTACCTTCATAGACATCGGTCATTTTGCTAGGATAGTTAGTAAACTGCTAGAATAATCAGGGGGAGGGAATATGTACCAGATATCTGCAAAAGACTTGCCCTGAGTCCACTCGTAGATCACCTCCATCAACTCCCAGTGGAAGCTCGTAACGTACTCATCCTCATTGATGGCCATCTTAGACTCCTGGGACACCTTGGCAATGATGCGGGCTTGTGATTGGATCTCCTTCAGTGGCTTCGCCAACTCATCCTTAGTCAAAGCAGGGGCCTCCTTGACCTTTTCTTCAAACACGAAACAACTCATGACAGAAGCGATTTGCTCAGCAGTCAGGTTGTTGAAGAAACCATTAAACAGCAACTCACTCAGCATCAGCTCGTCACCTGTACTAATCTCACAAGCGACACGGGCCTTCAACTGAACAACTTCAGCATCGTTGATAAATCCGAAACGACGAAGCACACGCTTGCGACACTTCAGCTCATCGAGCTGCAAGACCGACATGGCTTCAGTGATCTGTTTCTTTATGGCCTTCATCTTTGCAGTCAACTCAACCTTCTCAGCATATTGCTCGTACAATTCAGTCAGCCGGGGCGAATTGTGCAAAGGATTACTCAGGAGGCGAGACTCAAGAACCTCGATTTTCTATTTTATGGTTAGCAGCGTGAATCATGTCTTGGAGCAAATCTCTTGTTACCCGTAGCAGCTTCTTGAAGCTATCATCCTTGATTTGCATGTTCTCAATCGGATCAAGTAACGGAATACCGTCTGGGAAGCGCCTCTTAACTTCATTAACAGACTTCATGACATCGTTCCGAGAGCCAGGAGACGTGATGTCCTTTGGAAGCATGATGCGAATGTGAGAGATTGCTGTGATGCAGCTCAACACAATGGGAACAACCTCACAGCGAGTCGGTTCCCCTTCCTTTGCGGGGTGAACACCCGGAGGAAGATCTTGGAAAGACTTGGTGCCAATGGATGACCCTTCCGATATCTTCAACAAAACATCAACAATGTAAGATTGGTGAGGACTTATTTTCTCGGTGTCGTTATTCGCTTTGCGCTTCTTGTGGTTGATCACCACGCCCCAACCGAAATCAGCACCGCTGTACTTGACGTGGATCAATCGTCCAGGGTGAATATAAGCTAAAGAGTAATTTGGGTGAGTAATAACATGCTGAACATCGTCGGCAAATGCATCCAGTTGCTTCCGTAGGTCGTAGTATTCACGGATGGTCCCCTCATCTGAGATGGCCATATTGACGCGCTTCTCCTCGAGATTCTCGAGTTCTTTCTCTAGGCCTGAAACGCTTCCAGTGTTCTGGAACTGCTTGAAGCATCGCTCGAGCATGTATTCGGGTGAGATGCCCTCCACACGCATCAGATTGAGGATCATGTTGTAGCCAAGATGGAATGCTGAATTAAGTCGATCTTGTTCACCCCGCACGATCTCCTTCGCGACGGCTGGGTCCATCGCCTCTCCGACCATCATAATCACGATACCCCGGTCATCGAGACCTCGACGACCGGCACGGCCAGACATCTGGATGAATTCAGATGGAGTAACCCAGCGCTGGCTAGTTCCATCGAACTTGCGGACACTGGTGAAAACTACAGTCTTCGCAGGCATATTGAGACCAATGGAGAAAGTCTCAGTTGCAAACAGGACTTTGATGAGACCCTCCTGGAACAGAATCTCAATAGTTTCCTTGAGAATTGGCAGTAATCCCGAGTGATGGACACCAATACCTTGTTGCAAAAGCGGAAGGATATTTTGGATCTGTGGCAATTGACGATCCTCTGGAGATAGCATCTCGATGGCGCTTTCGAAAACCTTTGACACCATATTCTTCTCAGAATCATCGTTGAAGGTCAGTTTGCTCATCTGTAAAGCACCTGCTTCACACTCGCGCTTGCTGAAACTGAAGACAATGACGGGGTTGTAGTTCTTAAGCATGATCATCCTAACAATCTTGAAGATATCTGATGGGCCCTGGTTTCCACCCTTGTTGATCTTCTTATCCTTGCCTTTGCCTTTGCGTTTGGCCAAAGCGTCAGCCGGGTCGTCGCCTTTCTTGTCAGCAATTGCGCTCATTGCTTTCTGGAAGTTCTCCTCGCGGAAAACACCCTTTTCATCCACCACGAGATGGATACCCTCTCCACCAGCGGGGAAGAAGTAATTCTGGAGCGGGGTCGGACGATAATTGGTGTAAACAACGTGGCAGGGCTGATTATGCATCTTCACGATCCATTCGGCGAATTGCATAGCGTTCGGGATAGTGGCAGAGAGGAAAACATAGCGGACCTTATCGGGCAACAGAATGATAGTCTCTTCCCAAACAACACCACGATTGATGTCTCGCATATAGTGGATTTCATCGAAGACGACCCACTGAACTTCACGCATGATCTCAGAGCCACGGTACAACATGGAGCGAAGAATCTCTGTGGTCATAACAAGACATGTGGCAGTAGGATTGATGGTCACATCACCAGTCATTAGACCGACATCACCGAACTCAGCAGCAAATTCACGGTACTTCTGATTACTGAGCGCCTTGATAGGACTGGTGTAGATCACTCGCTGGTTTTGTTTCAAGCTTTGCGCAATCGCATATTCTGCCACGACGGTTTTTCCAGCACTCGTATGGGCTGAAACCAGTACACTTTCCTCGCGTTGAATTGAAGACACTGCGACCTGCTGGAAAGGATCAAGTGTGAAGGGCCATGTCTTTGCTGGATCCGCCGGAGGTTTGTGCTGGGAGATGGGCACATAAGGGTAGTTAGGCGGGATTGCGACTTGATGGCGGACTTGATGAGACACCACAACAGCAGAAGTGTCTGTGGCACCCCCGAGTCCTCCAGAGGCAGCGATTTCACGCTCTTGCTCGGTTTCGAAAGAATCGGCGACTACTGGCTCGGGTTCCTGATCCAATCGAGGTCGCTTCGTCTCAGGTTGATCTGGTTCGGACGCAGTCGCGGGGGCTTCGGCATCTGCTGAGTCGGCACCCGTGGCAGATGCATCAGTCATTGCGACATCCTCCTTCTGTTCAGTATGGATATCCACAGCTTTCTTCACATCTCCATTCACCTGTCGTTTTTTATTCTTATCCTTCTTCAAGCGCTTGGTGGCACCCTCTGACGGTTTCACCGCCTGAGGCTGGTCCTCAAAGACATCAAAGAGCTCATCCATCTCCAGCGGTTGGAATTGGTGAATCAACCACAGAAGAAGAATGAGCGGCGTTGGTAACCGGTCTGGACTTTTCTTGGTTGAGAAATTTAAAAGTTCTATCCACATGGGGCAAGCGGTCGGGGATCCCGATAAAATGACGCTAAGCCTTATTTGGAGAGAACCAGTCACGTGATTTATGATCATCCCATTCCGCACCTCGCGACGTTCACTTCGGCTTCGTCCGTCCGTTCCCGATCGTCCACTCTGTCCACTCTGTTACTCAAGGTTAGTACCTCCCACTGGAACTGCGGCAATTGTTGTCGCTAATATATTTATCTCAGATGTACTCCTCCGCTATCCGGGCTAGAATGGCCACCTCCTTCGCTGCTCGTCGTGGCTTCTCCACCACTCGCACCCAGCTTGGCAGCCCCTACCACTACGCCGAGGGTCCTCGCACCAACATTCCTTTCAACCCTCTCACCAAGCACTTCTTCTGGCGCTACTGGGCTTTCATGAGTTAGTGATCCCCAATGGACATATGCGCGGTGTCATTACTAACCTAGGTATCACCTAGTTACCGGATTCGGTGCTCCCTTCGCCATTGCCGGTGAGTTATACCCCCCTCTTTATGGTTGCACACCTTAAACATACTCTAACATTTCTTTCTACTAGTCTGGCAAACCTACAAGACCAAATAAATTGCCCTTTATACTGTATTTTTGTTGCGATAGCAGTCTGGGCGACTAGGTGGTCGAAAACTTGGATCGGGTTTGAAACAGAGGCGGATAGCATGTACAAAGCTAGAGATTATTATTGAAAATTGGTTCCATCTATTACAGACTCAATTGTAATTGCGTAGATGTTGAAATGTGTAGCTTGAAAAGGACGTTGAAATATGGATGAAGTCATTGGCTGAGCCGCTGTGGAAAACTAAAAAATCTCTGGGTCACCGCGATTCATATATCAGTCCTCACAAACACAACCACTCCCAAGCAACGGGACAGATACTGTCAACAGGGAAGAAAGGCTGATATCTGGAATTTAATTTTCCTCGCTATCATTTGAATTCCATACATCTACTCCCTTGATCGCTTCATGGCGGGGTAAAAAAAGAAGCATAAAAAAGTTACCCGTTCCTGGAATATGCGCAATTTGAAAAACGTCCGTCTCACTGAGACGCAAATTGAGGGTGATCTGCCTCTCACTGCCACAGCATGGGATACTACTTCAGATTCGGTGGTGTGCACCTTTGGTCCGGCCGAGAACAATGCAATCATTGAGGTCAGACGGAAACGCCTTGAGATCACTTCAACAGATCCCCTGTCCCCCGAAGCATTTGAATGCATTGCTTCCTGGGATGCTCCATGCCCTCTGCCAGACCTGGAATGTGACCGTGTACTCTCGCTCCATTACTTTGCGGACAACCTGACAATCTGTCTGGTGCTAGAGGGAGGCGATATTATCGTTGTTCGTGAAGAACCCCTTCCTGGTGAAGACAAGATCGAAATTGTCGGCTCAGTCGATGTGGGAATCACAGCTGCGGCATGGTCACCAGACGAAGAAATGCTGGTTCTCACCACTAGAGCCCAGACGTTCTTGTATATGACCAGAGACTTTGAGAACGTGGCCGACATTACTTTCGCTCACAGTGATCTGCAATCCTCACAGCATGTGTCAGTCGGATGGGGTAAGAAAGAAACACAGTTCCAAGGAAAGAGAGCCAAAGCTCTTCGAGACCCGACTGTACCAGAGAAGATCGACCAAGGAATCTTGAGCAGCCAAGATGATGGCAGCACTACAATCACCTGGCGAGGAGACGGTGCCTATGTTGCCGTGAACAGCGTCGAAGCTGAAACTCGCCGTGTAATTAGGGTGTACTCGAGAGAGGGTACTTTGGACAGTGTGAGTGAACCTGTCGACGGCCTGGAAGGCGCTTTGAGCTGGCGGCCGTCTGGCAGCTTGATTGCTGGAATTCAACGGTTCGAAGATCGGATCGATGTGGTGTTCTTCGAAAGGAATGGACTCCGCCATGGCGAATTTTCTCTTCGTCTGTCCGAAGAGGAGATGAAATCATGGGCTTCTCGCATCCATCTTGCGTGGAACGTGGATTCCACCGTGCTTGCTGTCAAGTTCCAGGACCGTGTACAGTTTTGGACAACGGGCAATTACCATTGGTATTTGAAGCAGGAGGTTCCTATCGCGGTTGGCACAAATTCTTCGCTTCCATACTCCTTCGAATGGCACCAAGAAAAGACACTGCGATTTGTTGCTGGCTCCCCAGGTACTATATCCTTCCGAAGAGCAAAATGAGAATGAAAGCTGATTTAAACAGGATCGATACTGGATGCGGATTATGTATTTGATATCAACCATGGCTCTACCTCTATTCCAGATGATGCTGGCGCTGTTGCAGTCATCGACGGGAGTGAGTATCCCAATATAGCCTGATTGAGAACATTACTGACCCGGTTATTAGAAACTCTTAAGTTGACCCCGTTGCGGATGGCTGGGGTACCCCCTCCCATGGCACACAACGAGCTGGCTTTAGAGTCCAACGCCATTGATGTTGCATTTAGCAAATCGGGATCCCGCATTGCCGTGCTGATGAGCGACAGGCTCTCTGTTTACCTCTGGTCTCTGAAGAGCCGACCTGTTCCTGTTCCAATCCTCGAGTCAAGCTATCCGTTATCAGATGCCTTGACCAGTCGGCCCCGGCAAATTGCATTCTTGAATGAGAATGAGGTATATGTGCTCAAGGACAATGGTCCAAACTCGAGCTGCATCGAAAGGACGATTCTGGACACTCGAAAAACTGAATCTGTATATCAGGCTGCAGATTCAGAGCAACTGGCATCGATCTTCGCTGGTATTGGACACCAAGCTCTGTGGTTCTCACATGCCCGCCAACCAGTCCGTCCTGTTAGCTACTCGAGCATTGAAGTGTCGTCATCAGGAAATCTGGATATTGTTCCGTGGGCTGAGAGCCCTAATGTTGACAGTCATTGGGCTCGTGTTGTCTCTATCTCTGAGGATGAGGTAAGGTTATACTCGCTTTGTATTTGGAGCTTCGTGCTGACTCTAGTAGCGCATTTTGATTGCAATGACGCGAACTGGCGCCTTATATGCTAACAAGCGAGTCCTTGCGAGGAACTGCACGTCTTTCCTCGTGACCCCATCTCATCTTTTGTACACCACATCAGCACATCTTCTGAAGTTTGTCCATCTCAACCACGTGGATGGTAAGATTGATCCATTGGGCGTCTACGTTTTCATAAGCTAACATAGGGATTGCAGAAATGGAAGTCCCTGAGGATACACCAGAGACCGACGAGCGTTGCAGAAGTATTGAACGTGGCTCTCGGTTGGTTTCAGTGATACCGTCGATCTTCGCGGTCGTACTCCAAGCTCCCAGAGGAAATATTGAGACCATCTTCCCTCGCGCTCTAGTGTTGGCCGGAATCCGTACCTTTATCGACCAGAAGAAATACCGGTCTGCGTTCCTTGCATGCCGCAGTCAGATGGTGGATCTCAACATTCTGCATGATTATGCCCCTGAACAATTCATGGAAAACATCACACTGTTTATCGATCAAGTCAAGAAGATTGATTACATTGATGATTTCCTATCGCGGCTGTCGTACGTTAATATCCAGTCCTACAACCGACCATTTCACTAACGCTCATATAGGGAGGATGATGTCTCACAGACACTGTATAAAGACACACTGAAAATATCTAAGAACGTCTCGGCAGCTGTTGCCCAGCCGGATGGTCTTACAGTTCCCTCGGTGCCCAAACCTGGCAAAAAGGAGAGCAAAATCAACACGATTTGCGATGCATTCCTGGCCGCTCTTCAAAACCGTGTCGATACCAATTTGCAGAATCTGATCACGGCCCATGTTTGCAAGTCACCGCCTGATATGGAGGCAGGACTGGGACTTGTTGCAGGACTAAGAAGTAGGTTTCTTTTACCTTTTTCGATAATTGAGTGGCAGCTAAACGTATCACAGCACAACATCCCGAACAGGCTGAAGATGCTATTGCGCACATGTGTTTCTTGACCGATGCTCACCGGCTTTACTCCCACGCATTGGGTGTATATGATCTTGAGCTTACATTATTGGTTGCTCAACAAGCCCAAATGGTAAGAATTCCGGGAGGAGAGTTTGTTTGTGTCATCACTTATCACTAACGAATCCTTAGGATCCTCGCGAGTACCTACCATTCCTTCGGAAGCTACAACAGCTCCCGGAGACTCGACGTCAATTTGAGATCGACAATCACCTTACTCGCTTCGAAAAGGCTCTGGGGCATTTGTATACTCTCAACGCCCACGATGAGATCAGCGCATATGTCGTCAAGCATGTCTTGTATAAAGAAGCCCTTGAGCTCTACAAGTATCAAACAGAGCAACAGCGGGAAATCACCGAGCTCTACGCCGACTATCTACAGGATCAATCGAAATACAAAGACGCAGCAATTGGTAAGTGGTTTGGTTGTAAACAGCAAGCCAAAAATGACATCTAGCTAACTTTAACCTCAGCGTACGAGTCTCTCGAGCTATATGAGAGTGCTTACAAGTGCTTCAACCTGGCGCACAAATGGCGCGAATCATTGTACTGTGCTATGATGGCATCTCTATCCGAGGAAGATCTGGCGGCCCATATCAGCGCTCTGGTCACAACCCTGGTTGACGAAAACAAAGACTACGTCTCGGCAGCAACAATCTACGCGGACCATTTGAATGACATCGTCACAGCCGCACGACTACTCTGCCGGGGATCGAAGTTCGCTGACGCAGCGCGTCTCCTTACACTCCACGGCAAAAAGAGCCAGGTCCCCGAAATTGTTGACTCTGGCCTCGCTGAAGCAATGGGCAATATGACAGACCTGCTCGCCGACTGCAAATCTCAGCTCAATGCCCAGGTCCCACGACTCAGCGAACTCCGTCAGCTTCGCGCTGCCGACCCACTTGCTTTCTACGGTGGTGACCCCACTGGTGGAGATACGGGCGTTGATATTCCAGACAATGTCTCGCTGGCCCCGACAGATGCATCTACGCTTGCTGGTCGCTCTATGTTTACCCGTTATACAGGTAACACCGGGAAAACAGGAAAGACTGGAATGTCACGTCATACTTCTAAGACTCGCCGGCGCGAGGAACGCAAGCGTGCTCGTGGTAAGAAGGGCACAGTTTACGAAGAGGAATATCTCGTCAATAGTATCCGACGACTCATGGAACGGGTTAACTCGAGCGTGGCAGAGACTGAGACCCTTGTTGACGCTCTCCTGCGTCGTGGCATGCGTGAGCGCGCAACCGCTGTCGAGAAGGCGTTGCAGGAAGTCTTGACTATGTGCGCAGATTGCCGGGACGAGGTATTTGAAGTTCCTGCCTCCAATGCAAAGAATGAGGACGAGGAAGATGAAGAGAATGATGTCGAGCCTATCAACCCTCCTATTTACGGTGGTAGAGGCGCCAATGTCTTGAGGGAAAGTATAGCCATTGTTGAAGGTGGTGGTGCCGCTCGCGTTAAGGAGATCCCCGTTGTCAAGGAGATGAAGAAGTCTTCTTTGTTGGCTTGAAATAGTCAATGAATCTATTGCTTGTGCCAATTAGTATCTAGATTATGAAAGGAAAAAGGCATTTGGCCAAGCATTGTTTCAGACGTCTAACAATCCTTCCTCATTGGCTGAGTAAAGTCATTTCATCGTGAACTTGCTGATTCTTTTGAATATTCTTTAAGAATAAAATATAATAAAATTGGTCCCCCGCGCACATAGAGTGAAGTCATTGTGTGCTCCGCTAAGCTACGGGGCTGGGGACTCTGACATGCCTGGTCCTTAAATTCATTTCAACCTTGCTTTTGGTATCTCTAGTGACTTGATTGGCTGGATCCTTCTCAGTCAAATGAGGTAATCATGAAGCTATTCACAGATCCATTTTTTTTATACACCTGAAGTTATCCATGCCCTCATCTCTGCTGAAGCTATTCCAGGCTTCTTTATGATTTCTCCCATCCTATCCTCCCCCTACCCTATCTCGTCACTTCTAAACTATTCCATGGTTCTCCCTAAAGATCGCTTCAGTTCCCACATTTCAAGCCAGTATATTGGTTGAGAAAGTGACCTAGAATATATAGTGCTCGTCTACAAGGCATCTCTTTACTAAAACATGTGTCTGTAATAGTTGCCTCTCATTGATATTTCTCAAACGTCCTTACTAGCAATTATCTGTCTTCAGATACCTATATAAAGTGAAAATAAGATAGGTATTCCGTTTCTGACATACAGCGTATTCCTGATAAGTTCCTATTCCCGTGGACTTCTTCTTTGATCCACAAGTTACACGTGTATGACTTCCTATCATCTTTCTACAAGATTACCCAAGGGTCCCCAGGCTGTGTTCTGCGAGTCATACTTGGCCATCCTAACAGAAATGGAATACCCTCCGCAGCAGGCCATTCTCGACAGGATCCTAGGCCCGAACTCTACCTATGCCTGTCGTGGGAAAGATTGAGTATCACCATTGACTGTGAACATCCTCGTCACGATAAATTAGGTACACTCGGGGCTGTAACAGGTCCTCAGGATGAACACTCAAAGGGTTAACTGCAGGTCTATGTTGCACACAGGTGAACCATGATCATTCAAATTGTAAGAATTGTAAGTGACGCGACTCCAAGGTGCGGGGAATATCCTGAATGAAGTCATATACTACATCCATTGAGATAAAGTAGCACAATGGAAACGGCTTTCTCACTGGATGAGACAGAAACAACACATATATGCCGTGCTCTTGAAACAGGACATTGCGTATGGAGTATCTGGGACGGGGATATAAAGAAATGGCTATATCCCACACCTGAATACCAGGACCGCAGCCAAGAAAGGATACCAAAAAAGCGTTAGCAAGGCCGCTCCTTTTCAAGGACCGTAAGTGATCTGTCTGATCATCTTCTAGCTGAGCGTCAATCTCTGAATGCCTTGATACAGATTATGCACCTCTCCATCCCAACATATATTACTTTCCTCTTGAGCTTGGGTATACTCACAACAGCCCAAACGGCACCCAGGTCTATCAAATGCGCCTGCGATGGTACCACGGAGAATTCTCAGTCTGCCTGTGTTCAGACTGGTGGAAGCTTTAATGACACCGGCTGTGGATTCGCAGGTTGCTGTGTTTACGCCAACAACGAACAAATTAGGTTTATTGAGAGTTGTAGGACACTTGGATATGGCTTTAGGCGCTGTGATGATTGCCGTTCTTGTTGAGATCGAGGTATTCGCCTCATGGAAATTATAGTAAAGCGGACATTTGACTTCTACAGTTGGAAGCAGTGGTTCCATTTGCATGTATTGGGTAGTGTCACGTCATATCCAAGATTTATTATTATGGAACCAAATGTATTGCCGTAAACCGGAACTCTCTGTATTATTATGTCCTAGATTATGAGAGAGGCAAGAAGATATAGTGAAAGGAATATCTGCATCGAGCTTGCATGGCAAAGTTAAACCACAAAAGAACAGTGGGGTATCTTTCAGGCCGTCAGACCTTCCAATGGTGACCAAAATGGCTATACCAGTTGTCCAGTATAGATTATTTAAACTTTCTAAAGAGTGCTGAGGATCTCGCCAGTCTCACTAACAAGGTGGTCCTCAACCTTGACGGGGCCTTCTCCGACACCAGTCAAGATGACACGGCTAACGCCATCCTTCAGAACTTCGACAGCACGAGAGTCAACCTGATCCAAGGAAACACCAGCAGTAACATTGGCAATTCTCTCGTAGAATGCGCCATCCCAACCCTCAGTGTTAGGACCCAGAATAGCCTTGACAGTACCTGCCACAAGCTCAGAGTCTTTATCTTCATAGTAGATGACAGCATTTGGGCCAGCATCGAAGGTATAAGCACAAACGGTCCGGCCAACAACACGGTTGATGTCGTGCACAAGGCGGACGGCAGCACGAGAGACATCGTTCATGTAAAAGATAGGAGGCCACGAATCAAGGCAAGTGGCGTGGAAGGTGTTTGAATCCCGCATGGTAATCTCCGCGAAGTCATGGAAGTTGCGGTTTTGGATGGCGGTTTCAATGGCGGTCATACGGCCGGGAACGACGTTCTGGGCACGCTCAGCGAAGAGAGCAGAAGTGGCCACAGTGGTCTGCATTCCTTCAGTGCTAGGCACATCCTTCTTCTCGGCACTGACGACCAGAACAAGAGCGCGCATCTCAGGCCAGTGGGATGCAGGAGCAACTTCCTCAGCCAGGCTGTCGCTTCCATCAGCAAGCTCACCGGTGCGCCATGCGACATATCCACCCATTAGGGAACGGCAGGCAGATCCGGAACCTTGGCGAGCAATACGGCTCAGCTCCTTGGGGGACTGGGGTAGTTCGTAAAGATCGGCGACGGCGCGGACCAACGCTGCGAAACCAGCCGCAGAGCTGGCCAGACCAGCGGCAGTAGGGAAGTTGTTCTCGGAGACAATCCGGAGAGGGTGGGTGGAGAGCTTGGGGAGCGAGGAGTCGGCATCCTCAAGGGCCTTGCGAAGGGCACGAAGGCTGGAGATACAAGCCAGTGTCCGCTTGGAAGACTGAATATCCTGTGGACTACCGTTCAGGTTCAGGGTGTCCGCAGTTGGGTATTCGGCAGAGCAGGAGGCGGTGGTCAAAGTACGGAGAGAGCGCTGAGAGAGTGTGACTGAGAGGGAGGAGTTTGTAGGGAGGTTGAGAGTAGTATCACGCTTGCCCCAGTATCTAGAGCACTGTTAAAATCGAACTATTATAAAGGGAATGAGGGGTAATCAAAGAGCGGCATACTTAATGACAGCAATGTTCACCGGAGCGGTGGTAGTAGCCCGGTAAACAGATTGGTTTGATGTAGACGCCATTTTTACTTCAGATGAATAGAAAGAAAGGATTTCAATGAGATTCTAAAGAACTATAAAAGACAGGGGAGATTTACTTAGGGGGATTGTTGACTTGTCTGGGCGGTGAGAGGGCAAAATAATTTCTACGGCGTAGTTCTAGTTCCGCGTAGATGCGCCGGACATCCTCCAGTCATTGACCTCCAATTATTCAACAATGGGAGCTGCAGCAAGTACACCATCTGCGCCAACAGTGGAGCCACCTGCGGCAACTTGCCCTGTGGACCACAAAACTCGTGAAATATGGCTGCAACAAAATAGCAACTCACCCCATGCTACCTCCGATGTCCCTGCCGAACAGGCACAACCACGTGCCAAAGCACAACGACCCTTATCGACAGACCGCGAAGTGAGCAGTATTCCTCGAGCTGGTGATTTTAGCGCCGCAAGTGCCTGTCCCGAGGCCAACAAGGCGTCGTCATCTCCATACGCTGCCTCACATGGTACCCCATCCAACGCCGAATCCGAAACTGGCCGCGATGAAGCTACTGGAAACTGGATCTATCCTTCGGAAAAACAGTTTTTTGAGGCTTTGATGCGCAAGGGTAACACTCCTGGATCTACTGCCTCGGCCTCAGAACTCGCAACCTCCGTGGCCTCCATTATTCCCATTCACAATGCCGTCAATGAACGCGCATGGGACCAGATTCTTGAATGGGAGAAAAGGGGCCCCACAACCGACCCAGGGAGTAAGAAATGTGGAGGACCAAAATTATATTCTTTCCGGGGACTCGGAGTCGACCCAAAGTACCTGAGTCCGCGTGCGCGAATCAATGGATGGCTTGGCTACCAGCACCCATTTGATCGACATGACTGGATTGTTGAGCGTTGTGGCGGTGAAAAGGTTGAATATGTTATCGATTTTTACCAGGGCAAGACATCGGAAGGCAATGGAACCCCATCGGGCCTGGCTGCTAATGCCAATGCCAACCCCGGGAAGCTCAGTTTCTTCCTTGACGTTCGGCCCAAATTGAACAGTTATGAAGGCTGGAGGCTGAGGTTCAACCGCTTCACAGGTCTATGAAGGCATCATTGACAGTCGTCTTCTGGCGGGACATGCTTTCGCACTGCACATACAAAGGCGATATCGGAGCACGGGCAGGATTTGGGACCCAATTGGGTGTAATTTGCATGTATAAAACGTATCATTCTGTACGATATCAGGCTACAGTAGAGACAGCGATGAATTAATGTTCTCCATTCAGTATGAACTCAAGGTTGGCAAGGAAAGCGTAAATTAGAAGGAAAATGAAATGAAGTAAGAAGGTGAGATGCTTGACTAATGAAAGTGCAATCATGCGAGAGGGATATAGTGCGCATACATGACAACATTAAAGACGAAGACCGCGACGGTAGCCAATAAACAAGAATGAGAAAAGCAAGAGAAATGTCTATCCGAGGACAATTGCAAGCACGATGATAGCAAGGATAACAGCAAGAATTACAAAGAGACAACAGGCTCTGTTGCGCGCATTCTTCTGGTATCTGCTGGCACTGCGCAACTCGACATTGGCTCCTCGTGTATCCTGGGTAACATTTTGGACATTCTCGCTGATGATATCCAACTGCCCTCCTTGTTCAGTAACGATGTGCGCAACATCGCGAAAGAGCTCGTTCAGTTCTCCCACACTTTGTTCAATGTTCCGGATCTCTGCCTCACGCTCGATGATTAAGGATTCTTGGAAGTCCACCTCGCCCTGGTTGGCCATACGGTGTTGCTCCTCCAATATCTGCTCCTGTAATTGGACATCATTTTCGGACGATGGGTGCTCGCCTTCTTCAAATGCTGTACGTGCAGCAACTGCAGAAGCGCGCTGTTTCTCGAGTGCACGGCGCTGAATAGTTTGGAATTCATCTAAGGTTGCTTTGAATTCGGACGACAGCTTTTGCTGTGTCCATTTCTGGGAGGGCTATAAGGCTCCAAAGTCAATATAGAATATTCTTCGACAACAAGGGAAATCAGATGGTTCATACATTGACGTCCTCCCATGTCTGGATTTGTTTAATCCCTTCTCCTACATCCCTAAACCCTGTACGGGTTTCTTCGAGCAGATTATGAACTCGTTCACGCACGCGCTCTGTATCTCGTTTGGTTCCAAGAAGGGCAATTTGGTTGGATAGGCGAGAGATATTTGATGTCAATGTAAATAACTGATCTGAGAGTTGCTCGGCCAGATGGTCGAAGTCCGGATCATCACGGTACTGCGGGTCTTCATCCCTGCGCATAGTGGTAGGCTGGGCCTCCAACGAGTTTAGCCTGTCGAAAGACATTATGTGTGTAATCAAAAAGCAATAAATGAGTGCTTAAAGTGAAAGCAGCAGAAGACTGGAAACCAAACGAGTTATCTGCAGGTTCCTGCTGCCTTCGATAAGCCAAGTCGGGATGCAGACCGCCCTCACATGACGTACCTCACAAGCACTAGTCTCGATATGGACTAGTCTCTGTGGCACAATGCAACCTTGAGCCACATATCACATGACCAGATGCGGCTGTGTATTTTGATGCCTCAAAATATTCCTAGGCGGACCTCGCCGTCGATTGATCCTATCCGACCAGCTCAACACAACCAGCTGTCAGCCGTGACCATTTGTCAATACCGTCCCTGGTCCGCCAATCCAGTTCTACAGCTCCCGGAGCTCTCCATATGACGATCATCCTGATCATGCTCTAATCTTTAACCATTTCATTCTCTTCCACGAGCGCATCCCACCCACAAAGATTACATCATGGCCGTCGTACAAACTCGGCCCTACAGGCGAATCCTGACTTCGGCCTTGCACCGAAGATTTGTTCATGCATCTGCGCTTTCACTACTGGTCTCATATTTTATCGCAATTGCGATCGGGGAGAAATCGTCCTGTGAGTACATTGCAACCTTACTAGGTCGAGCCTCGAAGGCTCAGTTTCAAGTCCTCAAAGTACAAAGAACTGATAAAAGTACCATATGCAGTTTTCTGGTTATGGTTTCCCTTCGGTAGTTGTGGTGTTCGAACTGCACTACTCTTCATATCCTCCCTCACCATTTTTGTCCTTCGCGTCAGTCAAATGCACATCGGCTCGAGAACCGCTGCCTCTTCGTTCGGCATTTTCAAGACCTTCACTTTGTTACAAATCGCGCAAACCTTTGGCTGGTACATCTTCTCGGCATGGTGGTTCACTCAAGTCTACGTATGGTCGTCTTCGGGTGATTCTAACCTCGCGCTTGTGAAATGGGGCAGGTGCGTCGAATATCCTTCAAATGACTGCGATATGGACTAATAAGATACAGGCCACATGAGCGACCAACTATGAACGAAAGACCGATTTACCTTAATTCCTTCCATGTGTTCCTAGCATGTGTGCAAGCAGTGTTCCACCTCTACTACGACTATGACCAGATTGCAGTGCCCATCGCGGAACGAAGCTCCAGAACGAATGACGAGCGTACTCACCCTGTACCATCAACCTCCAAGTATCTACAGCGTGTTCTGCCGCAAATATTGGCGGCCGGGGCTCTCAGAAGCGTCACCGTTGCTGCAACGTCTCTCGTGATATACCCCATATTCTTTAGACGTTTTGCCTGGAGTTGGTCTCTGTACTTTGCCAAGCTCTTTTTCAGCTTCCCGAGATCTGCAGCCGAACCTCAGAGCTTCGTCCCATCGATTTTCCCTTACTTCTTCTTCAAAACTTTGGTTCCCGGAGTGCTGCTTGTTCTCTCTTGGCAAACCGCCAACCTCTTCTATTCTGTATTCATCGGCAAGGAGCCTTTGAAGCGTGGCCAGCCACTCACAACAGAAGCTAAGGATCCCAATGGCAGCCTTATTAGTGGCCTCAAGGCGAAGAAGGAAGTTGTGAAGACCTTCGCGCTCTGGGAACTCAGCCTCATCAGCCAACGCATTCCCGACCGCCGGAAGGCAATTTTCAATGAAATTGATCGCGAGGGTGGCTCGGCTTGGTCTCAGGTTCTTGCTTGTACCACCGATGTAATCAAGGCCATCAACACTCGCATCGAGGAAAGCAAAAATCCCGCGCCTGTCACCAAGCCTTTGCCGCAAGCCAAGAAACCTGAGCCTGTTCTTCAAACTCTCCCACGACTCTCAGAACCGATCAAAGATGACAACATCTTCACTACTGCCCCAAAGGCTACTTCACGCCAGGACAAATTTGGCGATGCGTTTAGCTCGGCGGCTAAATCCATCGGTCAGTCAGAAGACTGGACTCCAACTGCGCGAGCTCGAGTCCGTGATGTTTTCGATCGAGCGTCGTCAGCAATGCTTAGCCCTGAGCAGAAACAGAAATATCTCAGCTCTCCTCAGAAGTTCAAACTACTGACTGGTAGCCCCTCCACAACTCATAGACCCGATGACATGAACCCAGTTCTGGCGCAGATTCTTCGTTCGCCTATCGGCCAGCCTTTGCGTCAAACATACGCTCAGCGCCTGTCTTCTATTGTTCTCGGCACACCAGAGTCCTCTCTATCCTTGATTGTGGACGCTGTAGAGTCGTTGACTCGACTCCTCATTGCAAGCTTGGCCGAAGACCCGTATGGCAAAGTTCAGGCCGATGTGCCCTCAGTTGTGCGACTTCTGACCCAAACCACCCTGGCCCTAGATGCGTTTGCCCATCAGGGTGGATTGGATGCCCACTGGACTGATATCAACTTCCCCCCATCGAGTGATCCCCAGGCACAATCAGTTGCCCGTCTGGTTCCAGATGTTGAAGTCGTGCTTGGTACACTCCGTGGTGGTCTGAAGGATCTACTGACGGCCTTCAGACCTTATTTGCGGGATATCGGTATCGCAGGCAAGGATCTGAGGCTAGCAAAGGAGGCAGCTGGCATCGATGGAGAGGAGGTATTATGATCTATGACGATCTTTTTTTTGCTGCAATTTTTTTAATGCTCACTATATCTCATGATTTCTCTTCCCAAAACTTCATGTATTGTTATCTCGTCCTATTCTCTAGTCCCATTGGAATTAATATCAGTGGACAAATGCATGGTTAGGCGTTCTGTTAAGATGGGCGTGGTGGATGTTGGCTGAAGTACAACATCAGTTTTAGTGAATCAATACCTTTCCATCAACAAGATCATCTTGGATTTCAATTATTTTGTGAAGACTCCAATAGATCCGATCTGCTCTTAGAAGTATGGGTCACATGACAGCCCTTTCTCAATCAACACCAACCTCATCAAGTCCGTCAACAATTCAACACAAATTCCAAGCAGCAACATAGGCTTGGAAATACTCCTAGCTACCTAGAAATCACTTTGCCTCAAATCATGTCATTGACAAACGTCTACCATGTGCGTCGTGTCGCGGACACCTCTGCAAAAGCATGTTTGATTTGCTACAAACCATCCACCAGTGTGATGATCACACCGGATAACAAGGTATGTAATGTGATCCTAGATATGGCGTATAGTGTACAAGATTATTTCTTTGCTTTACCCCCCTATTTTATGTGCATAAAATAGCTCATTCACTCAGGACTTCTTCTACGTGTGCCCCGCACATTTGCAAGATAAGCATTTCTGCTCTCCAATCATCGACACAGAGGGGCAAGCAAAACGTCTCAAGGAAGAGGAAATGGCCAAGGAGATTGAAAAGGTAAAAAAAGAGTATGAAGAAAAACAACGACGAAAGAAAGAGCGTGAGAAGGCATCTAGCAAGGACAATAAAGAGGAGAAAGACAAGGGCAAAGATGAGTCCAAAGGAAAAGAAAAAGATCCACCCGAGTCAAATGTCAACGATGAAAAAGCCAGAGATGACAAGGTTTGTCTCTTTCCACAGCGAAAGGAACCAAGCTATATGGTTCGTATGGACGTGTTGACTGATTCTTCCTGTCAGATTGCGTCTATCCAAAAAGGTTCTGGGACAGAGACAAAGTCAGATAATTCGCCTCGAGTTTTCTCTTTGCACAAGTATGTAATAAAATATTATTCCCATGGGAGGAGCTCCTAACGGCAAAACAGGAACTTTTATCAAATGCGCATCGACAGATTGCGCAACATTGAAATGGCGAAACGCAACCAGGAAAGATTAAGGCAGCCTTCACTATTTCCCTCTGTGCCATCGGGGAATCCTTAAACTTTCCTTCGATCGTATCCTTTGGGCAGCAGTATAGGTAGTTCGAGATCCCCATATTGGTTCCATCATCGTCTGCTGATCTGGAAGGCACACCGAAGCCCCGGGTGAGGAGAAGACGATACAAAACAGCGAAGGCATGTCTGACGACTGATGTCCATCATTTTGCGCGGCATATTTGATCCTCCAATAAATCGCTCGTTATCGGGTCATTTCTCTGTTCTGACCGGGCTGTGGATAACAGCGGACGCAGCCACGCGGAAATATTGAGCCATACAAGCTTCATATCCCCGCATCTCTGCGTCCTGTTCTTAGCAAACTTTCCACCCAATCATCAGCGAATCATACAATCCGCAGTCGAGGAATCATGGTTTAAGCCATGTGTGACGTGGTATTGGCCCCCGGCACGGGGCGCCCCTGACTCGGGCACAATCAGCCCTAGGACCCGTGTGCATAATGGACTTTATTTATCTCTTAACGAATTTGTGATCCTGCAGGATGCCGGCTACAGTAACAAAATTCTGAGCCTATGATCTTTATGTAACTCGCTCATCCTTAGCACACATTTGTCTACGAGGCGCCCAAGGCGACTCCGTCCTCTAAAGGATTTCTCAGGTACTCTTGGCCAGGCAACTACCTATATCCTAGACTGGAAACTGTTATCTTTCTATTTTCAACAAATAACTTAGCGCCAGGATGCTCTTCTCGTATTGCATGACCTATCAAGGTTCGTACTAATAGGTGGGGATATAATAAGCGCTAGTTACCTAAAGCGGTGCCTATTACGACCGAGAAAGGTCAGCCAACCCCTCGTAGAAAGCTACCTCGGCCCTAGTGGGCGGCTTGCTTGATTTGTTCCTGCGCCCTTCGATGGAACGATTAGTCGTGTATTTGCAACAACCTTATGAACTTCTATGCATATGAGGCTTGAGCAAACTCTCCGTGATACATAGATTGCCATGTACATATACCAATATCTGTACTATCCTTCCCGTGTCCGGAGCTTGCTCCGACTCACTCTTTGTAGTCTAGAGCTCGGCTATGCAACCGCAACTATCTTCCCCTGCCAGATACATGGTAGTTTTGATCGTTGACTTTTGTAAGACGTTATCTCTATAGCTGTTACATTTATCGTCACAGCTACTAAGTAGTGATCCCCCATTGTAATTGCGAGCTAGTTAGGCAGTTTATATTAAACTTCGTACGCTATACGAAGCTATTTCGATGCAAGTGCATATATATACAGCCCGCCGCATAGACACCTACATACTCACATCACTTTATAGATCCATATAGACACGCGCAAATTCAACACCAATTATCAATGCAGCTGCCTGGAAGTGATACGATCTATAATTGTCGATGTTTGCAGAAGTCTTTCTCGCGCTACCCTGTACTCAATCAAGTCTCTCAATTGAATGCTGCCTGGCAGGTTTACACCATAAATTGTGCTGTACTAGAGCATGGGGCCAACTAAATTAGTGTCATGGGTCTTAGATGCATTGAGCAAACCTATATATAGCGTTAAGCTAACATGATGCGGGTAGTCTTGTACTCTCTGACGCCTCGTACTCATGTAAGTATAGTACATGATATGCACGTGTTGTTCAGAATTTGAAGGCAGTGTAACTCCCGTGTTATCTTTATTTAGCTCAATGTATTTGGCAGCCTATATTTCGTAGCGCATTGATATCAAATGTCGCTGTGAAATACAAGGCTTGTTCAACATAAGACACTCAATAGATACGCAGATAATCATACAGAGAACAAAAATAACACTAGATACACAATAACACTAGTACTATTTTGAACGGCAGAATCTTTAGAACATGTGATTTCTCAGATATAATTGATTGTTTCCAAGACTTTCATAATTAGACTCCATCACAAGCTACTATAAAATAGTCCAAGCCCTAGACAGACCTGAAACAAAGTTAAATGCCAGGCGATCGACGCAAAGGCGATCACAACCGCATCTATTGATAAACTATGTAACAATGCATGTGGAAAGGACCTGTAACCCCGTACATTGAAGTTCCCCAGTCAGACCAGATATGAACTCCACCAGGAGCTCCCACCCCTGCAAGGCAATGTGCACTGCCCACCCCCACCAGCAAAGGGATATTACCAATCACACATGAATTTGGCATACTTTTAGATGTCAAAGCAGAATGACTAGACTAATGAGATCTACAACTAGGGTAACTACCATATGTGTATACTAGCACATAGTACTATAAAGTGGAAAATTACCCCAACAAACGAAAACCAAACACATACGGGTAATACCAATACACACACCCACCAATCGGGAAACACTGGAAACAGACCCGCTTTTGCACAGCCTCCTTCTGCTTCAAACCTTGGAAGTCAACAGAAGGGGGGGAAATCCATTGCTGATCTTTGAAACATCCTGACAGCGCTTCGGTGAGTGGGTCTTTAGAAGAAGTCAGAAATTGTAGAAAGTGGAGTATGCGTTTACGTGGATCTATATTTTGTGAGAAATATAGACTATCTTGGCGCGCGATTAACGTCTGTATGGCTGGGATCGTACCCGGGGAAAAGGGCTAGGCCACGAGTCGATTTATACATTTTTGGTGCAGCCCTAGGGTGGGATAAGCCGGGCCCGAATTCAATTACTATGCAAAATTCGAAATGGGGCCTTGGCTCTGTCTCATATTGCTGTATGACTCTGATCTTGTGCAAGATGTTTTGGTGGGACATGGCACTTTTTAACTAACGGGTATTGGATACGAATCACAAGATAGGTGTCTAGATACGGAGTAGCTCTCGGGCTGATGGCTAGTGTGTTCTAGATTGATATCACATTGGCTGTACGGATCAGCAGGGGCAAATTGACCCGTGTGCTGCCTAAATGTGTGTCGTGCTTTTGTAGATCATGGGATGGAGCATGGAGGGATATCCTGTCGGCTTAATCGGGTTGTCTGGAGAGCTTGGAGGCGGTGTTTCGGAGCCTCACTATCTGGCCGCCATGGTCGCTGCCTGTACAAGGTAGAGTGAAACAACCCAAGGCAGTTATGTTTTGATGACCAGCAACGAGCCTCACTCTAGAAACGTGGTCATCTCCAATAAGTGGCTCAATAATGATGATCAAGCTGTGGACGAAGTGTGGACCCTTCAAGTGACTCTCGGGTCCAAGCTTCGGTGTACGGCATGTCACTGGCCGCCTCTGATTGGTGGATGAATAACTGGATCCAAAAAAAGAACAACCAAATAGTATGAACCATAAACAAATGTAACTTGGAGCTTTGTGTTTTCATCACTCGTAAAACTATGTATGTATGGTGATCATCACTCGTCATATTAAAGATTGCCTCGCCCAGAGTCGTTAGCTGCCGTAGCCCGCATTCCCGGAGGCAGACGGATAGCAGGGTTGACTCTTGGCCCTTGAGCAATATTGACTTCAGCGATATCGACACGGGCTTTGGTGAGACCAATGGCGGGCACAACCCAGCCGCCACAGCTGCATCGAAGACCTTGCCATGCAAATTTGCCCACATTGGACCCACAGATAGGATTGGGGCAAGTGAGACGCCCAGAAAGAGGGGCATCGTCGGGGTGTGCACCGTATGTTGTATCCGTGTTAGTATCAGCCCCGCCCTCAGATGGGAAGAGACTAGGGCGCATCCAGGTCAGCGGGTGGAGGAAGATATGACCACAATCGGCGGTTGCTGAGGACTTGGCGGTATTTTGCTTTTCTTCTTCGTGCGGAATGATGAATGGACTCGTTGCCAATTTGGTTCTGAGATGAGTTG